AGTAATTAGTACCAGTGACTCAACTTGACTCAGATTGTCCACATTTGAAATATAAGACTAGAAATAATGCATGCATTTCATGATTACTCAAAAATGGTGTAATTCACATTGGCTTTATTAATGTGTGTGTAGATCTCCAGCTGACCTGATTTAAAAAAGACCTAAAGATACATGTATGTAAGTATAAGGGACTGAACTATGTTGTGTGTGGTACATTCTCCATGTAAAGCAGGGTTGACTGTATATTGTGACACATCACATATGTGGGAAATATTTAATGACAGGGAGGCCTAGAGGTGCGTTAGAACTCCAACAAATTGATGGCATAAACAAGGAGGAAAGCATTTATTTTTATTTTCATAATAAAAAAAACATGAATAAATATATTATGCCAATCTACATTGCAGAAAACCAATTTGAAAAACCAATTTGAAAAACCAATTTGAAAAACCAATTTGAAAAACCAATTTGAAAAACCAGCATTTTTGTTAAAACTACATTTACACTACCGGAAAAAACAATTGAAAAATGACTATGGGTGTGTTGTTTTATTTTTGTGTGCACATACTTTACACCTTTGGGTGCTGCACACCTTGCGTAAGCACGGAAGCGAAGAGAGTCACGTGACCGAAAACCGGATTAATTCACTGGTGTTCTGAGAGCGAGCATATTTACACACCAACAAAAAAAATGGTCAATTTCTGTCGGCGTTTAAAGAAGAAACACAATCCAGAGTAGGGTTTTTTATATTCATGCTTTTGTCATTTTTGGGGGTAGTTTCCTAGCAAATTCTGACAAAACTCCAGGGACCCCTTTCACGAAGATTTTTTCCAATGACAAATAAAAAAAATCAGTGACAAATCTGCTGATAACCAATCAGAAGCAAGGATTTCAGTAGCTTATAACACAAATTGTCATTTGTCACTGATGACAAGTTTTGTGAAACACCCCCCAGAATGTGATATAAACCAATTATGGTTTTTGCTTGCAGTGTGAATGCTCCTAAGGAGAAAAGCTCTTAGTTTGGTTTCTTCATGGGAAACATGACTAAATGTGCGTTGCGGAGTTAGGACCATGTGTGTGCAATGTGTAGAAACTCTAGATGTACGGCTAATATGCAAGCAATGATCTTCTTCAGACAGGATATCAAGTGAATATTCAGGCCAAATGGCTATCACTTCACAGCATGACTTCACAAGTTTTTATCTCATCCCATCACTATCCATTTCACAAGCCACCTGTTACTTAGATCATAAGTGAACAAAATAATCTTTATAGAAATCTTTTTAAGCACTTATATACTGTACATGTACATGTAGCTCTTTGTACACATTATGTACACATTATGCCTATAGCCTAACTGTGGACAATGTTTATACCCTGCTGCATGTCATGTTGAAATGAATCATGAATGCACAATAATTTCGGTCATTATAACAGTCTCTGACTGGTTGTAATTTCAATAATATACCAATTTCTTGTTCAAATGCCCTACATGATTTTTTATATTGTGACATTTGTATGGTTAGTCTGTACATTCACTGAGACCTATCTACCGGAATTAACCTTTAGTTTGTAATCTCATGTTATTTTGTCAAATGGATGTAATTCAGGTATTGCATGAATTTTCATTAGTAGTATATGTAGCTTCATAATGAGGCTAATTGACACTCTGACCTGGATAGTGAATTGATGAATGACACTATTTATTATTTATTGACGTTTATTTATTAATATAGTGAGAGATTTGCTAACCCTTTAAAAAAAAATTCACCTCTCATGTATTACCTACATGTATTTCATTTCTATTCAAAAGAATAATGTAAATATTTTCAAACTTCATCACAAAAACAAAATGATACTCTTATAAGTGTTTACAATTGTTTCATAATTATAATGCATGCAAGCTTCTTATTACCTTATGATTTTAGAAAAATTTTGTTTTTACATAAATGCACATGTGTAAGATACATGTATGCACTGTGTGATACAACTCATACAAGTGAAGGTACGCTTGTCTACATATATACTGTACAATACAGTCTTCTATAGAGAAAGATTCACAGCAGACTAGAATTATGGTCAAGTGATGAACGATCATGTGACTTTGCCTCATACGTAATCGTGTGTACGTGTATGTTGTAATATTCATGAGTTACATGGTTTATCAGGGGAGCAATCAAGTAGTTTCATGAATGTGGTTGTAGTTGACTTCCTAGCTCAGCTAGCTTGGCTTGGCTGAGCTAGCTCTGAGCTTGCTGTGAGTGAGTGACTAGCTGGGGGATGTCAAGTTGATGGATGTTTCCTGTAATCTGAGGTCACATCCACAGTTTCGTGGAAGCTTTGTTTAGGCTTTACCCACACCCTCTTTAATAGTCTCAATTTGTGTACACTAACTGTAGCTGTGTTCACACTGCTTAAGTTTGTTTAAGTTCTACCCATACCCTAATTAATAGTCTCAATTTGTGTACACTAACTGGCCCAAATTCACATAGGAGGTTTGTCGACAAACCTTTGAACGCGTTGAAACGTGTCATATGACGTATGAAAACCAAGGTTTGTCGACAAACCTCCTTTGTGAATTTGGGCCACTGTGTTCACACTGCTGCAGTTTGTTTAAGCTCTAGTCGCACCATCTTAACCAGTCTTAATTTGTATGAACACTTTTAAAGTTTGTTTAGGCTCTAGTTTACCCTCTCTACCAGTCTTACATGCACATGTAATTTGTGAACACTGCAAACTGTGTTTACATTGCCACAGTTTGTTTAAGTTTTAGTCACATCCCCTCTTTAATGTTCTCAATGTGTGAACTCTAACTGTATTCACACTGCTGAAGTTTGTCTAGGCTCTGGTCTCAACAGTTTATAAAATTATTGAATATATGTTAAAAAGTAAGAAATAATACGATAAGAAAGAAAGAAAAGATTTCTCAGAAAATAAAAGGCAAATATAGACCTTTACATTATGATATTCAGGTCTGATAAAAACCTGATTTAAATCGGTTTCCCAATTTTTTTTTACCTGATTTTTTTTCTTTTTTCTTCTTCCCGATTTTATCCTGATTTTCCTGATTTCTATCCTTATTTTCTCTATTCTTCCCTATTTTCCCCAAATTTTCTTACACTACAGGGGGGGGGGGGGGGGATGTTGTAAGATGCCACCCCCCTCCCCCAAATCCTCTTCTTTTCTTTGAAAGGGGGGTATGGTTGAGTTTTAGTGCTCACTATCACCCCTGGATATTGTAATTTTTGTAATGGATCATAATTCATATTCAGCATGTAAGAGCTTCCCAGGTGATATAAAGTGTGAGTGGTAATGATTAGTAGAAAATCAAAGCCTTGATGTATATTGTTATATGGGAAAGAGATGCTGGAATTTCGTTGTCTTGTTTTTTTTGTTCGGCAATTCCCTCTTTCTTTTTTTTGCTTTGTAAAAGTACATGTACATGTATTATAAGATATTAAAGCAAATATTGTAATGTGGTGTTCAGTACTGATACATGGGGAACTCCTCTCAAATGGTTCAAAAAATACCTTTTGAATAGGAAACAGTTTGTTAAATTTAATAATGTTTGTTCTTAATCACAGATCCTTTCAACAGGAGTACCCCAAGGCAGTGTTCTTGGTCCTTTATTGTTTTTGTTGTTTATAAATGATCTTCACTTTGTGTCTGACAAGCTTAATTTTGTTTTATGTGCTGATGACACCAATATATTATTATCAGGTAAAACTGTGCAAAATTTAAATGAGGTTTTAAACCAAGAACTGAGTAAAGTTTGCAAATGGTTCACTGCTAATAAACTTGTTGTTAATATGAAAACAACTAATTATATTGTATTCAGGAGAAGAAAGGTTGGAGGTGATTTTAATGAATTGAATGTAAAATTTGATAATGTGTTGCTCACCAGAGTTAATTCAACTAAATTTTTAGGAGTTTACATAGATGAGTACCTTACTTGGAAAAGTCATGTCAGTTACATATCTTCAAAAATTGCCAGTGTACTGGGAGTTATTTATAGTGTAAATAAACTGCTCCCCCAAAAAATATTAATGAATTTATACAATACTCTAATCTTGCCACATTTTTCATATGCTGTCTTAGCTTGGGGTGGATGTTTAATTACCTTAACGAACCGTTTGCAGATTTTACAAAAAAAGGCTGTTCGTGCAATAACAAACTCTACTTATCTTGCACATACTGCACCCTTGTATAAACGCCTGAATATTTTGAATGTGAAATCTCTATATTATATGCAACTTGCTCAATTTATGTTTCTTTTCAAGAAAAATCAGCTACCATGTATTTTTAATGAGATGTTCATTGTTAATGCTGAAATTTACTCTTATGAAACAAGAAGTTCAAATAAATTTCATTTGCCCTTTGTTAAAACAACTTTTCTTCAAAGGAACATTTATTTTAGTGGACCATCACTATGGAATTTACTTCCCAATGATATTGTCAGCTGCTCATCACTTTATTCTTTCAAGTCAAAGTTGAAACAATATTTGATCTCGTATCCAACTCTTAAGATATAGTTTGTACAGTGTTTCTTTCTATTGTTCTCAATATTTCTTTCCTGTATATCATTCATTTCCTCTTTATATTGTATTTCTTGGTACCACCAACCCACTACTTCTCACCCTACGCATAGATTTGTATGTAATATCTATATATGTTTTTGTACATGTATGTGTTATTGTTTAATTAAAAAAAACTATTGTATTTTTATATTGTAATTTTAAGCAGGGGATGATCCCCGATAAACCTCTGTGGTTTTTGATCACCCCCTCTGCAGGTTCATCTTTTGTTGTAATGCTTTTATATTTGATTGTAATTTACACTGTTTTTTATGAATCTGTGGAAATAAAATGAAATTGAAAAAAAAAAAAAAATCCTACAATGCATGTATGTTATGTTTATTATTAACCATACAGGTTGTACATAATCCAGGATGTAGATGTGATAATTTACCAACTTTTTTTTTCTTTCCTATTTAACAGAAGGATAAATCATCTGAGAATATAAGCTTTCAGCCTCCCAGCATCGAGCTACCAGATAATGCTTCATCGTTCGGCACCTATGCAGCTGTACGTCAGTGTATCCTGGATAGAGAGATCAGAGAAAGAGCTATCATCTTGACATGTGCTACCGATGGAAAGACAGAAGATGGAACAGGGGAGGAGGAGGAAGAGAAGGAAGATGACAAGCTTGTGTCTCTCCCTAAGGTAAAACAATGAGGCAGTCTAATAGATCATTTTAACAAAAGGACTTTTGAAATTTGCTCCAGTTTCTGTGATTACAGGTGCGTGCCCTTCTAATTATTATTTCCACAAAAAGTTTTAAAACTATTATATTAAAAGTAGACGTTATATTGTTCATTTAACTTGGTTGCTACATGTACATGTATTCATGTTCATGAATACAGTGTGTACTGAAGAGAATTTTATAATTTCAAAATGAAATTCCAAAAGTTATTAGCTTTTCATTTTGAGATGTTGGGAATGATGAAAAAAGTCTTACCTACAGGTATTTTTAATTGAATTCTAAAGGTCTTCATGAGACAGCAAGTATAGATCCTCTCCTTAAAACACTTTTTAATTAACAATTCCTTTTAATTCCATGTTTTTTTATGAGCAGTACCTGTAGCTTGATAATGATTTAGATATGCACTATTAAACATGGTCTACCTGTGCAGAACTGTCATATAGTTTTGTTTGTATGCCCTCTGCTTGAACAAGAAGGGTCTTTGAAGCATTCTGGAGACTGAGTGACCATCAAGTGTTTATGGGAGTGTCGTGGTCGAGCGGTTTAAGGTGCTTGACTGGAGATGCGAAGGTTGAGGGTTCGAATCCCGACACGACACTAATATCCTTTGGCAAGATATTAACCTACACTTGCTACTCTCCACCCAGGTGTTATATGGGTACCCGGTAGGATGCGACCGTCATTGTTGGTCAAACAGTTTTTGAGCGTCAAGTAACGCCTGGCCGGAATGCTCCCCAGGGAGTGGAGATTGTGCATACAGTGTGTGGGAAAGCACTGAATCCAATGACCGGGGTAATAGTATATTTGTAAAGCGTTTAGAGACATTGTATTAAGCGCTATATAAAAGCTAAATATTATTATTATTATCTTTGTTGTATGATGTAGGTGGTTGGTCTGGGTCTACGTAGTGTCTTTGAGTTGATTCGGCAGACACGTGCGTCTCATCCAGACTTCTGTGCTAAAGCTCTACAAGCTCTCCTAGACATACTCCAAGGTCAGACACCAGAGGGTCTCAGTAAAGAACCTGATGATATACTGGGTAAGTTATAGTTTCAAGTTTAATGTTCCACATTTTACAGAAAATATAAACATACATATAAAATAAACAATTATACATTACAATTGTAGTATAAATGAGCACATGTCTGTGATTCTCAATTCATATAATAGATAAAGTAGAATGTGAGGAACCTATTAAAAAGCAGGGTTGTATAATATGGGTTCCTGGAAAAAAAAAGGTAATGTAGATGAAAAACAGTAGCAGTAGAGAAAGACGTAGTTTAAAGGGAAGAATTTAAAACATAATGAAGTAAGGACATTTGTATACAAAATAATGCATTGGCTATTGGCACCAATACCCAGGGTCACCCGGTTAAACAGCATAGTCAACCAAGCAATTTAGTTAGCATAGCACAAAGTAATTTGTTTATACATTAAAACACTGGAACAGGCATCATTATTGACAATTAAGATTAACATTAAAGGAAAAAGGAGTGTGGGGAGGGCAAACAAATTATATTAGATGTAAGAACTTTATTAGACTCATCTTCTAAATCTAGAAAGTGTGCATTAAATTATTCCTGATATAAACTTGGTATATCAACATATGGACAAGGAAAAAGCTGTCAGAGGCAACAAGAGCAACATCAGATGGAGAAAGATGACCACAGCAGGGCAGCTAGCATCTCCTGACTGAAAGAAGAATGAACTTGGTTGTTGTCAATACTGTATTTCTAATTTTCTACATTCATTAAAATAGATTTTGTGGGTAGTGATAAAGTCCATAGAAGGAGCACTGTTTGTTTGTGTCCATCTTTATACATGTCAGCTCCATGTATAATCCTTCATAGAGTAACAGTAGGCTGTACTATGAGATACTGGATACAAGCACTTCTGTTTCTAACGAGAGAGCTTTTAAGGAGTTAAGGTACAATAACACTCATCACTGTCTAAGTGGTCATTAGAGTTTGTCTCAAGAACCTTGGAGGAAAATCCATTATTGTTATGCTCATTTTCTGCCTTCCTTATTCCTTTTTGGTTACAGGTTCTTTGTTTGAACTGCTGATGAATCTTGCTACATCACCTTTAGAGAATGACACTCATTCTCTCACCACACTCAGTAGTGCTTGTCTTCTGAGTCTTATGGTTGCTATGGGTAACACTGGTAAACTACTCACCGGTATCTCTGCATTACTCATGATAGTCGGCCAAAGACCTACACAAGCTTTACAGGTAACATATACTCACATCCTTAAGAAAACATATAGGAGATCCTTTTTAAAAATGATGGTGTCTATGTTTTTTTTTTTTTTTTTTTTTTTTTGGGGGGGGGGGGGGGTGAGGGCTTGTTGAACTTAGGTGAAGGTGAAAGAGGAAGAGAGCAAAGATTGAACAAAGTATCAACACTGCGAATGAGGGGAAGACGGGAAGAGAAACGTAAAAGAGGGAGAGAGAAATTAGAGAAAGGGGAGAGAGAGAAGGAAGGAGAGGAGAGTGTAGAAAGGGAATAGGAAGAAGGGAAAAGAAAGGAAGGGAGGAAGGTAGGGAGAAGAAGGAGATGAGAGTGGGAGGGGACAAGGAAGGAAGAGAAGAGGGAGGAAGGGAAGAGATGGGAAGGAATGTAAACAAAGGCCTGAGGATGGTGAGCATAAGGTACATGTAATTATATTGTGTTTCAGTCTCAAACCTGTTTGAAATGCAGGATATAAAAGAAAACAAAACTGCCTTTACAGTAGCAAGTGAAGGTGATATCTGAAAGTATTTAGTAAGATAGTAAAGGTATATTAAATTAAATTTTGTTCTCCTTCTGTAGGTTCCTGCCATCATCGTTGCTCTTCAGCGTAGTGTACATGCTCTGCTGGTAGGCAAGACGCACTTTCCTGATTGGTTGAATCTAGGTGTACCTAACCAATCACTCATTGATACCTGGTCTATCCCTGGCCTTAGTCTAGGTGAGTCTCTTTGAATCTAGGTGTACCTAACCAATCACTCATTGATACCTGGTCTGTCCCTGGCCTTAGTCTAGGTGAGTCTCTTTGAATCTAGGTGTACCTAACCAATCACTCATTGATACCTGGTCTATCCCTGGCCTTAGTCTAGGTGAGTCTCTTTGAATTTAGGTGTACCTAACCAATCACTCATTGATACCTGGTCTATCCCTGGCCTTAGTCTAGGTGAGTCTCTTTGAATCTAGGTGTACCTAACCAATCACTCATTGATACCTGGTCTATCCCTGGCCTTAGTCTAGGTGAGTCTATTTGAATCTAGGTGAACCTAACCAATCACTCATTGATACATGGTCTATCCCTGGCCTTAGTCTAGGTGAGTCTCTTTGAATCTAGGTGTACCTAACCAATCACTCATTGATACCTGGTCTATCCCTGGCCTTAGTCTAGGTGAGTCTCTTTGAATCTATGTGAACCTAACCAATCACTCATTGATACCTGGTCTATCCCTGGCCTTAGTCTAGGTGAGTCTATTTGAATCTAGGTGAACCTAACCAATCACTCATTGATACCTGGTCTATCCCTGGCCTTAGTCTAGGTGAGTCTCTTTGAATCTAGGTGTACCTAACCAATCACTCATTGATACCTGGTCTATCCCTGGCCTTAGTCTAGGTGAGTCTCTTTGAATCTAGGTGTACCTAACCAATCACTCATTGATACCTGGTCTATCCCTGGCCTTAGTCTAGGTGAGTCTCTTTGAATCTAGGTGTACCTAACCAATCACTCATTGATACCTGGTCTAACCCTGGCCTTAGTCTAGGTGATTCTGTGAATTGATTCCAGGAAATATGAGGTGCACCGAATATTGCAATATTTCACAATGTGACCATTGACCAGTTTTCTAATCATTCTCCTGAAGCAACGAAAAAAATACACGGTGGCGACGGGCGATTCGCCCCCTAAACCTCTGAAATCGCCACGGTAAAAATCAAGACGAGGGCGAAAAAAAATCAATATATCTTGAAAAATCGCCCCCGCCATAAATTGATATTCCCTATGAATTAATAAACCAATTTATTGATGTGTCTGAGTGAAATCTCCGTTCCAACTACCAACTCCAAAACTAGAAACTTCCATCAACATTTTAAAAGTTTTGTAAGTTGCAGCGGATCGGCGGTCGTACCTACTGTAGCTAGATCTATAGCGGTATCCGCCTGCCTGCGCCTAAGCTCCCGGCGGCCGGACAGGCCACCGGCCCCGATGTAGTTTCCTGCACAGCATGAATGCATACGCAGTTCGCACACGTTCACAATACTAGAAACGTACTAGCTCAGCTCCAGCGCGCGCCCGCACGCTCCTTGTATGAAGCAAATAAGTATTTGCGAGTGACGAGAGCTCAACTGCTAGCGACCAAATTGGTACGTAATATGTTTATTTAGTCTTTTTTCTGGCCCTAATTTTTATCATGGACAATGCAATCCCATTAAAAAAAATGTTATTCCGTCTAAAATTGTGTTATTTATAAGTTAAAACCATTAAATGCGAGTATATTTTTACTGTTGTCCCACATACTGATATATTTGTAATAACGAAACGTGCAAAATCAATGCCGGATTTTTTCCTGTAAAATCGGTATAAAGCAAGTTTCGTACACAGAAATTGAATTTTGTTATAAAAAAACCGTAAATAAATATATAAAGGATGTTCCTACTCCTCAGAATCTTTCTTACAACTGTTTAATTAAATTAAATTATTTATATACGATCGATGCCAGGCCAATTGTCATGAGTGATGATGACATCAATTTCTGTCTACGAAATGAAACTAGCTTTGGCTTGGCCTTTAGAATTAGAGTCTATAAAAAAAAAATAAGGCCATGATTTTGCATGTTTCGGCACAACAAATAGACCCTACATCGGTATGTGGGACAACAGTAAAAATATTTACTCACATTTAATGGTTATAAAATGGTCTAAATAACACAATTTTAAAGGGAGTTGGTCTACATTTTTTTTTAATGGGATTGCATTGTCCATGATAACAATTAAATTTGGGACAGAAAAAAAGACTAAATAACATATTACCTACCAATTTGGTTGCTAGTAGTATGATGGCTAAGGAAAAACACAACTTATTGTTACAGCTTACAATATGGCTTTAAGGAAGTAGCCCCTTGGTTTTTTTTTAGGCAATGGGGAAAAGTAGCCCCCATAAAAAAATTAATTCCTAGCCCGCGTGTCAGTGATAATATTTTCTTAGGATATGAAAAACGAATAGTTAAACAAAACACTCCTTTTGACAAGTTTTAGTTACATGTATATGTAAATCATAAAGCCACACGTTTAACACAAAGTGAATAAATCATGGGTATCTGAATGTCTGCAATACTCTACATGACATATGTACGCTACAATTGTATCTAGATCTATATTTGCCTTTGCTTGGAATTTAATTAGGTAAAACCGCGTTTAAAAAAAATACAACCTTTAAAAAAAAAAGCCCCCCTGAGCTCCAAAATAGCCACCGCAAAATAATTAAGGGGGGCTATTTTTTTAAGGGAAAATCTGAAAAGAGCCCTCGTAAAAAAAAAAGTAATTTTTTGGTTGTCCTGAAGGCGTTCAGAACTCATTGATCGTAACATCAAGTAATAAAGAACTCTTAAGTCTTATTCCTTAGAAAGAATTACATGGAGTAACCCTGAAAACTTAACTTTAAAATTCAATGTGACTGATGTGGAGTAATTTTGAGAATATTCAAGAAGAGTGGCTGCAACTTTATCTACTTTGGCAAGTCTAAGTAATATCTCTTGTGTTTTAACAGAATCATTTTTAACTAGTATGGACATTTCACAGTGTCCCAATTTGTTTCATTATGTACAGACAATTTCTGGCCTGGACATTCCTTGAGATATCCATTAGGTTAGAACATTGAATGATATATGCTGCATTGTTCTAGTAGTGCAATTAATTACATTGCAGTAAATGAGGCAAATATCTATCCACCTAAACATGGAGGGGAAAAGGGGACTATAAGCTGGTTACGTCACAGTGTGAAAAGCATGATGTATTAGGATAAACATTTGAGAGTGAAACCTTACCTCTCTTCCTCCTCTTCATTCATAATTTGAATGATCACTAACATAAGATGTCTTGTCTCTCTTTTAGAAGCATCTAATGCTACTGGTTACAGTGCAATCGCCAGTGATGGACGCTATCTCTACATACATGGAGACAAGGGACTCAGAAAGATTGGATCAGGTTACTCTGGTACAATAAGGGTAAGCTCATCTCAGGCCCTTAAAGCCCCACTGCACTTCTTATAGCTTTTTATATAGCAAACAATGCCTAATCGCTTACCATTGGTCCCCATGGGCCCCTTTTTCTTATGATAATTGAGAACTGATTTGATGAGATAACAACCTGTTAGTGACCATGCAGGGAGGTCTAATCCCTCCTGGCCAAACTAGTGCAGATAGGCTTTAAGCTCTACCAATTTGTCTGCCTTAAAGGCATAAATCAGCTCTATCTACATAGTTGCTATTCATTCCTATTGTGGAGGTGTTATTTCTGTTTTTAACCATCAAATTAATATTATGGACCCTATATTCTTCAACTTTTCTGATACTTTATCAGGAGAACCATAAAGATTCACTGAATTTGTAATGTTGCTTCAGGAGATTCGAATTTTTATCACGGAAGGTTGGAAGGTGTGTACTTCTGGATACTAATGTCCCTAAAGAGATTTTTTAAGGATATTCAAAGGTGTATTTTATGTCCATTGCAACTCTGACTTGATGATTATAACTTTTTTGTTGTTGAGGGGGTTCCAAGTTGTAGCCTTTGAAACTGAATCTCAGGTTTGTTTATACCTAGCTATTGTCTTATATTAGGAAGTAAACTACTGTAATTGGTTTTTTGAAATTCCAGTAAAATCTTGATTCACATTACCGACCTTCATTTCTTTTCAAAATAGTGGTATTGCTGGAATATTAATCACTTTCATTGCTAGTTATTGTTCAATCTTTTTCCAAAGAGGGTGCTACCCAGATACTTGCAATGAAAAATAATGGAAAGGGTGTAATAATCAATAACTCTTCAAGTCTTAGATGTTAACCATTAACTTTATTTTGACCCTACAGGGTGAGCTATACGCCTGCAATGAAGTCTTATTTATCAATAATCAGGATTGTAAGGTTTTATTGGAATTAACTTCTTTTTAATTTTATTTAGGCCATACAAGGTGAGCTATATGACTGGCTTGCAATGATTTTGCCATTCCCGATAAAAGGGGTTGAAAGGTTTTATAGGAATCAACGTCTTTACACTTTGTTTTGACCCTACAGGGTGAGCTATACGCCTGTAATGAAGACTTCTACCCCAGTGAGAGGGGATGGTTAGGATTCAGTAGAAATCAACTCCTCTTCAAGTCTTCTATCTTAACCTTTAACTTTGTTTTGACCCTACAGGGTGAGCTATACGCCTGTAATGAAGACTTCTACCCCAGTGAGAGGGGATGGTTAGGATTCAGTAGAAATCAACTCCTCTTCAAGTCTTCTATCTTAACCTTTAACTTTGTTTTGACCCTACAGGGTGAGCTATATGCCTGTAATGAAGACTTCTACCCCAGTGAGAGGGGATGGTTAGGATTCAGTAGAAATCAACTCCTCTTCAAGTCTTCTATCTTAACCTTTAACTTTGTTTTGACCCTACAGGGTGAGCTATACGCCTGTAATGAAGACTTCTACCCCAGTGAGAGGGGATGGTTAGGATTCAGTAGAAATCAACTCCTCTTCAAGTCTTCTATCTTAACCTTTAACTTTGTTTTGACCCTACAGGGTGAGCTATATGCCTGTAATGAAGACTTCTACCCCAGTGAGAGGGGATGGTTAGGATTCAGTAGAAATCAACTCCTCTTCAAGTCTTCTATCTTAACCTTTAACTTTGTTTTGACCCTACAGGGTGAGCTATACGCCTGTAATGAAGACTTCTACCCCAGTGAGAGGGGATGGTTAGGATTCAGTAGAAATCAACTCCTCTTCAAGTCTTCTATCTTAACCTTTAACTTTGTTTTGACCCTACAGGGTGAGCTATACGCCTGTAATGAAGACTTCTACCCCAGTGAGAGGGGATGGTTAGGATTCAGTAGAAATCAACTCCTCTTCAAGTCTTCTATCTTAACCTTTAACTTTGTTTTGACCCTACAGGGTGAGCTATACGCCTGTAATGAAGACTTCTACCCCAGTGAGAGGGGATGGTTAGGATTCAGTAGAAATCAACTCCTCTTCAAGTGCCAAGAAGGAAATGAAGCAGCAAGAAACATACTGGTTAGAGTGGGTACCAATGATCTTAAAGAACAAGGACAACTTGCCATGCCATCAGTCGGTAAGTACACACATGTTAAAGGGAAGTCCACCCTCATATTAATTTGGTTATAATAAAAGCAGAAAAATTAAAGAAACAGTTCAGTGTAAGTTTGAGCAAAAAACGATTATCAAAAGAAATTTTGAAGTTGCGATCACTTTGTGACGTATCTTGTGAGTTCCTATTCGCCCTGTACTATTAACAAAAATTCATATTTCCCATCAGAAATTTTTCAATCATACATTTATCATAGATATTATTATTGTAAATAGTTTTTATACAACCCTTGTAAGAAAAAAAAAATCAATTCTGTATTCATTAACTAAGAAAAAGAAAGTTAATAACATTTTTGTACAGAGCAAATTGGAGTGCAGCTTGCAAGATATGTCACAGTGTAGCCTATTTGTGTTTGATTTATCGCAGCTTTAAAATGTCATTACTTTTTTATTTTTCAACGGATTTTGCTCAATCTTACACTTATTTGCTCCTCTCATTTTTGTGCTTCTTTTAAAACCAATTTGATATCAGGGTGGACTTGCCCTTTGATCTTCACCCGTCTGTTGAGAGCCAGAAAGGCATTAAATCATATTCTTTTACAAAGACTTTAAATCAGTTAATGCCCTTCTAACTCTCTGTATTTTCCCTAATGAAATAAGTCAAAAATCGTGATTGATATGTCTTTCCTTTCTCCTTTTTCTGTAGAAGTACAGGGCCCTTTTCACGAAACTGTCATAAGTCTAACTTCTTGATTTAAAGAGTATTCATAATAATCACAGAATAATACAGACATGTTAGAATATCCTATGATTACCAAATGACTGAGTCCTCACAGAGATATACAATGATTTTAGTTGATGTATGAATTCAATTATGATGATAATTACTACATCCTCAAAATATAGAACATAGTTTGTGCAGAATTTGTAAATGAATTCTGTTTATACTGACACTATGCCATGGAATGCCAATAAACAAGCACTGTTGTGTTTGGCTTGGGGATGTTTTTTAGTTCAAATTAAATCATAATGTTTCCTTTTGCTGCTTCTTAATGTACACATGTGTAATTGATTTCAAAGAGAAGTTTTGACATGCATTCTTGCTAACTTTCACCTTTGTTACATACGGTAATCGTTGTGATTTATTTTCTTTCAGCTTGTTCCAGCTCTGGTCTATTCTTCAGTGATGGTATTAATCTTGGTATTCTCACTTCAGTGACTGATGTAAGTATATCATTGCATACTAAAACTTAAAAAAGGTGCCATAATTCCCCATGTAGTTATACAATTAATATGTACATATGTAGGTTATTGAAACATTGCATTGAAGGATGATAATAATTGTTATTATAATTAAAGGGCATTTTGCCAACCAGAAAATCTGATATTTTTGCAAAAAAGTTCCTGGATGACGGTACAATATTGTTATCAAATATCTTTTTGTTTTAGATGGGCAAATGTTATAAGTGAGAATTTTTAAAACATGCAGAACTTAGACAATGGATGTATGTGCAATTTAATACATAAATGTAAGGATATGATGATTGAGATTTCATAAGTAAGTTTTATACCTTTAATATTGAATAGAGTCATTGAGTCAAGGGTAAATATATCACACTTGTTTTGGAAATACTACTCTTGTTGTTCTGACTTGTAAAATATGGTTGTTACATACAGCTCCTGTGACATCCACAATTCAACATAATGTTACACATTACTGTTAACTGTGGGTTGATTTGTTTTATGATATATATAATGTGTGATACATTCAATCATAGATACAGTCAAACCTGTCTATAGCGACCACCCAAGGGAAACACAAAAAGTGGCCTTTGTAGACAGTTGGTCTTTGTAGACAGGTTTCTTTAGTACATGATTCAATAAGAAACCATTTTCAAGGGAAACAAAAAATGTAGCGTTTAAAGACAGGTGGTCACTAAAGCAGGTTTGACTGTATTACTATTTATTACCTCCCGGTGTACTGTGGCATTAGTTTCATTGTATATTACTATATCTGTATGCAGGACACGTTTGTAGTGCACACCCTTGGTTCCTTGAGCGCCTTCTCTGTAGGTGTAGGTGGTGAGCTTCAAGCCAAGCTAGCTAGGAAGTGTCTCATGGCGTATGGTGATGCCATGCCAGGAGGGGATAAAGATGCCAAAGACTCTGAAGAAATAGGTGAGAAACAATGCAATATAATAGTTGTGATTGTATGGTATGAGTGATGTATATGCTGATGAAGGTGATCAATGTGCTGAATGATGGGTTATAATGCGGAAGAAAATTTGAGGATTACGATGTTGAAGTGAGAGTAATAATAGTGTTTTTCGGGTTGTTATTTTGTTCTTCTCACATACATGTAGGTTATACAATGTTCAGTTTGGTAGTTTGGATTTTCAAAACAAAAAAAATATCAAGCCTGTTCATCTTTTTGCTGCCTTATTTCATGTTTTGCTGGCTATAAATCCAACATACATGGTGTAAAACTTATAGGCCCGATTTCACAAAGGGGGTTTAGATTTAACCCCTGGTTTAAACCCTCATTTACAAAACCCATTGTTTAAAATAAGCGCAACACAGTCAAGAGGTCCAATATTAGACGCATGCAAGGCAAGGTACGCTTATTTTGCGCTAATTTTTAAACCATGGGTTAAATCTAAACCTCCTTTGTGAATTCGGGCCATATTACCTGTAAAAATTTTCAGCTAAATAGCCACCTGCCTCATTTTAAAGATACATTTCCTTCTGCTTTTATCAATGAACAAAAGCAGAAGCATCGTTTACTGTAATAGCAATTGAAAGAGTTTCAACAAGAATATTTTCTTGACTGAACATTTATTTGAAAGGTTGTCTCTAAATTGAAATATTTTTTCCAGTAAGTTTCACTTATTAATAAGTTGTTATGAATTGTTTTCAGATCCTGGTACCAATGAGGAGATAGTGATGGTGGGAACAGGAAAGGAATTCTCAATTCTCAAGACCAGCTCAGGGAAGGTGAGTGATGTACTCTTCTATGATGTGTAATCATCATTTATATCCGTCATAAAGAAGGAAGTCTCAGAACTTAAAGATCATTAACATGTCTCAATATAGTGTTGATATATCTCTCTTCTTCAGGTATATTTCATGGGTAAAAATAATGATACCGTAAATCTCTGTGTATAAGACGCACCCCTATTTTTGGGGCAGCAAGCCAGGTCCATGTTCAAAAACCCACCCGGGGATGGACCTTCAATTTACTGCGAGGTGCAGTTGAAGGCACCGATTTGTGCTTGTGAACTTGTCACAAATATTAGTAACAATGTCATTTTTAAAACAAAGGATGACAGAAATCCTGACATACAGGTAGGTAGTATTGTTCTAGTTTCCGAGTGGTGAGTCAACACACTGTGTATTACTGAGCCGGGAGACATTGCCTGGTGGAGGGGCATAAATCATCAATCAACAAATTGAGAAGAATTTGGAAGTCTCAAAGCTTAAAGATTATTGACTTAATATCTATTCTTCCAGGTCTATTTCATGGGGAAGTCTCAAAACTTAGGGATCAAACAAAGCAGTAGTACTCCTGGTCCTAGTAAGTGGATGGAGCTGCCTATCTCACGGTCACCAAGCATTGTCCAGTGTAGTACTGGTCATGATGGTCATCATATAGTCATGCTATCTGAGGATGGGTCAACGTACTTTGCTGGTACTGCGAGGAAAGGTGAAGATGGGGATCAAGGTAAGACAAAGACTTCTTCAAAAGACGTTTAAAAAAAAAAAATCTATTATCAATTAATTGTACAACAAGCTCTGTACATTTTTTTGGTTGTAATTCCTTATATTCATGTAATATTTTGTGTACACCTTACGTGCCATTCTATGCATATAAGTGCACTTTGCAAACCTAAAGTATTATTTCTATTATTTTTGTGAATAATCATCATTCATTAAAATAAGTGGTAAATATATCAACACCTGGTCCCCATTTCACAAAGACTTTTTTCAATGACAAATGACAAATATCAATGACAAATCTGCTAATAACCAATCAGAAGCAAGGATTTCACTAGCATATAACGAAAACTGTCATTTGTCACTGATGACAAGTTTTGTGAAATGGGGACCTGGTGAGTGCACACTAACATGTATTTGTATTTGTAATTGTATATGATGTAAATTTGTTAAAGATTTTGAAAAATAAAACGATGAATTGAATTAAACATTAAGATAGGAAAATATATGATCTATGAAGTCATTAACAGGCAATTTATGTTTATAAATGTCAAATGCATAAATGTTTGATTCTCCAATTTACACTATATTTCAATAGGCCTATGCTTGACAAGTTTTGCAATCATAAATAACGTTACAAATAATCATGTGGAATGATAAATGTAATTGACCTTACATCATCACAAGTTTCAGCTCCTGTAACCAATGCTTTGTATCGGTGTCTCCTATCAGTGAAAGGTCGTCGCCAGATGAAGCCTAGTAAACCAGTGAAGATGCTTCGTCTAGACGGCAAACATGCCATTCATTCAGCGTGTAATAACGGTAGTACTGCAGTGGTTACCAGAGAAGGGGAACTCTATCTCTTTGGGAAAGATGTCCAGAATGCAGAGGCTTCTACTGGTAAGTAGGGTTCCATCTCCAAGCTGAAACCCTATGTCAGCTCAGAGAGGTTGTTAGTAAGGTAGAGAGGAGGAGATCATAAAGGGATCCAGTAACTTTGTCTTAGATCATTTTGAAGAGCAATTTTTTTTAGGGCTCAATATTACACCATATCACAAACACTGATAGCACGTAGGGCCATGCATATCAGATTTAACATTGTTAAACGATGCCTTCAAAGGTGTATTTTTGTGTTTTGCTTCAGTATATCACATACTGCCCAATTTTAAGAGTATAGAAATTAAGTAAAAAAATGCAAGACTCTGCATCTCTGTAGCCTTCAAGCATTCTTTAGACAATGTTAAACCGAACAATTGATTTATTGATTTATTGTGCTAATATCACAGTTTGGCTCTTTATAATCTATCTATATCAAGCTTCTTCTTTTATTTATTTATTTATTTGTTGCTTCTCACTAACCTGTGGGGCAATTTAGCATTACTAAATGATGAGCTCCATTTCAAAAAAAAATTATCAGTCAATTTTTCCGTATTGCCGTTACTGGTAACGTAGCTGCCAGCCGTTCTTATTTTGAGGAATTATTCCTTTTTGGGGGCCTTCAAACTAGTGTTATGGACTCCAGATCCCTCTCTCGTTCCAAAGGACTTCTTGTGTAAAAAGTACACACAATAGGCTATATTCCTACTTTTGCCCTTGAGAGATTCCCAATTTTTACAATGAAAGGTTGCCAGGTATGCTAGTATTGATCGTAAGAAACTCATGATTCTACAGTGACTTAGTCCAGCATCATTTACTGTTTACCACTTTTCCCTAGGTCTTGTGACTGAGTTGAAGGGTACCCCAATCAAGGAGGTAGCGTTAGGTAAAGCACATGTATGTGCATTGACCACTACTGGACAACTCTACACCTTTGGGATCAGTAACAAAGGTCAATGTGGACGAGGGGTCATAGCTGGACATCCTGCCAAGGAAGGTCAGTAGCAGATTCTAGAGTTGTGCCATTTTGTTTGATGGGTTGTACTTGTTGTACCAGACTGATAAGAAAGTATGTGAATGCTTGTTAATAAGCAGCCGGGGGACTGACGACTTAAAGTCCTCTCTGAGAGACTTGATAATGAGGATTAATGCCTTACCAAAGGGCACTAGTACATCGACTTGGTTTTGAACACAGGATCTCCCGGTTACAAGACCTGTGCTCTACTGCTGAGCCAATACACCTTTTCCCAGTCCATGTGAAGACAAAATAAACCCTTACTTGTAAATATGATTTTAGGAGATGCTTTATAATGTGTTATTATCAAACATTTTGCATGAGAAGCATCTCTTTATTGAGGGAGGAAACTATGAAAACAGCATACTTTTATAGATCTGGTAGTGCTCTATGTAATAATATAATTTTACCCAAATATCTGTTGTTTTGAACTTTATCACAGTAAGATTAACATAAATAAAGACTGTGAGTTGATCATGTTTTCTGCAAAATGTTGCCTACAGAAAGAGATTATTTGGTAACCAATCATGCAAAGCAAGGGAGATATTATCATATACATATACCTCACTATAAGAAGTAAATAACAAATAAGATAGACATAAGTGCAGAATACCAGCTTTTAATGTGACAGACTTGAAAACCATCCAAGAGGTGGGAATGTTTTAATTCTGATGATTTATAACTATATTGATTTTAAAATTGCAGATGCAATATCGGAAGGGATCCCCATAGCAACGGAAGATGATGTTGAAGAGGAGGAAGTAGACAAGGAGGAGGAGCCATGTAACCATGACTTTGTTACTGATCAATGTATGATCTGTACCTCGTGTGGGGAGTGTACAGGGTATGGGGATAGCTGTATTAGGAGCCAACGACCTGGAAGGAGGCCTGGTCTGTAAGTATCCACCAACCAAACAGTCCATCCCATCAACCTAACAACAGAAAAAAAGATAAGATTACTGGTTATGTTTCCACACAAAAGTAAAAAGAAAATCTTCTTTGTGAAAAAAAAGGAGCGGTGTAGGGTTAGAAGGGATATCAGCTTTCATGAACATAATTTGCAAGCCTATTTTGTTAAATTTCATGGATACATAGAGGATACTCTCATGTGTAGCACATTTGTTATGCTGCATAGATGAAACCATACTGTATTCCCATGTTAAAATATGAGTGCTTATTAAAAGATGTCCCTCTTGTACAAGTATTGGTGTTAAAATTACAATATTTCTCAATCACCATCATCTGACAGAGAGAAATTGTCTTTAGTACAATTACAATGATAATGAAGATTGATATGAGGTCTTTTCCAGTTGTGATAACTCACTCACTAACCATTGGTTGCCAAAATTACACATGAACAAATAAATTGATAGAAAGCTCAGAATAGAGTGATGCCAAATTAAGAAAACATGTGAGTGAATAGAAAGCAAACCTGGAAAAGACAAATAATAGTACGAGGTAAAATTCTCTCAGAAATGGAAAAATCAGTATGTCAGTGATGAATTTCAAACCACAACAGAATAATTTAATGGTTGTATAACATCCTCTGTGGTGCCACAGTCCAACTCTGCTGAATGTGCCGATATGGTTTGATGATTGTGACTGCTAAGAAAACATGTGTAGGCTTGTAAGTAAGCAAGCAGGGGACTGATGGCTTGAAGTCCTCTCTGAGGGACTTGGTAATGAGCATTAATGCCTTACCGAAGGCCACTAGCGAATCCATTTGGTTTTAAACTCCAGTCTTTCCAGTTATTAGACCACTGCTCTAACACTGGGCCATCTTGCCTCCCCCACAAAGTTAAACAAAGAATATACCTCTTCTATCTCTTTCCCCTGTAGGATCTGTGGATGTGGATCAGGAGATGCAGGGTGTAGTAAGTGTGGAATGTGTAGGGCTTGTATAGGTGATGGCGGCGGCGTCGTGGCCGCAGCGGTCGGTGTGAATGCTGCAGGAGAGAATAACCAGGGTAACAATCGAAGCAGAGGAGGAGGAGGAGGAGGAGGAGGAGGTAATAACGTAGTGATGATGGGTAATGGCGCACCCAATGACTGGCTAGGTCATCTCAGGGATGCGTTCATCAGAAGGAAGGTACATCATAGACAGCTGGACTGGGTGCTCGGCAAGGACAAAGGAAAAGGTTAGATTCCATTTCATTTTTTTTCCATTTTTATTTCCAACAAAATACAATACATAATAACGAATACAATGTAAAATGTATACAAAACATAGTTACATTTGTAATAAACAAATCTTAATAGTAATTTATACATTTGAGGAAGACACAAATTGAATTTTTAAATTTAACTGCATTTATACTTTGAGGAAATGGAGAGGTCCACTGAAAAGCAGAGCTTGTAAATTGTGGATCTTGTGGATCATCTCTCTTACTCCATTTAAGGATCTTAGATCACTTCACTATCTTCTCTAACATTTCACTATCTTCTCTAACATTTCAATGTTTAGTAACATTTTTTTTTTTTCTCAAAGAATTTGAAAGTACATACAAGTCTGGGAAATGTCCCAGATTACAATATAATTCTGTTTCCTTGCAAAGTTCTTGTGCTTTATTTCCATATCAGCAAATGTCTTAATATGAAGGAAAAAAATAAGACAGTTAATGATATAGCATTTACAAAGCGGGCATATTGATGATAAAAAAAAGAAGAAACAGAATCTAATGAAGTAGTATGATGGAAACATCGAGTGGTAAGAGTTGTAAATAATGAATGAATAAATGAATGAACTGTTAATCCACCAACACATACAGAGTGTTTCAAGAGGCGAAAGATAATATGTGAAGTTTTACTTGAAGATTTTTATGTAATGCAAGTAAATCCCTACAATGGACTTCTTTTGTGTATGTTTTCAGATGAAGGTAATAACAGTGGAGATGATCGTGAACCTGAGCGAGACTTCGGCAAACATGTCATCCACCCACCCGGCCTGGTTACCATAGGAACAGGACAAACACCAATCAAACAAGTCACATGTGGACTACACCATTCAGGTATGTGAAAGAAGAGAAATGATTAAATCAACCTCAGACTGAATGAAAGCTTAAAACATTTGATACTCTGTGTGCTATTATCTCTAATAGAATTAAGGCAAATTTTATGCCAAAGATCCAAGCCCTATATTTGAAAGTCCTTCAGGAAAACAATTATCATATCTCTTTCTGTTTTTCTGCAAATCTCTGTATAAACTAGTTTGTCTCTGATTTCTTTTTTTTAGAGTAACTCCAACATCAGTGTGTTTTCTTTCTTATCATACTGAGCTTAATTACAAATCTAGCAGAAAAATATTATTTTGCAAGAATAGTAGAATATTTGATTTTATTCGAGGAAAAGTGAAAAGAATAAAGGGTGACAGAGGAAGAGAGAGAGAGAGAGGGGGAGGGGAGGGGGCTAGGTATTAAAAAAAAAAAAAAATATATATATATATATATATACAGTGCATATATTTTTGTCTTGTGTAAGGGGAGATTTTACATTGATTCAACATATCGTTTTACACATGGTTATTTTCTTATTGTTACTTTCAGTGGTTCTTCTGGAGAATGGTGAGGTGTATGCCTTTGGTCTTGGTAATCATGGTCAGCTTGGGCAGAGAGATTCAGCAAACAGGTACTACATGCAATCTTTCAATGAATGCTTGACCAACATAGTTCAGAGTGTACTCATCAGTACATCGATTCTTATCTCTTTAAGCCCCAGTCCCATATAAAGCCGGACCAGCACGGACGAGCACGGACCACTCCGGACCATCCCGGACCATGGTCTGGGGTGATCCGGGATGGTCCGGGATGTTTTGTTAAAAAAAGTGTGATGCTTTAAAAGCTACAGTCCCATATACGTCCCGGACCGTCCCGGACCATCCCGGACCCCATCCGGGGTGATCCGGGATTCGGTCCGTGTTGACACCGTGTTGGCACCGGGGTGGTCCTGGATGGTCCTGGATGGTCCTGGATGGTCCTGGGCGGTCAATAACTCACTCCCGGACTGCCACGGATCAACACGGACCGCCCCGGCGCCACTACGGATGACCCCGGACCCAGCACGGTGGCTACACGGATCACCCCGGATCAAACTATTGTCCCGGACCGTCCCGGACCACCCCGGCAGTTTTTGACCGTCAAAAACATCCGGGGTCAACTCCCGGACCGCCCAGGACCATCCAGGACCATCCAGGACCATCCAGGACCACCCCGGTGCCAACACGGTGTCAACACGGACCGAATCCCGGATCACCCCGGATGGGGTCCGGGATGGTCCGGGACGGTCCGGGACGTATATGGGACTGTAGCTTTAGAGCTAATGGAAGAATCACCCTGTTTATTGAAATAGTGTCTCCTTCTTTCAAAAGTTTAATCGTTTCCATTTTTGTTTTTCGTATCTGAATTTCAGTAGTTTTTCATAATAACCAAATATTAGGAACGGCCTGATAAATAATAATAATAATATTTAATTTTTATATAGCGCTTAATACAAATGTCTCTAAGCGCTTTACAAATATACTGTTACCCCGGTCATTGGATTCGGTGCTTGACCGCACACAATGTGTGCACAATCTCTACTCCCTGTCATCTTAAAATTTCATCTCATTACTTATGAAAACATCCAAAGAACATGAGGTCACATGATAGAGCTTGAATGTCCTTGAATTTTAAGTTGACTCCTCAAAAATGTTCCCTCACTATTGACAACAAGATTTATGTTGGTGATTAAAAAGAATGTAATAAATTGTCTACAAAAAATTCCATCTATAATTTAAGCTCTTAGAATACAGGGAGCTTCTCCCGCTCTCTATCCTAGATAACTTGATATAATATTAAGGTAAATATCAACATTTATAAATCATAGAATTTCAACATTTCAATTTTACACACACTGTATGGATTGTGTTTCTAATCAGATCAAGTCCAGTGAAGATTCCATTGGATGAGAAGGTAACCCAGGTTGCTGCTGGTAGCAACCATACTGTGCTTCTATCAGAGACAGGAAGGGTCTATACGTGTGGCAGCTTTCAGGTTAGTAACACATAGTCAACCCTGCAAGTGCTGTAGGTGGTTTAAACCACCCAAATCTGTATTGTATCCTATATCATGGGATGAAGGTAAAACCTGTCCTGTGTAAATTTCAAAATGGCAGGTTATGCATCATGCGGTTTGGTATCTGAAACTTTTAAAAATAAAAATGAAGAATAAAAATGTACTGTGATGGAAAATTGTCTTGCAGTTAATCTTTGTGATATATATTTTCAAAATGTTGGCTTTGTACTGGTTTACTGTGCAGTGTCATAGTACATTCTTTTGCTTGAAAAATTTCAAATATATTCATGATGATACTTTAGAATAAATTTGTGCACCTTGTATAGAGAGCACCTGTAACAGAGAAAAATATGCCTTGTATTATTTTAGAATTGGGTTAGGACATTACCTTCACTAACTGCAGAACTCATTCAACAGTGATTTCAGTAAAAGTCAAATGATCTATACACCTTGAATTACCAGGAGTACATATTTGTAAGTGGTGAGTTTAAGATATATTCAGCCTAATTTGTTGCATGGATTTTCAAGATGATGTACATATATGATTTGCATTTCATTGATTTGATTGCACATCAAGCTTACAAGAGGTTGTCACCATAAACTATAATGTGTGTTATCTGGTATACAGAAAGGGCAGCTGTGCCGACCAATCCAGGAGGAAAACAATGCTGCCGGTGCTGTATCACACAGCAGCCCCGGCCCCATCCCTTCACTAGGTGCTAGATGTAGTAGGAGAGCTACATGGATTGATGCATGTGGGGATAGGACGTTTGTCAAGATAGATGAGGCTCTTATCAGTCCCAAGATGCTCACTGATTCACTCGTCTTTGCTGACCAAGCTGAGATAGGTATGGTATAATCAACATTCTGTTACAGCAGAGTAAAAGAAAAACGACATCATGACACCCTATTTTGTCATACTGTTATTTTTGGTGGGGTTTCATTTTCATGAATTTCACGCATCACTCACCATTTGCGAATTTTAACAACGTGCAGAAATATTGCCACCGTTATATTTTAGACCATGTAAGGGGTGCAACAAGGGTGCACAGTTATGCAGTGCAGCCAAGGCATGCATGCATTTGGCTCGACCATTATCTGCGTCTCTAACAGCGCAGGCGTAGAGTGTATGGAAGTAAGTATGAGTAGCCTGCGGGTCAATCCTAAAAGCAAAGTGTCTTTGGGCCTATAATTTATGAAACTATTTACACAAAAATTGGGCTTATGAAGTATATCATTTGTAGCAATTCCATAGTGCATGGTTCTGTAGATAATTTAAATGCAAATTAGCGATAGACTAATGCCCTTACCTTAGGATAAGTGTTAGTATTGTATTAAATAAAACAGTACAAAAAGACATTCTGATTTGATTCATATCAGCTCTATATTAGGACCTTGTGGCATATTAGCCTTGTGCTAAACAACTGATCCACTGAAGTGATCTAGTGGATACGTCACTGGACTGTGGATCACATGGTTTACAGTTCAACACAGCCATGGCACTAATGTCTTTGGCAAGACATTAATCTGCATTTGGCACACTAGACCAAGGTAAGGCAAATGGATACCTGGCAGGAATTAATTCCTTCAAATTGTTTTTCCCTTCAGGTATCCTTCCTAATGATGAGACGGTATCTTCAGTGAAGTGTTTGATGTTGAATCGTACAGATGGCAGCTGTACTAGCTTCATGGGCTCAGATCAGATGAGCTTCAAAGGCTGCAGTGTGTGTCTAGATCCTTTCTATAGAGTTCTATGGAGGTGAGACTAACATTCTCATTGTCTTGTGGATGTACACAAATGGTACCAAAGTAAAATACATGTTTAAAAAAATACAAGTGTATTACCCTGAAAGCCAAATAATTACTGTTAAAAGGTCAAGAATAAAAGAATGATATATAAAATTTGGTCTTCATATCTTATTGATAAAATATTTATGACCTTGTAATGTGTTTATGTGTGACATAAAGGACAAGAGGTCTGAGGAATTCTTGCCATCAAGATTAGGGCTCTTCGCATAAGCATTTAATCTTTTCCATGTTCTTTTCTTAATAAATAGATATATTATTTTGCTCCCCTTACAGCTACAATCCACTGCTTCATCAGATCCAGTGCTTCAACATTCTCAAGACAGGTGCATCGTTCCCTTCTACCACCACCACCCTCCAAGAACTACCCCCTGCTGCTTCCATTCTTACCCCTCAGCTAGCCCTACCTTGCACCCCTCATATCCCCATCGATGGCTCCCAGATAGCACTCAATGTACTGGCTTGCCTCGACTCATTGACTGCCAGCCGGGAAGCAGGGCTTACCATCTTGGAGTCAGAGACTCAGGTCCAGAGTGTTGCAAAGGTCTATACCAAAGAAGACTTCAGTATTGTCAACAGGTTTGAAGGTCAGTCTGTTATGGGTGTTGTACGTGAACGTGTGACGTTTGAAAGAATAGGGCCTGTGCCTGCCAGATGGGTGTGAACAGAAACTGTATTCATTATCTAAACAAATTATTTAGACAATGAAGTAATAAGCTATCATTGTTATTTTCACTGCGATGCGTGTGTGTAATTGATTTTTTACAGACATGTATCAATCAGATATGATTATTTACGTCTGGGTACCGACTTTTAACGTCACCATCCGAAAGACGTGACTCAGTTTCAAACCTGCGTCCTCAGCTGAATCAGTTTGTAACTTCCATTATAAGCTGTATTATAGGCACATGCCACAACGCCTCGTTGTAATGCTTTACATAGATGCAAGCTAAGAAAAATCAAAACTTTTGACTGCAATTTTCTTGAAATGTTAATCAGTAGTCTGTGCATCCATTCTCGCCCATCTCCCAAGTATACAACAAATTGTAGGTATATGTTTTTGTGCAGTTTTAAAGGCTATTGAAAGATGCTCGCTGCACATTTATTTGTATTTTTTGTTTTAAAGTACAATTGACTGGAAGTTGTGTCATCTGTTTTTTACTAGTCTTTCATAGACTACCCTCCATGTAATTCAGATTGATACCCATAGTGATTGCATCATTATGTGGAAGGGGGATTTCCCTTATCATGGGTATTCCCCCTTCTTGTGATAATGTATCACTCATGGAAGCTTCCTAGATCAAGAATGGGTCTCTCTGATTCAGCAGCGAAATCTTACTGACTGAATTCGTTCTATCCATACATTTACTCTAATATCTTAAATTTCAGTATGAGGTAATATGCCAGAGAAAGTGAAAAGAGAATCTTGTTTCATTTTCAGCCTTACTATGTAGGGCAGTGATCAAGTGGTCTGTTATTTTGTCTGTCTTTAGTACAGGTTGATTCTAATTATTGTTATTCTTATTCTTATTGTAACAGAAGATACATTGTAGTTGTACCTGAGGCATAATAATTTTGAGTTTCAGAGATATAAGTATTTATATATTTTCAATTATTTTCAAAAAAGGTTAGGTTTTGACTGTATTTCTGATCATCTTCATAACATTTCAATGACAATCACTTAGTACTACATGTGTATACAAGTAGCACGTTAATACAATATTAGATCACACTGATTCTTCTTATAGACTAAGTTCTAATGCGTCCTTTTTTTCTTGAACGTTCTTGTAGATTTAAGTAATATCCTTTAAATGTACAGTTAACAACAGAATTGTTTGTAACCCTTGTAAATTTGATGTCTGTTGTGTTTTTCGTAACTCAAGAATGAAAGGCTGGCTGGCTGAATAAGGGCCTGTGCTGAATACTTTTAGATTTAAGCTTTAAAATGTCACATTCTAAAGAAACATACATTTGGGCAAATAGATTTTTCATATACTTAAAAGATGACAATACTCATTATTAAAGGGTATGAACAATTTAGTTGTTAACTGATGGACTTGATAGTGTTTAATCTTTTCCTCTTTTTTTTCCCTATGTGTTCAGGCTATGGAGGTGGGTGGGGTTACTCAGGTCATTCTGTTGAAGCAGTACGATTCTGTCCTGATACGGATATCTTGCTTGGAGGGTTTGGTCTCTTTGGAGGGAGAGGAGAGTATAGTGCTAAGATCAAGGTGAGTTATATTGCACTGTCAGTCCAATTAAGTTTCATCATAGTGGCAAAGCCATTCTTTTGAAATACACAAACATGATACTCTGCAGTTGCAATTCTATGTTTTGTTGGGACCTAATCTTTTGTTAAGTCTTCAAAAACTCACTGTAACTGACATCCTCTGCAAGAAACTTGCATTCTGACTGTGTATGGTGCCTGGGTTCTAAGTTTATTGACATGAAAAACATCCTGTGTGACGTTAATACATTTCTATGGTACACATGTAGCTCCTCAAGTCAGTAGTATTTCTTCAGCCTTAAAGTAAAAAAGGGTTATGTTATGATTCATCTCTGATTGTAATTGCTTTATCTGCAGGTGTATGATCTTGGACCGAAGGGAGGAGAGTATGAGTTAGATGGAGAGTGGATGGCAGAGAGTGATGACATCACCTTCGACTGTGGGGCAAGGTAGGATTGTGACATCATCATGACATATCATTCACAGCAGTTATTTCAATGTCTTTAGTTGAATGTTGTATGTTTTTAGACTTGTGTTACAATTTGATTTAATAGACATAAGGTGCAATTCAGCATTTATTCACAGAGTATTCATTAATTAAATTCTCTGATACATTTCTTAATGGTGTCATGACTGTCAAAACTGTGCTGTAAAAATATGTGCCTTAGACTTCATTGTGAAGAAGAAAAAAAAAGATTATCAAAATTTAGTATACATGGCCAGAATAATAATAATCACCATCCAAGCTTTGATTTCATACTTCTTTTCACGTTTTCAAGTTTTGCGAGGACCCAAAGTTAGTATAGCTCTGTGAACTACGCTATGCTGGATTCCATTTCATTTCTTCGACTCTCGCGGTTCCGACAACAGTGGAACTGTTAGCTCTGTGTGTGGTGTTGTACATGAATGTGTGACATTTTATAGAATTGGGCATGCCCCCTGCAAGATGGGCATTTACAGATACTGTGTCATATATTTTGTTAAATGTGTTATATACATAATAAAGTAATAAGCTATCAAAGTTTAATTGATGGGAAGTTGTGTCATCTGTTTTGCAAGTCTTTTATAGACTCTCCTCCATGTAATTCAGATTGATACCCATAGTGATTACATCATTATTTGGAAGGGGGATTTCCCTTATCATAGGTATTCCCCCTTCTTGTGATGGTGTACCACTCATGGAAGCTTCCTAGATCAAGAATGGGTCTCTCTGATTCAGCAGCGAAATCTTACTGGCTGAATTCGTTCTATCCATACATTTACTCCAATCTCTAAAATTTCAGTACGAGCATCTTGTTTTATTTTTCTGTCTTTTCATGTAAGGCAGTGATCATGATGTTGTCTTGGGTCCGCGTGCAACTGAAGTGCCACAATTATTTTCTCAGATTTTCTTATAAAAACTTTACTTTGAAATGATTATCAAAATGCAGTATACGTGGCCAGAATAATCACAATCCAAGCTTCGATTTCAAACCTCTATTCACAAAAAATATATAAAAATTGCAGCAATCATGATGGAAATTTCAGAGTTTCGCGACATCGCTGCTGGTAGTTCTATATATTATAGGATCATATTTAATTGAGCACCCTTCCAATATTATCTACATATTGCACCTAGCTCCCTCCTCTCTCCCTATCTCTCTCCTTGGTTCTCGTGCTGCAAAATTTCCATTGTTTATATCTTGGACGCTTGCTTATGCATAATCACTGCTATATGCGCTATTTCCCACGATGTACACACAACACACACAGACAGATAAAGGATCTTTGTTTGCATGGATTTTCACAACAAAGTGTGTTAAAGGCTAGGGTTTGTTTTGAATATGTAGTACAAGTTGAAGATTGTGTAAGTCAACACATTTCACTCAGTCTCAACGAGATCGACTTGCGCAAGGTTATCTGTAATAGCAGATTGGTGTACCCCTCCCTCTTCATATTGGATGTTTGTGATATCAGTACATTTTGTTTTTTCCTTACACACAGAGAGAAGTTTCCCATTCTGTTTGAGGAGCCAGTACCCTTAACAGCAGGTAACTGGTATGTAGCATGGGCAAGAGTGAATGGACCTAGCAGTGATTGTGGATCTAGTGGTCAAGGCACTGTCACAACAGAAGATCAGTGAGTTTATCTTGCATTCTCTCTCTCTCTCTCTCTCTATATCTCTGTCTGTCCGTCTGTCTCTCTGTCTATATGCCTCTCTCTCTCTCTCTCTCTCTCTCTTCCCCTCTTTTGGTTTATCTTTCTCTCTCTCTCTCACTATCTTACCGATGTAAAGACAAGACTGGAAGTGATTAAATAATATTCTCTTTGAACAAAAGATAGCAATTTTTAATTTCTTGGGCTTTATCAAGCTCTAAACCATTATTTATCTGCTTGTCTAATCATTCTTCTTTTTTTATTTTTTGGGTGTTCTCCTAATAATTTTTGCTGATATTGCTCTTTCCTTTCATTTAAATTATTTCTTGCTTTCTTTGTTTCTTGCTATATTTAATTTCTTAATTGTAATCAGTCTAATATTTCTGTCTCCTTCTGTTTTCCCCTCACTTTTACTCTTTCCTTGTGATTTGTATTTACAAAGGGGACGTTATATTTTCTTTCCATATGTGTCCATTTAGAGATTTCAAAAATATTTTGTTGTTCATTTTCTCTTATACAGAATTTCATTCCAGTTCATGAGTTCAAAGAAATCTAACAATGGAACCGACATCAATGCAGGACAGATTCCTCAGATACTCTACAGGTAAGAACCTTCCTCAGATAGGAATAAATTTGATGATCTCATATTTAAAACTGCCATGAATTATTTTTCTGATGTTTTACTTAATTTCACCACTCTGTATCTCTTCTTTTTCTGACTGATTACAAAGGTGTAATTGCCCCTTAGCCACGCTCATAGGACCACATTTACTTACCTCTATATGTAGACTTGCTGCTTTTTTTTGCATTATCTGAAATGTCAATCACAAACATTTTTTTCTTCATAAGGAAGATGGTAGTTGCGTGCATTACATTGTTGCACCATACTCTCAATCAAATGATTCGGTCAAAATCCAGGCATGTGCCATTTGCCAAGACATTAATGTTTATTAAAATAGGCCAATTTGATAGGCCTATTTGGGACTTTCCTTGCAGAGACTGCTGATATGAGCAGCTGTCAGTAATTATCTGTTAATACTGTTTTGACCAGAAGGTTCTGTATAATGTAAGTGATAAGCGCTATATAAAAACTAAATATTATTATTATTATTCAGCACACCTGACAGACAAAACAACCACTCAAAGTGATGAGAAGTTTACCATTGCTTTATGGTATTTATCATCTTTCATGCTCTAACTCTCTTTGCTAACATACCGGTAATTACCATTTCCATGAACATGTTTTCATAAAAGTGTGTTTAAAAATCTGTTGTTCACACATGCACTCTAACATACACAAAATAGTTAGATAAATAAAAGCAACACTAAATATGTCTATCTTTTGTTTTCAGGATGCCTCAACCTGATGCGAATAACTTCAGAGGTCAATCATCTCATGGTGAACCAGTTCACATTCTCTCATCATCGTTCAGTAACTCAGTATCACCGGTAAGTATATATCAGCCTTCATTTATTCAACGTGCCTTTCCAGTGGGTTTAAGAACAATTTTTCTCAGACTTATCATTCAACTTGTTGATAAAACTTCTGGGGAATAATAAATGAAAGTAATTTTCATGCAAATGTTGGGTATCCTAGTTTTCACATTTTTCAATAAGCAGTTAAATTTGTGATCATGCAGAGTAGCATGACGTGGTAAAGCAGTAATAGCCCCTTGTGGACTAGTTCAAGATTAAAGTTTTATTGTCCATACACAATTATGCTGCATTATTGTAGAGCGCTTAGAGACTTCTGATAAAGTAAGTGTTAGGCGCTATATAAGCAAGAATAATTATTATTATTATACATAAAAGAAAAATTTGTTTTCCATCATTGTTGCATCAATAAAAACATATACAAACCCTAGTATCATGTGCTGAGAGCCGTAAGGGCTTTGATACTGTGTGAGAGTATATGAGTAAACACCTTTCTGGTCTCATGAGTGGGAAGTCTAGGGTCCAAAACCAAAACACTATAATAATGTTATTAATGTATTGCATTGAATTGATTTGAATAGAAGGTTTTATTATTATTTTGTAGCAGCCAATGGCTGAATTACAAGGATTTACAATAATAAAAACATTCAAACAATGAAAATTTACATACTTGAAACAAAATTGTAAAACCATAACATAAATATGATAAAATAGGTTCATATAGTTTAATACCTTGCATTATATTGGAGACAGTTAGTACACTAACAACAAAAAATACTATAGCTTACATGAATTACAAAATTGTTATTTGATGACTTCTGTCATGTTTGTAGGAGGTGTTTGAGTCTCTGTTGAAACTGCTTCAGTGGAGCTGGACAACATTCAAGAAGAATGCGGAAGGGGTCATGAAGAAGAAAGACAAGGAGCTGCTGAATGCATGCAATGAGCTAGACAGACTGGTTTATATTGCTTCGGCCTGTCTTAGATTACTAAGAAGTCATGTGTGTGAAATATACCCAAACCCAGGTATGTAACAGGATTATATGCTGGTGTGAATGAGCTCATTGCTACAGTGTGTCTCTATAGATACCACTAGGTAGTGCAGACTAGTTTACACTAGATTATGTTATCTAAGACTCTTAAAAGGGGCCTTCACAGTGTGTACACTTTCATACCTAGCATATATGAATTTAAACTTAATCATATGAAATTAAAAACGTGAACCTTTACATGGATATTGTGATTTACATACTATGGAACCTCTGATTCATTACTCTTAAAGCTTGTCAATCACAGTTATATGCAAGGGTTATAGATCTCCTGTCATCATCGGCAGCTGATGTGATCTCTTATGTTCTTTACATCTCCACAGGGACTGGGAAACGTCCAAACAGCGGGTCATCACAACTCCCAGAATGCATCTCCATGACCTGTGACCTCCTGAAGCAGATCCTTGGTGAACTGACGGAGATGGAGCTACAGAGGGCGATAGAAGACGCTCCCAGGTTAACGACCCCTTCACCCATTCCCCACCCCCTAGGGAGGATCATGAGGGGTGTAGTCGAGGAGTGTCACCATACCTTTGTGCAGTGTTTTCATGCTTTCTATCCTACACCACAACTCAAGTGGGTCTTCCTCTGTGATCTTCTCAACTCTAGTCAACATGTGAGTATGAAAAACAAGTACCATGAATCTCTGTGTATAAGACGCACCACTGTTTTTAGGACCAAGACAAACAAATTTTAAAAAATTGCTTTTGGTTTTGCTTTTTTGCCGACATCGTAGGCAGCAAGCCAGATAAAATCGCATCGTATTTCAGCGTTCGGAAAGGTACATGAATCCCGTTCGGAAACCCAGGCAATGCAGAGAAGGGCTTTTATTTAGGCGCAGTTGAAGTGCTTGTGAATTTGTCACAAATAATAGTAACAATGTTGTTTTTAAACTAAAGATGTCAGACAAATTTTATGTGAAGGGGCATAATTTATTGAGACTGAAAAGAAAAAAAAACCTCTCTTCCCTTCAAATTAGGAATGTAGGTTAACTTCGAATAGTAGATCCTATTCTTCATTCGCATTGTGCAATTCATGTTGAGACACAAGAATTTTTCAAAAACCACTAAAAAGTAGCATTTTGAGGACTTAAATATCCTGTACCTGTCTATAGGACGCACCCCGATTTCAAATTTTTCCAGCGGAAAAAAAGTGCATCTTATACAGGGAGATTTACAGTAAATGTGAAAATAGTAAAAGGATCAATCTCTACTTGCACTTACATGTAGATCCTCTTAGCAACTGCATAACGTCCATGTCTACATTTGATATCCTTCAATGTACACATGTATGTTCATCAGTATACCCACTTCTTCTTTCAGAGTCTTGCCCCTGATGCCAACGGTCACCTCCTAGCAGCAGTGTTAGAAGCCCTGTGTGACTCAACGGTCAAACTGACCAAAGTCTTGCCTATCCTGAGAGAGCATCCTGACCCTCACCCTCCAGATCAGACCAGAGCACCGGTCAATCCGGTCAATCCTGTTCCCTTTGCTAAACAGCTCTCCATGGAAGATTCACCCAGTGCTGCTCAAGCTGAAGCCAGGGCTCAGTTTCCTGAGCTCGTTGTTCACATGGAAGATAGGGTACAGGTCAGTTACTGTAAAGGCTGTAATTTTTGCCTGATTAATTTTTCGCGCTGAGCGACCCCAAAAACATTTCCGCTGGTTCTTAGATTCGCGTTGCACACGATTCAGCCCGTCCAAAACACGCTTAAGAAGTTATGCTTATATTTCACGAGTTCTAAAATTTGTGCTTACCGATCTTAGCGGGAAAATTAATGTACCACAAATATTTCTACTTTTATAGTACACCAAGTAAAGATATAGCTTCCTCTATTGTGTGTCATATAAAATGAACCCCTTTGTTAATTAAAATTTTGTTTAGATGGGTAAATGAGAAGTATGAAGTTTCCAGCTGAATGGAGAACATGAGGTATGTTTTCTATTTCTTTTTCAGATGCAACTTTCAAGAGATTTCAATGTGTGGGCACTAATGTTCTCCTCTGATTTATGTTTTCTCTCTTTCTCATTTGTTGTACAGGATGAAGGAGTGATAGCTCTCAACACTAGTTTCCAAGAGATCCTTGATAAACTACTCATACTTCTCACAACACCTGTCACAGAAGCATTAGATAAGGTATAGTAACTTCAATTATGACTATTTCTAAATGTTGAAGTGTGCCAATAACCCTACAAATAATTTATGCATGGCTAGAATGTATAAGATCATCCCCAAAAGAACTTTACATACTGTAGCATTCTATGGGCTAACAGAAGATGAGTTAAAAGAATATTAAAGAATAACACTTAAAACCCCTTGTACTACCGGTACCCGGTAGGATGCGAAAGCTAATGTGGTTTGATTAGCAAGTGGCGCTTGTAAAATGGCGACTGGCTGGAATGCTCCCCAGGGAGTGGAGAATGTGCATATCTTGTATGCGGGTAAGCCTGAATCCGATGACCGGGGTAATAATATGTTCCGCGCCTAGAAACGTAGTATTAGGCGCATTATAAATGTGAGCTATTATTATTATTATTGTCTACTCACAAGCCATTTTTATGTTGATTGATAGTATTTCTGGGTAGTGTTTCACGAAGACTAAGATCAAATTTAGTTGTACTTAAGTATGGCAGGCTGTTTATGCAATTGTCTGCTCTCATCATTATGATCTTTAGATAATATTTTATCCTTCAATAATGTATTATCAAAAAATTAAATTCTGTAGAGGGGTGACCATGATTTGTTCATCCCTTGAGAGACCAATGCCAGTAAATGATAAGAGCAAACAGTGGCATGAATGACCTGCTATATTTTAGTCTAACTTAAGGTCGATCTTAGTCTTTGTAAAACACTCCTCAAGACTTGTAATATCTGTGTAAAGAAGTGTTATTTGAAGTTTATGTTTTACCAACATAGAACCCCTACCATACAGAGTAAAAAATTTGGGTGATTGGTCCCCTGTGAGTGGATGGCTTTTATAATCTACAAAGTATGAGAACTTGTTAATGGGTGTGGAGAAAAAGGAAACATTCTGGTATGTAGATTCCCACACTTCACTAATAAACATATTAAAGCAGATGTGAAACCTGATTTGACATATTTGGTATCAACCCATTGACTACAGAGTTCTCTCAATCCCATAGTGTTAATACATGGACGGCCAGATTCCAGTAGGCAGTAGGTTAATATTTGGTATAAATTAATACTAAAGATTTGAAATGTTATGCACATGTCAATATCAAAGATAAATGGTGAAGAGAGAAAGGTAAAGAAAAAAAGTAGAAACCTGTTGATATATGGGCCTGGAGACTCACACTGACGATTGTTTAGTTTTCAAGTTTCACCAGGTTGACTGCAAGTAATTGTATTGTATGTTTCTCTCTTTAGAAGCAGCAGTGTTTACCCAGCACACTAGTGAAGAATGCCAGCAGACTACTCACCTGTATTGTGAGTGAGCTCTCAGCTATGGCTTGCATCAATGAGGTAAGTCATACACACAAGACTTGAGATATGATATAGCGTAGTATGTTTGCTTGAATGCAACAGGGCATGCTCTGGTATGATTATGTAAAAGAAAGAAAGAAGGGATGCTCTAGAAAAGTGTTTTTTTAAAAGACCTGCCTTTCAAATATATATGAAAGAGAAGTATAAGTGAATTGTATGAATAACAGCTCTTGTTCTTCTTCTATGACTAGCACTTAAGTGGTTAAAGGTATAGAGCACAAATCACGCAAAATGTTAGTGATCTTCATCTAGTTTGAAGTACAAAATTAAGAGAGAGAGAACAGTTATCTTTCTATTAAAAGTCATGGAATGTGAATATATTTGTCAAATTGCTCTGAATTCATCAAAAAGTAGATGCCACAAAAAAATTCTTCTTAGCTGCATTATTGAAAATGATTTTTCTCATTAACTGACAAACTGTAATTGATACTAGAACTAAGGTCTGCAAACTATGACCATATTTCCTCTTGATTTGATTTGATTTGATTTATTTTTTTCCACTCAAATATCCTCAAATTAAAATGACATACATAAACCATACAGTACTATTACAATATATAAAAAAAACAAATGAATTTTACAAGTAACGAAATACTGATAAGTTGAAATAAGTTTACAGAGTACATTTAAGTTTGAGAATAAAACAAAATATTTGATATTGCTTGATTTAACTTCTTGTGCACAGAGTGACAACCAGACGTCAGGACGCCCTCTGTTGACGACCCCATCACGCTTCACCCGAGTGAGTCAGAATCGAGGTTGGAGTACCGGTAACGGTACCCCTGATGCTGTATGCTTCAGTGTTGACAAGCCTGGTGTAATGATAGCTGGATTCTGTGTCTATGGTGGTGTAGGATACTACAACTATGAACTGGAATTGCTTGATGGGGTGAGTCCACAATTCTGAGTTCAAACATTCATTACAGAAGTGCCATTTTTCACCTCAGACAATTTCATAGTTCATGTAGATTGTAATGTATAAGGCTCCAACGTATTTGGGTTTCTCTTTAGCCTAGTTTAGTCACATCAAAAGATGTCCCTGGTTTTAAACTATTCAATGCCACATAACTGTATGAAAATTAAGCTGAAATCCTTTATTGTTTATCTCCATTTTATATGATGTGGTTTTATAAGCTTGAATGTCAAAATAAGATTAGTGGTACTTTGCATATGTTTGATATAACACTTCTATGGTGCATATATAGTTGTGAGATGAATAACTCATAGGTCACATGGTTGAAATGTCAGCTTATAGTAGAAAATGCATACAAAAATAAAAGTGAAGCTTGGTAGAAGGATTTTGCAGTCGTTGTGAAATAGATGGGTTTGATTAGCTTTTAATTGTTTCATTCTACAGAGTGAGGTTGGACCTGATGGTAACAGCCAGCGATGGAACTCACTAGAACTGGTCAAAGGATCATACGGTCATCTCGACCTAGCCAAAGACATTGCAGAGATCAAGTTTGACCGTCCAGTACCGGTCAAGGAAGGAGTGAAGTATGCTGTCAGACTACGTAACCATGGTAACAGGACGGTGAATGGAGACGGTGGTATGACCCATGTGAAGTGTCCTGATGGAGTGACGTTCTCGTTTAGTCTATGTAGACTGAGCAGTAATGGGACCAGTCAGACCAGGGGACAGATTCCTCAGATTCTATACTTCAAGTAAGAATAATATATAGATAATGTGAAGTAATCCTTTTATGATGAAGTAGGAAAATTGCTATTGGTACCTATAACCTGTCTTGTGTGGTTTAGATTTTAATATGCACTATTGATATAAGATTAATACAAAAAAGAATCCAGAAAAGTTTGCAAGTTTATTTATTTTGTCTTGTTTTAACATAGTATGTATGAGAGCAAACACAAATTTTATACCGGTACTTGAGAAGTTTATATCTTCAAAAAGTCAAATGACTGTAGATAGTTGTTTGAGAGCATTTCGCAGTCAACACAAAATGAGAAACTGTAATTATATTGTGTGATGCTCCTTGCTAGAAAATATCTGATTTTACTGAAACTTTTTAAAAAAGATGATGATGATGTAGCTCCTCTCCACAAGTAAGTTTTAAGCCATATATGAGTGTGTGATGAGGTTATAAACTGCTTGGAAAAAAAGAGATAATTTATCTCCTCTTCTAAAGTAAAGTATGATACATATTTTGTTTCTTGTTTGTATAGTACTGCAGCTGAGAATGAGACCCAGAGAGTAGAGCCTAAATCACAGGTTGTTGAGCAACAAGCAAGGATTAATGTACTCTCTATCATGACAACCATCGTCAAGGCAGCTAGTGATCTACTCAAGAAAGCTGAAGGTTGTCAAGGTAAACATGTCTCTTTGATTTGGCTTATGATTAGTTGTTCTCTTTCCTTTTTGTCTATTTATATGTGGTAGCCTACCCAAAAGGTGCTTTTGTGTGTAAGGCTGCGTTCATGCTTAAATTTTGAAGGCAGAATGAGCGATCTGAAACGCTCATCGTAAACGCTCATCGTGATCGCAGTTCCACGATGTAGTGTTCATGCTTACTTCTCTGGCTCCCAAGGCAATTCTACGTGTGTGGCCTTAATTGGTCTTCCAGCTGGATTCGCAAACCTTCACTGTGCATGCTACGTAGACCTACTAGAGGTCAGTGCGTTGACCCCATTTAAACGCGTTTACAAATTGTAAACGCATCTTTTCGTGAGTTTACGATCGGCGATCGTGATCGCCGTTTTTCTGTAATTCTACAAAAGTGAGCTAAGACGCAACCGTGTTTTAAACTAAACGCGTAACAGATGCCTGATTCTGGCCGTCAAAATCAAGCATGAACGCGCCCTAGTACTTTCATGTTTTTTCATCTTTTGCACTAGTGGGCCTTGAGAAATTGATATCAAGCAGATTTGGCACCTTTCAAATCTTACATGTATATTAGAATTATTGTTATTATTAAATACACAGGTGTGGTATCACTTTGTGAAGGTCATATACGGTCTCTTATGTGAAATGCATTTTCTGACAGAGATGTCATTGTCTTGTCATGTAAAGTTGCCATTTCTGGCCTTATGGTTGCAGTATTTTTTATATGACTTTTTCATTTCAGTTTCTCTGGCTATACATCCAGACCATTTACAGCTGTATGATATGCAAACTTAGAAGTCTCTGAAATTTAAAAGCTACCTACATATATATGGCTCCCACAAAAATATGAACACATTCAGTATATAACTCTTTAGAGATTTGGGAGTTATTTTGTCAAAGAATTATTTAGGTTTCCTAGTTTGGAAACAATAGAAAACACTTTTCTTGTTCAATTCATTCATTTTGATTGATCATTTTCTTGTTGACGGTTTCTTTCAGATCTAGAGATTCCTGCCACCTTCACATCATCTCATCTCTTCTCACAGCTACTACCTCTAGTCCTAGCTTACATTGGTCCTGTTACTTCAGCTGATCCTAAGGTAAGGTCCTAGCGTGTATTGGTACTGTTACGTAAGCTGATCCTAAGGTAAGGCCTGGTCTAGTCCTAGCTTACATTGGTCCTGTTACTATAGCCGATCCTAAAGTAAGGTCTAGTCTAGTTTTAGCGTACATTGGTCCTGTTACTTCAGCTGATCCTAAAGTAAGACCTGGTTTGGTCCTAGCTGACATTGGTCCTGTTACTTCAGCTAACCATAAGGTTGTGCTTCTGCCAGACCTCCCTCTGCCTGCCATGTTTGAAAAGTTACAACACTCTTTATAGAGAAAATTTCCCTTTGTTTGATAATTTTGTTCTTCTTCAGGTTCAATATTTTTCATGCAGCTAACATAAATGTATGTACATGAATGAGCATTGAGAATGGAATGAACGAGACAGCTTACCTACAGTCCCAGATATATGCTTTCCTGTCAGAGGATGAGATGACATAATTGATATGTGTCCTGTATTCACTGATAAATGCAAACAGATTGGGATAAGATGTGATTTATATAGAGGTGCTTGTTTGTGGTTAACTAAAAATTAGAAAGGTACAACACGAGAGGTCAGTGACATAAAGATGTAACTCCATGTCGGCCATCTTGAGAAAAAGTGGTTTATGTGTCACTGAGAACTTGGGCCTTAAGGAGTTAGTCTATGTTTGACTAGCCATTGACTTCAATGGGGTATTGGGTTGGAGTTAAGTCTTTCTGTTTCCTGGAAAGCCGGCATTTTTCTGAACAGTTTGATATTAAATACTCATTTTGGCAAAATACGGAGTTACGGATTGTGCCACTGAACCCTCGAGCGTTACTTTATGAACATCCATTGCCTTCTCTGTTGCTCATGATATGATAATGTAATCCTGTTTGTTTTTTTGCTTTCAGAGTGCTGTCCAGGTCTTGGATCTGTTGAAGGACCTCCTCCCTCCAGTGGCTTCCATCAATCAGCAATTTGCTCCGCCCACTCCACCTGTCAATCAAAGTACAGATAGTTGCAATGGCCAATCAGCAGCTGACATTCATACCATCACCACCTCCATGCATTACGCTGTGGTGGAGTGTGATCATCCATACAAGCCTGCTACTGTGGCAAACTACAAGGTAACAACCTACTTCTTCTTATTATTTTTCTTGTGTAAATCAAGAAGAAAAACTTTTAAATTTCTAGTACTGTGAAGCAGCCACTCCCTAGTGGTCTCATCCACTTCCATCAGCCTAGGGATGCTGTTTGGTGGTTTAAATAGGGGGCACGTTGTGATGATGTGGTCTGTTTACCATTCATATGAAATAAAAAAATATTGACAATATGCTTAAGTTTATCAATGTGTAGGCCTTCTCATTTGAGGATAGCAGCAAGTTTAGACAAGAAATGAACGTAGTGGTTATAAAGCACATATTATCTGTTTGGAGCCAGAAGGGTGTAACTCATATACTTCAACACAGAGTTAACGCCCTTCTGGTTTCAAACGGATATTATGTATCTCAAACTCTACACTGTACATGTATGTGTTTTGGAAGTTTTACCCTAGCAAATTTAGTGCATGCAATGTAGACATGCTAGACTTTATTTCAATATCTGTCTGTAATTCCACATAGAATAAAACCATCTGAGTAAAGTTTCTTTCATGCATCTGGTTTCTTTTCTTTGCCATGTCTAGGTGTGTTTCCCTGATTCAGTGCAATGGATGTTACTACAGTTTGATCCTCAATGTGGTACAGCTCAACCAGAGGACAGTCTTCAACTCTACATTCCAACTACCCATCATCAACCTACTAACACACATCATACCAGTGCATCTACATCACCATCACCGGTCTCTTCCACCTCAGCCACAGCGCCCTCAACGGTGACGGTCACTCAGGGTGATAAGGGGCCGTCGTCCACGAGGTCATGGCCAGTCATCAAGAAGTGTCATGGTAAAATCAACTGGCCTTCTTCAGCTGTTGTACTTCCAGGTGAGATGCTCATATCTTTTATAAAAGAGATTTCCTCTTGAAACTATAATGGTTGATTCCTTGTCAGATATCAACGCCATTTGTTGCTCTCAGTAGATGAATCATATATATTATGTACTATGTCACATTTATTATCATACAAGTATGGATTGATGTTGTTTTTAATTTGAAAATTCCTCTGTTATCTTTTCTCTCTGTTTGTCTCTTGCTATCTGCCTCCCCCCTCCTCCTTAGAAATATTTTGCAGTTTATTGATGTAGTAGATGTTATTCTTTTTTTTACTATATACATTATGTCTTAGTTTACTCAGTATGTTTTCTGCAAAAAATCTTCACTGCAATGCTATTAAAAAGTATTTTTACCCGGTTATTCACATACACTACAACCTGTTTTGCTGTTTGCAGGTAATGAGGTATCGTTTGTGTTGGGTACTGCATCAGACTATGTGAAGGATGAGAAAGCCAACATGTTTGGATTTAAATGTACCATCATTGGCTATGAATGGATACCAACTTGTGATGAGGTAAGACATACATTCATGCTAATAGCTTTATTTAAAACCAGACAGTAGTGTGTTGCCATGATCGTAATTTGTTGACACCTAATTTTGTTGAAATACCAATAAATGTGTCCCAGGCATCTAAACTGAGACCTACCATGAAATTACTCCAGCTTGCCTTAAATCTTGAGGGTGGGGACATTTATGATGAGATTTCCTTCTAGGAGTGATTGATGGGGAGTGTAGTGCATTACATAAGACCTATTGGTTGTAAGAGTAAAGTCCACTCCGGGTGATAACACCTGTTATTGGGTAAACACCCAATGGTCATATTCTCCACAAGAACCTACAACGATTGGTCTTTGATTAGTCTAATTATATTATGATCAGAAATAATAAAAGATTGATGATTTTAAGACTCTTATGTTGTGAGAGCTCCCAAGATAATGAAGATCGAACATATATTGTGTCACATTGATATAACAATACTCCACTTTGATCATCATATACAGTGATGATATGTATCACAGTGATAAGAAATATCAAAACTGTTTTGTATAGAGATAATAAATAGATGTATACTCTAAATTTTGAAAAGATTTCTTAGGAGTTACAGAAATGAAGAAAGTTACAGCTAATTGCTTACACGGCAAGGGGTTATGTATTTCATACTTCTTTCTTGCTTTTTGTTATAATTTAATTCAATTCTTTCATCATTTCATATTTCTGAATGCTTTGTTACTGTTAAGAAGTGACAGGATTTTTCCATTTACCAATTTTGAATTATAATGATATCCAAGATATCTGGCAAATTGATATTTACATTGTAGGATTATGCATATGAGATTTAAACAATAGATTCAGGCAGTATTCTGACAAGACAATGTTGTTCTTGAACCCATAGGGTCTAGTGAACCTAGAGAAAGAGATAGCGTACCTGGGTGGTATGTGTGCTGCATCTATGATGAAGAAAGACATCAGTCTTCCTCCGTCGTCAACGGAGACGGGAAATGAGGAGGTGGAACTCATCACGGAGGCAGCTGAGGAGGTAACGTCATCTCAAATCTCTTTGATCCTTTGGGCAAATCATGAGTTATTGTACATCTGATATCTTAGATAGTATTGAAGTTATGGTTATGATTCAGTTGTGAACTAATTTTATACATATTTAATTTGACTTGAATCGTATTTTACATACATATTTAATTTGACTTGAATCGTAAGTTACATACATATATTTAATGTGACTTGAATTGTAAGTTACATAATGTAAGTGCAAATTTATAATTGTAAATGTAAGTTTATAAATATGTGTACGTGTAATTTGCTCTTTAATGTCTCCTGTAAGTTTCGTGCAGCTACATGTACACTTGCCAATGATGTGTACTGGTAATTAGAGGAGAAGAATTTTACATACAGTGTACATTATTTTGTCCCTGAAAAATCACCTAGGCTTCATTTAATTCATGCTTGATACCGTTCCTCTCGCACCAGATCTTCAGTAGCCATGCAAGCCTGCTTTGTCGTGGGTTTGCTCTGGCCCAGCCTCCTACCATCCACCAAGCTTTAGAGGGTAACCTACCGTTGAGTACTCAGTCTAATGAACGAGCTTTCCTCAGGGACTTTGTCATGTGTGCACCAGGGACTAGTGGAGGTAGACTAGCAAGGTATGACATTCTTTTCCCTAAGCACATTATGTGTATTTCATTTTTGAAGAAAACTTAAAGGGTCATGAATTGAAAATGCATAATTGGAAATGCATGCCTATCAATATCTTGGAGTAAAGAGAGATGTAGTATTGAAGGGAAACAGAGACAGTTGTCTTTAAAATTGTAATCCCTCCTTTCTATTAGACTCATGGTTATGAATTTCTTTTTCCTTTAGTCCATTTGTAATGTTCTGAATGCAAATTCATTAAATATATCATTATACACTAATATGAATCTCTTTGAAATATGTTATGGCTCATTCCCTTTTGTATAAACTTATATATTTTTTGATTGAACAACTCAAATTGAGTATTACACGCATTTACATGTTCATCTGATTTTTAATGGCATATTTTTCCTTTTCATTATCCTTTACTTCTGTGACATTCATGAGACGATTTACTGAATTTATCTATTTTGAATTTGATTTTGATTCTTGTGTACAGATGGTTACAGCCTGAGTCATATGTAGAGCCTCGTCAGTGTGATGTGATATTCACCAGAGATGAGATCAGATGTAGTGTTCCTACAGTGGTGACTGTACTGAGCAGGGATCAGTATGCTGGACTGGTGTTTGTACCTGGTTTGAAGGTAAGCTTGTAAGGATGGTGATGAATGAGAGAGTGAGACAGAGAGAGTGAGAGGGGAGGGGAGGGGAGGGGAGGAGGGGGTAGGGGGAGGGAGGCATAAGATCAGATATAGCGTTCCTACACTACAGTGGTGACTGTACTGAGCAGAGATCAGTATGGTGGACTGGTGTTTGTACCTGGTCTGAAGGTAAGCTTTGAAGGATGACGATAAGAGAGAGTGAGAGAGAGGGAATGAGAGGGGAGGGGAGGAGGAGGGAGGCAGAGGGGGAGAGAGGAGGGAGGGAGTGAGATGAGTTCAGATGTAGCGTTCCTACAGTGGTGACTGTACTGAGCAGAGATCAGTATGGTGGACTGGTGTTTGTACCTGGTTTGAAGGTAAGCTTTGAAGATTAGTGATGAGAGAGAGAGAGAGAGACAGAGAGAGTGAGAGGGGAGGGGAGGAGGAGGAGAGAGGGAGGAGGAGAGAGGGAGGAGGAGAGAGGGAGGAGGGGGGGGGGAGAGAGAGAGATGAGATCAGATGTAGCGTTCGTACAGTGGTGTCTGTACTGAGCAGAGATCATTATGACATTTTCCTCCTCTTTTTAAGGCAATTTACAGGGTCATATCTGAACAAAACTATTAATGTGGTATGATGCAGGTATAATTTTCATCACTGACTGGCTAACAGGCATACATGCTAATGAGGAGAGACGTTGGAAGTCTGTTAATGCTGTATATTTATGTTAAAAGTATCATCGTAGTAGCTTTTTTCCCTTCATTTTTAATCAAAACATCGAGTAGAACTGAAACAGCTTGTCATGTACTTATCTGTTCTTTCTCTCTGTCCAGATTGAAGTAGAAGCCGTCCCCGTTGGTAAGCGAGATCATCCCTACCAGTCCTCTAAGTTCCAGAAGGCATCTAACTCCAGTGACAAAGACTTGACCTTTGGAGGTCACAAAGCACCGACCTTTGACACGCCCTTTGAACCTGTGATGAGGAGGGAGGTATCGGTGTATAACTCTATCACCATGATGAAGGAGTATGAGAGTTACTCCTTTGAGGAGCTGAGGTTTGCTTCTCTTCCAGTCACAAGGTATGCACATTATTTCAGTTTTATGGGATAGATTCGTAGAATAAGATCATATAAAATTTGATTCGGTTATGTATGAGCAATTTCTTTTACTATTCTTTCATATGAGAGTATATATGATATTGACCTTCCCCTTGTTTGCTATTGTAAAGAGGATTATTTTGATATGTGGGTTATAATTGTTTGATTACTATCAGTCTGAGAGCACTTTAAAATGCCAAATAAAGTATTTATTTAAATTTATTGGCTCGTTTGTGCATACCTCTATTTATGCATTGTAATGTATGTAATTTCAAGGAAGATTTTTTGTATATTTTTCTTAGTTCATGTGAAATATTTCAGGATTTTCATTAACTACTTGAACCAGTTTTTGTCATTTGTAAATGCCTTTTAAATGTTTCTGTTGTTATTGTTAATGATATACAAGAAGCTTGAATTCAAAGTAACTGTTTTTCTTTCACAGACCCAATGAAAGCATGCTTGTAAGAGATAACAATGATGGAACCTACACAGCTAATTGGACTCCAAGCTCAATAGGACTCTACTCAATACATGTCACCATCGATGGTCATTCATTAGGTCAGTCTTAATCACAAACCATACATTCTCATTTATAGATTTATTACCAATCAGTTCAAATTTTGTGATTTTCTCTTTTTTTATAGAATATTTTAATTGGCCAATTACCATAGTGCCTTTAATTTCAGTGTGTGTAGTTCCTGTGATGTTGCATGAATTAGTAGTAGTGTCCTACCACACATCATCATCATCATCATAATAATAATAACATCAAGATCAACAATCACAATGCTGTCCCTTAGTCTATGAACAAATTAAGAACAATTGTAGAGGTAAGTTTTCAGATGTATTTTGAAGAAGTCAAGTGAAGTGCTATTTCTGAGAAATACAAGTTATTTGTAACATAGGCATAAAGCAACGGATTGAACAGATTTGAAGCCAAGGCCCAATTAACAGTGTAATATTACAATGAGTCGTTAGTGAAGTCGCTGCATAAAACACTCAGCCAGGCATAATGAGCAAAATATTTGTCCTTTTATCATTACAGAAGATGTCCCTCAAGTAGAGGTGAACGACCCTCCTCATGGGGTCCTTCCACCCAATGCCACGCCAAAGAAGACCTCTCCACCGGTCAACAAGATGAGGAAGCTCATCGCTAAGTATTGCCGTGGGCTCAGGATCAGAAGTGCTCCCTCGCTACAGAGTGAACAGATAGGAATCGTTGATGTAGGAGGTGTCATCATCTTTACTGAAGAGGTACGTCCGTCAATCTCCGAAAAATGAAGTGTCATGATTGGTTGAATGTACCATTAATAATAATGATAATAATTCAAATGTCTTCTACATCGCCAGTATCTGATAAAGGAACTGTAATTTCATGCATTCTGTGCATTGTCGGTTTTTAATTTTTCATGCCAGTTTTTTAATTTACAAGTCAGTTTTGTTATTGCTATTATTGTTATTCTCATTATTGTTGTATTTTCGTTGTATCCTTGAATGTATATATTGTTTATGTTGCTTGTATATGTATGTCACTCGCCAGTGAAGGTCAAATTTCTGTATTTTTAAAATCAGACGATAAATTATCTTGAATAGAATCTTGAAGTTAAGATTGGTTGATATGTATCAACAACAGCTACGTCATTGTCCTAATTGGCTCGTAATGGATGTGTCAATTGGTTTTAATTAGAGATTGATCATAATACCTTCTGCAGTTGGTTGGGGTGTTGAACATCACTGCTTAGTTCTTGTATCAATTTTAATTGTCAAGTATATTGATGATGTACAGTGCGTATTGGATCTATTCTCCGTACTGAATATAAATCTTTAGTGCTCCATCAAGTGTTGTGGTATACCTCCCTCATGTCTATATGTACATGTATATCTGGGGAGTGTTTCACAAAGACTAAGATCGACTTTAAGTTGGACTTAAATATGGCAGGCCGTTCATGCCACTGTTTGCTTTCACCATTATGATCTTTAGATAATATTTTTTCCTTCAATAATGAATTATCCAAAAATTAAAATTCTGTAGATTTGTGACCATGATGTGTACATCCCTTGAGAGACCAATGCCAGTAAATGGTGAGAGCAAACAGTGGCATGAACAGTCTGCCATAGTTAGTCCAACGTAAGTCGATCTTAGTCTTTGTAAAACACCCAACAGATTAGTAACAGCAAAGAAAATGATAAAGTCATGATTATTTGTTCTTATTTGTTTGGCTTATAGCTCCAGAATGAGGATGGTATTTGGGTGCGGCTAACCCATGAGAGCATCAAGAAGTATTGCCCTGACAATGGTGTCCGAGAGGGATGGTGTCTCCTCTATAATCAACACATCGGAAAGACATTCCTCTTCCCTGTCGAGGTTTGTCTTTCTTCACTCTCTCTATCAAGATTCATTTCTGAGTTTGATGGTGGGGGAGGGGGGGGGGGGGAGGAGATGGCGTGTGATTTCAAATCTGTGCTTATATCTTTGTTCTCAATAAGTTATTCATTTTTTATTGGAACTTATGTAGCGCTCTGACAGTAATAGACCATTTCGTAGTTAGCACATGGGTAAAATGACCCCAAATATCCACAGATCTTTTACTCATGGAGAGTCCCACTTTGTGTATTTTAGATTAATCAATGCCAAAGATCATGTATGTGCTTCATGAAAAGCTTTTGTTTGCCATGTTGTATCATACAATGTACCGCAGGTGCAACACATGAATATTCATTACATAACATGAGCACTTACATGTACATGTATTCATCATGGTGGGTTTTACAATTTTATCAGAAATGACCTTTATCTGCCCATGCGCAGATAGTATTTACGAAATGGCTTATTGTGTTCCAGCACTTATTGTTCACAAATCATTTGCTTTAGATGTAACCTGATATAAAATTAATATTCTTACCTCAGAGTGCAGATAGTAAGTGCCATGAATCAGTTACTCCTTATACTTTGTCTAAGTGAGAAACTTTCAGAAAGACGCACATTACTAATGAAAGAATACATTTTGCTGTACCTTATCTATGACAGCAGCTCTTGCAACTTGTTAAAAAGTTATGATATTTTACTGTTTCTCAATTTCAGGAGTCCAAGTCTATTTATGATGACCGCCCTGAGAGAAGGGAGTCTCCGACGGCAAGCGCCCTCAAGAGTCTGGATCCAGACAGCCCTGCTCTTGTGAAACCCAAAACAGGTATTTATTATCATAACTGAAGGATGTGAGAAATTGAGTAGACTACAAGTCCAGAAATGCTTATAATAATCTTGCATTGTGAAGTATCGGTACCTGTATGAAAGCACTGCCCTCATGAAGACTGGGCATTCTTTTCTTTATTGTAAAGAATGAATTTTTTGTTGTATCATGTATTTGTGTACTCCTTAATCAGAGGATCTTCTTTCCATTTTTATTTCCTTCATACTTGCTATCAAAAAAGTTTTGAAATGCATATGAATGATCAAAATGTTAGTTGGTGATCTTAATGGAACTGAATCTTACACATTTTCTATTTTAAAGTAGAGGAAGAAGATAACTCTGATTGTATTTCTTTTGTATCAGGTGGTCCCGGGCTGTATCAGGTGATTAACTGTGGTCCATCAGGTCATAACATCCGCTGTAGAGCTAGTCTCAAGGCCACGCCCATTGGTATGATGGTGATGGGTAACCAAGCCAATGTGGTCCAAGAGGTAAGATTTATTAATAATGATTTAATAAATAATTGAATAAATAAATAAAGGAATAAATAAATAAAGGAATGAATAAATGATTAACGAAAAGATGAATCTATAAATGATGAATGAAATAAAATGATTATGGAAATGGTAAGATGTCTTATATTTGTCTTGTATATATCTTATATATGTCTTATATATATTATTTTTATATTACATGTATTTATGTCTGACATATGTTTTATATGTGCCTTATATATGTCTTATATATGTCTAATATGTGCCTTATATATTGTCTTATATATTTTCATCATCAACTTTTTTCAGGTGCGGCTTGGTGATGGTTCCATCTGGGTGAAACTAGACAAGGCTAGTATGACTCGGTACTGTGAGAATACCAAGGGAGAAGCATGGGCTCTATCCTTCAGTAAAGGTGTCATGTACCTCATGCATGAGAATGATCTCTCACTCACGGACAAGGAGAAAGCAAAGGCGGTTTCTGAGAACTTGTCTTTCTACTCGGTATCTCAAGGTGGCAAGGGAGGTACAGGCTTTGACTTCAAGAATGCTCAGGGACCGCCATCATTAGGCTTTGCCCCTCCAGGAGGTGAGTAGCAATTAGTAATTTAGAACCTCCTAACATACATATATGTTTATATACATCTGGGCCCCGTCTTACAAAGAGTTGATATCAATCTCAACTTATTTGCAATTGATATCAATCGCAGCTATGTACATAATAGATAGGAGACTGCAAACTTGCGATTGATTGGAGAACTTGTGATTGATCATAACTCTTTGTAAGACGGGGCCCTGGGGAGTGTTTCACAAAGACTAAGATGGACTTTAAGTTGGACGTAACTATGGCAGGCCGTTCATGCCACTAGTTCCTCTAAACCATTCCTGGCATTGGTTTTTCAAGGTACATACAAATCATGGTCACAAATGTACAGAACTTACCTTTTTGATAGTTCATTATTAGAGGGACAAATATTATCTAAAGATCATAATTGAGAGACCAATGGTGAGAGCAATTAGTGGCATGAACGGCCTGCCATAGTTAAGTCCAACTTAAAGTCAATCTTAGTCTTTGTGAAGCAACCCCCTGGGGCCCATGGAGATTTTAAGTCTAACTAGTAGTTATTTAGTTGTTCTTTCATTTGTTGCAACCATAGGTTGGATTTCATACACAAAAGATATAAAAATGGTTGACAATACTTTTACAATAAAACCACATAAATTAAAAAAAAAAATAATACTTTAACATGAGAACATGCCGTTCAAAAAGTATTTGCAATTAAAATATGATTTGATGTGCCAGGAGTTTGACTTTACTCAAACTTTAATCATATATAATAAAAACGATAATAAATATGTCACCAGCATAACATTTGTACACATTTGACTTCAAAAGCAAGTATACTACCATTTAGAAGGTTTACAGTAATACAGGGAGAGACAAAAAGAAAACAAAAGTTATAGAAAGAAAATTGTTTCTTCTACTTATTGTGTCACTAAAGTGTAATGTAGAGATGAGGTTGTGTATAACTTTATCATTTGTTGTAAGCATTGTTGTTGCAAAGTCTTAGAGATCATTGAAATGTACTTGATATTATATATTATGTATAAAACCTATATTAAAGCTCTAATCTTTCTCCAATGGTGTTATGCTATAGATATCATGTAACCTATATGTCTGTCTTCATTTCAGACTTGGTGCCATACATGTTTGGTAATAAACCCTCAGCTAATGGATCAATATCCCATGAGAATGGACAGCTTGATGACGATGAAGATCCCTTTGATCATTTTGGTGCCCTACCTGTAGCTAATCATGTTGATGAAGCAGGAAACATAGTGAACTCCAAGGAGAAAGAGAATCTTGATCCTGCAAAGGAGGCCTTAGAGATCAAGAGAGAATCACGGTCAGAAGTGAGAAAAGAACCCAGAAAGGGCTCCTCACAGAGCAGTGAACGTGTCAGTGTCGTTGGTAGTAAAGTCAGGTCTAAGAGCGTTGATAGTATGACATCAGCTGAATCAGAGCTAGCAAGGATGACAGCTGCTAGCAATCATCAACCATCTAGTCCCTTACCGCATGGAAGCCCTCAGAGATCTAGGTTCACTATCGGTACCACCTCAAGTCAGCAATCACCAAAGAGTAGCATGTCTCCTAAGCCAGGGAGGAAGTCACGGTCTCCTTTTGGTAGGAGAGACAGAACTTTATCACCTTCTAGCAAAGACAGGTCACCAGCGAGATTCAAAGCGAGCATACTGAAGCAGGAAGCTGTCAAGGAGGTGGCACAAACAGCCATTGCAACCTCGGTAGCAGAATGTGTTAGATGTGTGTTTGCAGCCTTTTTATGGCACGAGGGACTTGTTCATGATGCCATGGCTTGTGCATCATTCCTCAAGTTCAACCCAGGGATGACCAAGCAATCTACCGTAAGTCCTCAGGAACCTGCCAATACTCAGAACAAAAGAGACCTCAAGCTGAAGAATAGACACTCCATGGATCTCAGCAAGAGCATGTCTGATGGAATCTTCTTTAATTCATCAGAGTTCTCCATTCAGGAGCATCCTCTCAATCAAAATGAAATGTCAAATTGTCGGTTGAGCGATAAGACTCTTGAAGAAGCCAAGAAAGGACTTGAATCTGCTTCAGCTACTCAAACAGTACCCACGTCTCCTCTTGCCAAGTCTTTCAATGCCATCCCTTCCAGCGCACCTGAGAATGATGGAACAGCTGCACTTAAAGCTGCCTCAGCATTCCTTCCTCCTGCATCCCCCAAACACTCACCAAAAACAGTTCCCAAGCCATCCCAGGATGCCCTCACCAAGAAGCCCAACCCATCACCAAAGAAGCTCATTAGTGCTACGGAGAAGGATCTAGACTTTGCTGAGATGAGGGAACGATCAGCTACAGTTGGAGCTGAGTACACCAACAAGACTCCTCAAAAAGAGTCGGCCAACAAGCCTGCCAAAGATGCGGAATCAAAACTAACATTGCCAGTCACTCTCAAGCATCTTCTAACATTCTGGGATGAACTGACGTCGACGACAGTCAACATTGCTTCCCAGCAGGTCCTTCTTCCCAGTCCTGCTCCCATCACCAAGACCAAAGCAAAGATTGAGAAGAAGGAAGAACTTCCCAAGCGGGAGAACAAGGGCAAGAAGCGCAGGGACAAGTACTTTCGTGGTGGACATGGTAACTTGTTTGGTGAAGCAGCCGGCGTGCAAGCCAGGATGGGTGACTTTGATACCATCTGTGATTTGTGCTTAGGTGTCTTTCCTCACCCTGTCACCTACCATATGAGACAAATGCACCCGGGATGTGGTAAGACTGCTTGGGGACATGGGTACAACAGCAGTGGAGTCTACAGGAATGGTTTTGTAGGGAACTGCGGAGAGGGCGGTACAGTGGGGAGGGACTGGTATCTCATGTGTGAACGTTGTAGAGAGAAATACATGCATGATGCCGAGGATAAGAACAAAGACAAAGCTAAGAAAGTACGTAAGAGGGTTCCTTCTCTGAAAGCCCCTCGCGTCCTGCCACCTTTAGAAGCTCACCAGGTCATGAAAGCCAATGCAATGTTTCTATTGGACTTGGCGAGCGCTACCGGATCCATATTCCCAAGCTCTAGCCCAATGAGGAAGATAACTCGGTTTGATCTTCCCACCGTGTCGGAGTCAGAATCACTCATGACACAGTTTCCTGACACGACCTTCAGGTTCCTGACTGTCATGGCAGGCCAAGGGTCATCGGAAGAGTTCTCTGATGTAGATGAAGGTATTGCATCATCATCGGGTCCATTTACTGGAGGTTTCTCATCTGGTGGTGTCTTCTCAGGACAAGATAGTCATTCAAGTGAGTACAATTACATGTACCTTTACATTTTGTCTTTAAACTACCGGTACATGTATGAGTTATCCTTTTTTTTTTATAAACCCCATTTCTTTGGGAATTAAAGCAATGCACTACAGGATAGTTTGCTATTTAAGTGCTCTGCTGTTACAGTAAAACCAAGGATATGTTTTTTTTTTAAACGTTTAGATTAATTCCATGTCCTCTATGTATGTTTGGTCTTTGCAATATACATGGATATGATTTCAATAAAATCATATATTTTTGTTAAAGGTAAAGACCAGTTTTGGAAACACCCCCCATTAAAAAAAATGAAATGGAAGCTCTTATTACCAGTCATGTGAAAGAATATGTTTTGACTAATACGTGATGATACAAATTTTGCCGAGAAACCTACTAATTGATATATTTGGTAAATTATTATATCTATTTTGACCTGATAGATATCGTGTAGTGCTCGTGTCATGCACGTGTCGCGTAGTCCCGTGTACATCTTTCTGTGCACAGTGCTTGTAACTTTGCCAAGACTGGGCCAAATTTCTTATCATTTTGATGATTCCAGAACCTTGCAGTACACACCAATACTTATATGCTAGATGATCAACCTTTTCTGATCGATTCCACAACGTTTCTTTCACAATGCAATCGCATGACCATAACTGGTCTTTATCTTTAAAGAAGACCCAGTAATCTGAGAATGAAGGCTCCTCTTTAATCAATGATATTGATTCATAATATCTTTCAAATGGTTTTTGTTTAGATGCTAAGTACTTCATATGACCTTTCCTCCATACAGGTGCCTACACACACTCTCATCCCAAGCTTGTGAGCTCCGGTTCACTAGATCCTACACACAGGTTTAGTCACTTCAGATCTATCTCAATGAATGCGTCTGGATACGCTGCTGCTCAGAGTGATAAAGGCACTAAGGTGCGCAGGAGAAACAACAGTGGTAGCTCAGGTATGTCCATCCGCCATCGATGAGAGATCCTTGATGGTCTTCAGTAATGGATTTATTAATAATGAATGATTACCATATTTATGAAATGTACATAATCCATCTCTAGAGATGCGCAAAAAGTCTACAAAAAAATTCAATTTAAATGCTCTAAAATAAATCAATATAAATACAGTGAAACATGTCTATAAAGACCACCATTAAGTACATGTTCAATGAGAAACCAATTTCAAGAGAAACCTAAAATGTGGTCTCTGTAGACAGGTGGTCTTTAATTTAAATACAGGTGGTCACTAAAGCAGGTTTTACTGTATGTGAAGTCAATGAACTAAAAATTTGAAATCTGAGAAGGGAAATTTGATTGTGACCAAAGGGCATTAGGTGGGTCTTTGCTTAAAAGGTTTTGGCTGTTTGAAGTGAAAATGGACACTTATTCTACAGAGAAGGAGCTGCTGATGCAAATGCTCTATCCCTCAGTTTCTTTTAGTTCAGATTTCCTTAAGCCTAATATCATATAAAGCGGGGTTACTCTCTTCTATGTTGAAGTACACACCAAGACAGTTAGTTTTCATTCATGATTTACTCTACGATATTAAACATTGTTTATTCTATAGATGGGTCATCCCTTCTTCGCCGGCCGTCTGCCTTACTAGCTCGTTTGATAGAGGGACGTTCTGTAGGTCTATCCACCCTCCATCGTCCTGTCATGTTATTCATAGCTCAGAGGCATGACTTGGATGGACTACAGCTAGCTATGAAGCAAGCACTCAGGAAGGGAGCATGCAGGGTTTATGCTATGCAAGTAAGTATGCCTAGAGTTACCTTGTCTGCGCAGCACATATGCATATGCATAATCTGCCAGATTCTGATGACATTGAATGAAATTTCATGTGTATGATGAGAACTTCACAATTTGCCAATTAAGGGAGCACCATATATTACTAAGGATAATCCTCTTTGTATTTTTATGCCTCCGCCACCGAAGGTGGTGCCGGAGGCATCATGTTTTCGGGTTGTCCGTCCGTACGTCCGTACGTCCGTCCCATTTGACCGTTATCACAATATCTCAAGAACCATTTAAGATTTAAACTTAAGACTCGGGAATAGTATTTATCACCATAGGAAGACGATCTGATTAGATTTTGGAGTACGTAGGTCAAAGGTCACAGGTCACAGAGGTCAACTTATGAAATTCCTTGTATTGAGTTTGTTAGCGCGATATCTCAAGAACCATTTGAGATTTAAACTTCAAACTTAAGGATAGTATGTATCACCATAGGAAGACGATCTGATTAGATTTTGGAGCACGTATGTCAAAGGTCAAGGGTTACAGAGGTCAACTTATGAAATTCCATACATTGAGATTGTTATCATGATATCTCAAGAACCACTGGAGATTTAAACTTCAAACTTAGTGATAGTGTGTATCACTATAGGAAAACAATCTGATTACATTTTGGAGCACGTAGGTCAAAGGTCAAGGGTCATAGAGGTCAACTTATGAAATTCCATACATTGAGATTGTTATCATGATATCTCAAGAACCACTGGAGATGTAAAAACTTCAAACTTAAGGATAGTATGTATCACCATAGGAAGACGATCTGATTAGATTTTGGAGCACGTAGGTCAAAGGTCAAGGGTCACAGAGGTCAACTTATGAAATTCCATACATTGAGATTGTTATCATAATATCTCAAGAACCACTGGAGATTTAAACTTCAAACTTAATGATAGTGTGTATCACCATAGGAAGACAATCTGATTAGATTTTGGAGCACGTAGGTCAAAGGTCAAGGGTCACAGAGGTCAACTTATGAAATTCCATACATTGAGATCGTTATCGCGATATCTCAAGAACCACTGGAGAATTTTCACTTCAAACTTAATGATAGTATGTATCACCATATCATAATATCTCAAGAACCACTGGAGATTTAAACTTCAAACTTAATGATAGTGTGTATCACCATAGGAAGACAATCTGATTAGATTTTGGAGCACGTAGGTCAAAGGTCAAGGGTCACAGAGGTCAACTTATGAAATTCCATACATTGAGATTGTTATCATGATATCTCAAGAACCACTGGAGATTTAAACTCCAAACTTGTTTAAATTGCTCTATGGCGGAGGCATCATTTTCGACTGCGCGCAGTCAAAATTCCATCTAGTTTCTACTGATAGTCTGTTCAATCATGTTTAGTCTAATCATTTCAAATTGAAAGACAGAGATTAGAAATTCTAAGATAAATTATGCTCCATGAACTCAATGTTTTGCTAGCAATACATACGCATGACTGTCAGTGATAGTGGCAAGGACAAAGAGAAAAAGAAAGAGAAGTTCGAGTTCATGTGATGTCAAACCTCCTCACTGTATATAAACAGTACATGTACATAATTATTCCAGTTCCTGATGATGATCATGAAATGAAAAAAAAATATGTTTGAACTCGCCATCATGAGTTTTCTTTGTAGTCCTATATGTATGCATCATCTGTGGCAGCATTGGAAACTGCCAGTCACCTTGACATTTTTACGAAACGAGCTTGACATGCATTTTGTCAAGGTTGATGATTATGCAGGAAAAAATGATGAATTTGTTGTGGTATCTCATGATGAGAGTATTGTGATGATGTTTTCTGACAGGCTTTGAACTGGCTTCTAAGGAATGTGACACAGCTGACCTGTCTCCATGATCTTCTATGGCACTTTGTCTCATCCTTGACACCATCACCAGGAGAGAAAGAGACGGAACAGGAAGGTGATGGTGGCAAGGATAAAGAAAAGGAGAAAGAGAAGAAGGAACCTGAACAGGTAAGGTCTTTCATTCATTCACTCATTCATTCATTCGTTCATTCATTCACTCATTCATTCATTCATTCACTCATTCATTCACTCATTCATTCATTCATTCATCCATTCATCCATTTATTCATTCATTCATTCATTTATTCATTTATTCATTCATTCATTTATTCATCCATTCATTCATCCATTCATCCATCCATCCCTTCATTCATTCATTCATCCATTCATTCATTCATTCATTTATTCATTCATTCATTCATTTATTCATTCATTCATTCATCCATTCATTCATTTATTCATCCATTCATTCATTCATTCATTCATCCATTCATTCACTCATTCATTTATTCATTCATCCATCCATCCATTCATTCATTCATTCATTCATTCATCCATTCATCCATTCATTCACTCATACATTTATTCATTCATCCATCCATTCATTCACTCATTCATTCATTCATTTATTCAATTATTCATTCATTCATTCATCCATTCATTCACTCATTCATCCATTCATTCAATCATTCATTCATTTATTCAATTATTCATTCATTCATCCATTCAGTCACTCATTCATTCATTCATTCATTCATTCATCCATTCATCCATTCATTCACTCATTCATTCATTCATTCATCCATTCATTCAATCATTCATTCATCCATTCATCCATTCATTCATTCATTCATTCACTTATTCATTTATTCATTTATTTATTCATCCATCCATCCATCCACTCACTCACTCGTCCGTCCGTCCACCCACCCATCCATCCATTCATTTTAATATTGAATGGAACATTATACAGTATTGCATATTATACACTAGGCCTCTGCTTGGTCAAAATTGCCGGAATTAAAGTCGCTACTGACTGCTGGACAGTACAGTGAAAATTTTAATTTTATACATATTTTTTTTTTCTACTCAGGAGATAGAAGGTCTAATGTGTGAGCACCCTCTATCTGATATCACCATCGCCGGCGAGGCCATTCAACCTCTCCCAGCGACCTTCCACAACCTCCTCCAAACCATCGCTACCGTCATGATGCATCTACCAACAGGAGGCGCCCTTCAACAGATGGCCATGCGGTGCTGGTGTCTGCGCTTCCGTCAGGCCGATCATGTGTTTCTCCATCGCTCTCAGGTGTTTAGTAACATCAATCAGATCCTCTCTAAGTCTGATGAGAATGAAGGAGATGGAGAGGGGAGTGTGACGGGTAGCTTGGTATCTATGACGGAATCAAGCGTTACATCACAGGTAGGTTCATATCCCTACTCACTATTATTAATATTGTTGTATGCAATTCTGAATACCTAATGGCTTTTTTACATCATGCATTACAAAATCTATATTTAAAGCCTATCTGCACTAGTTTGGCCAGGATGGATTAGACCTCCCTGCGTGGTCACTGACAGGTGGTTATCTCATTAAAAAAAAGGGGACCATGGGGAATCAACAGGTACCGCTTAGGCATTGTTGGCTATATAGAGGGCGCAAGTAGCAACAAGTAGTGCAGTCCCGCTTAAAGATGGTTATAATATTGTGAGACATCAATACCATTTATGGTATATTTAGAAGTTACATCCATAAGAGGATTGGTTCTATCTAAGATTCTTACTTGTTAGTACACTTGATACTAAATGTGGATGCATTGTGGTATAGTGGTTAATTGACTTGACTCTCAAATCTCAATCCTAGGGTTGAAGGTTAAAATCCCATCCTGGCACTTGTGTCCTTTGGCAAGGCATTAATCCACATTTGCCACTATCCACCAAGGTGTAAAATAGATATCTGGCAAATGCTCAGTAAGAACAGCATCGGTGGTGAAGAGACTTCCCTGGGTAAATTAAATTATTATTGTTGCTATATTTTCATTTTACAGAGTTCAGTGAAGGTTGACCTACTACGAGACATCACTCACTCCGTAGAGCTACAGGTATCTAGCCGGGCAGCCATGTTGCCTAGTCTGACTGACGGTTCTACGGAGACCTTCTGGGAGTCTGGTGATGAGGATAGGAATAGAAATAAGTTTGTCACCATCTCAGGAAACAAAGGAATGAATCTGAAGATGGTTGCTGTACATGTAGACAACTCAAGAGACTTAGGGGTAAGATGTCCTACAGCTAGGATGTGATATGTAGAGATTAGAAACGGTCTTGTCCTGTTGGGATTTCAGCAAGATGGGGTACACCTTATTTAAGCTGTTTTTAGATTTTTTCTGAGTTTTAGATTTTTTCTGAGTTTGAGATAAACAAAAAGATTCCATTCTTCAATTTGCACAGTGAGACAATTTCCTGAACATCAGTCTGTAAGCAAAATGTCAATGCTCTCAGATTAAAAAGAAATAATAAAAGGATTCATGTGGTTCACCTGCATGTCGTGTGTCCGGACGGGTCGGTTATCTTCCAAAAGGAAATTAAACATTTTTTTCCTTCTAGATTTCATGAATCTTTCTAAAGACATTTGTAATGATATTCTTAATTGCAGATATTGATAGAATTAAGTGTTAATTAATGCCTGATCTTTTTAAAATTTAATTGCAAATACATCAGCTTATATTTTGTTAAAGTATCCGAACGCAGAACCCTTTTTATAAATCAGGTTTGCTTTATATTATTATCTTTCTTCCATTACAGAACAAGGTAACGTCGATGACCTTCCTATCAGGGTCAAGCATAGACGGTCTCCAGAAGGTTCAGCAGTCTAACCTTGATGCTAGGCATACTGGATGGGTGACCTGTGACCTCACTGGTAGTCTAGATGGGTCAAAGGTTGTACGGATTGAGCTGAAGGGACCTGATAGCCATCTGAGGATTAGACAGGTGAAGGCACTCGGAGGCAACAGAGGGGAGACCTTATCAGCTGGTAAGATGGTTTCTATACACATTTTTTTAGATACCATGAAGTATGACCATAAGAATGAAACCAGACGTTTTCTGCAAAAGGTGGACCTTTTACAGTGTTAAGGCTTCTTCAGGTATGACGCAGTAAACCGCCGCAATTTTTTAATTTTTATTTTTTAGATAAATGTCAACTGCGCATATTCACTGTACTTTGTGTTCTAAGATACAGAAATGTGAAGCATATTACACTTTACGTCATCATAAAAACTTTGCTATGGTTTTGCCACATCATATCTGAACAAGGCCTTACTTAGAGGTAGCGCTACATGTAGTTGTAGATTATGTTAGTCATGATATTTCTACTGATGTTACTGTACTTGGTAGCAGTAGCAGTAGTAGGTGTATTAGTTTTAGGAATAGAGGCAGTAGTATCTGCTGAAAAAACAGTAGTAGTAGCTCTCTTAGTAGAAGTAGTATCAGAAATTTTTAGAAGCAGTACCAGTAACACTAGCACTAGCAGTAATATCAGTAGACAGTGGTGACAACGTAAGTTTTACATTAATTTTTACAGTATATGTAAATAAAGAGCTATCTTCACCAACTCCCGTGACATCACAATCTTTGTGTTACAGGTGCCCAGGTATCAGCTTTGAATCTCCAGCAGCAGAACTGTGTTAGTGAGACGTTGAGGGTATTCCGTCTGCTGACCTCACAGGTCTTTGGTAGACTACTATCAGATGAAGAACCAATCAGCAAAGAGAGCCAGATCATCAAACCTGGAGATATGCAGACACCGGAAGATGAGGTAATAACAATTTGCTTGCTTTCTTTGTCTCTCTGCACAGTTGCGCGTCTACCACTCGTGACATTTTGCACAAAAAATAGGTAAAAATTGATGAAAAGATTGCTTTGAAAAAAATGGCTTTGAAAAATTGTATATTTCCATCCTTGATTAGCTCCCAACAACCCTTCTTACACAGTTACGTAATATTGAAGACATTGGTACATGTATATCTAATCCATGGTAAAACCAGTGTGGCACGGGAAGATTATTTGTGTGGCATGTAAAGAGTTGACCGTAAATCTCCGTGTATAAGACGCACTTTTATGCCGCCGAAAAAAAATTCAAAGTCGGGGGTGCGTCTTTTACACAGGTACAAAAAAAAAAAGAAGCTCCCAGCTCAGTAATCGGAAACTAGAACAACACTCAAATTTGTCTGTCGTCTTGATTTGAAAGTAATCTTTCTGATAGATCTCAATATGTAGTTTAAAATAATAATTCCTCCAATTTTCTTCTATTACACACGCCGTACCACAAGGTTCTATCCTAGGTCCTCTACTGTTTTTTAAATTTACATTAATGATCTTTCACATTCAACTGCACCTCGCAGTTAAATGAAAGTCCTTCCAGCATGGGTTTTTTTAACACGGGTGCGTCAATACACAGAAATTTACGGTATAGGTCATCCTTATGAATAGGAATAAGAGAATAGCACATGTGGGTTAACAAGGGAAGGTAAGTAAATAAAGCAAAATGGAAATTTCCACAAGATCACAATTTAATAGTAGCTTTATCAGGGACTATAAGTCATTCAATTTCTTGATGCTAACCCTTTTGTAGGACATCAATGAATGTGACCTGAACATAAAAGTGTGTGAAATGTGGTTACCAGGTATTTGATGATTTGATACAGCTTACCTTGTTTATTGTTGTTTACCTTTTTGTTGTTGTTTACCTTTTTGTTTTTGTTAACTTTCTTGTAGGACACCAATGACAGTGACTTGAAGGAGCACATGGTTGGAATCCTCTTCAGTCGACCCAAACTCACTAACCTACAGAAACAGGTATGGAAACCGAACTCATTTTAGTAAAAGCCTACTGGAATTATCCTAAAATCTTTATGGATTAATTTCAATCCTGTTGGTTAGTGGATAAGTTTTCTTCTGTTAACAAAGTGAAGAAGCAGTATTCTACTTCACAGGATAGCATTCCTTTTAGATCATACTAAAAATGATCTGATGGATCTTAATGAGGATTGTAACATTTTGTTCTAGCTATTTCCTTTAAACTTAAAGAGCACAGAACCTACCTACTATTTGCTTTTTATTCATCCCTCGTACTCTCTCTAAGACAAGCTTTGTTTGTTTTTTCTTCCCTTGTCAGGTTTGTTCTCACATCGTTCAAGCAATCCGTAAGGAGACGATCAAGATGCAGGATGATTGGGAAGCTAGCTTGACTGCTTCTAGTAAGCTGACTCCATCTAGTACCCCATCATCATCAGCTCCATCATCATCCATAGACCAGGTTACATCAACACCTGATGCATACTGCTTTGAGCTTCTATCTATGGTCCTGGCCTTGAGTGGATCCAGAGTAGGCCGGTCTTACGTAGCCCAGCAGGATGGACTACTCCTGGACCTGGTCTCACTTCTTCACACCGGCACACCTCGGGTCCAGAGACAAGTGACGGCCGTCCTGCGTAGGTTCCTGCTAGAGATTCCTCCCAAACTCTTCAAGCAGATCATGGGTGTGAGTAGTCTTCCACCGGATGATCTTAGTCTCCTGACCCAAGGCCTGTCGGACAGGAATCCAGACACCCCTGCTGAGGACTATCTGGGAGTCCTGGATGTCTTCCTAGCGTGTGTGGCTAAGGCTTTGACGGTTCAGACCAAGGTCAAGGGAGGATGGCAAGCTGCTATGGGTAAAGGGACTGCAGAGTTTGGAGTTGGAAGAGGGGCGCATTCCTATACCTTGGCCAAACTACAACAACAGATGAGGTAATATTTCTTTTCAAAAATACTTTCCAATGTTAACGAGAGGAAGTATGTTGAGCATATCTCACTCTTCTTAAATTGCAAACAGGGCATCACTTTATATTTGCCCTGCATGCTCAAACTATAAAGTTCCCCATTCTCAGAGAACTGCTTTAAATTGTTAATCAAATCCTGGGTTTTCAGATTAACTACAAATGCAATTATATATACGTATTAGTGATTAGTACATGATTTTTAAACATCACAAACTTGTGTGATATATACATGCATGTACATTCTATAATGACACTCGTACCCAAAGCACAAATCAATATGTCCTTCTTACTCTTTCTTACCGCGCATAGAGACATATTGTGATATGCGCTATATAAGTACGGTATATTATTTTATTTATTATATGACCAACCCTCATTATTCCTGCTGTATCATTCTTTCATTGTCTGAAATAAGACTATGCCCCAATTAATCGTCAACCGCTTATTGAACTGATTCATATAGATGGACATTTGATTATATGATCGAATGACTTATTGTAAATTTATTGTAGAAATTATTGTAGAATTTTATCGACTCTTTGACTTCCTCTTGGGGTATAAGAGTACAAACAAATATACAAGTATATATAACAATGCATGACTCATGAATACAATTCTCATACATCTGTGTTTCTTCATTGCCAAACTTGCCAAAATTATTTTAATTTTGTTCTTCTTCTAGGAGTATAGCAATTTTATTTTCTTCGTATCATCAGATTTGAGTCATTATTTGATATTTCTAAAAATAATTATATGATTTGATATTAATAAGGGTATAATGTGATTTGATATTTTGCAGTACTGAGGAGTCGCCAGCCAGGAGATCTCGTAGTAAACATTGGTGGTTGTGTGGTTCAATGTCACACAACATTGCAGAGCAGATCATCTTACTCATCAAGGATATGTCTGCTGTAAGTAGAAGAATATTTCATATCATACAGCTTTAAAGCGGGACTGCACTACTTGTAGCTACTTAAGCCCTCTATATAGCCAACAGTGCCTAAGGGGTACCCGTTGATCCCCCATGGTCCCCTTTTTCTTATGATAATTGAGTGCTGATTTGATGAGATAACCACCTGCCGGTGACAACGCAGGGAGGTCTAATCCCTCCTGGCCGTACTAGTGCAGACAGGCTTTAAGAACATATGGAAGAGATTAATTCTAGAATGGTCCCATGGTTTAGCTGTGAGGACATGATGGGAGCAGTAGTTTTTTAATGGCGCTGATTCAACTCTTGCATTAAAGATAAACTTTAGTACTGGTAATGCGATTGCATTGTGAAAGAAAAGGTGTGGAAAGGATCAGAAACAGTTGATCATGTAGCATGTAAGTATTGGTGAGCACTGCAAGGTTCTGGAGTCATCAAAATCATAATAAATTTGACCGAGTCTTGGTAAAGTAACAAGCACTCACATAGAAAGCTATATATGGGACAACACACATCGTGTCGGGGCTAGTACTACCTTGATTTCCTTGTCTTTCTATGCTCATTACTCAGCCAGTATACATTATCTTCCAAAATTGTTTGGCACATGTCATTTATTTGTAATCTTGAACATTCAGTGTAAGTTTTGTTTGATTCTATGAGAATTTTTTTTTTTTTTTACCAGTACTGGAGTTTATCTTTAATTTGAACGTTTGCATGTTTCTTTATGTTGTATGAATTTGATGTGGATTTGATCTGAATTATGAATTGAATTTAATTTGAATTTAATTTAATCTGAATTATGAATTGAATTTTAGTCTGCTTGTTGATCTATGTTCAAGTCAAATGTACTATTCTGTATCCATTTGTTTCTTATTGATTTTATAATCTGTAATTTTGTATTGATATGCAAACAAAACAAAGTTCCAATAATTGTACAATAAAATTTGAATTGAATTGAATTAAAACATTATTTTCTATTATTGCTACGATTCATCTCTGCAGGGTAAGATTTCCTCTGAGTGGGCCAAGGTGACTAAGGGAGCCATAGCAGAGAGGGTCCTGTCACTCACTAAACTTGATGAACCTAAGAGAGCACCAGCACTCTGTATCAAGACTAACACGGTGAGTAGATCCATCTCAATATTAGCACAAATCTTATGGGGCCTTGCAAGAAAGTTGCGATTGATTGCAAGTTGCAAAATTTGCAACGGATATTTGCAATTGATTGCAACTCAACTTTCTTGAAACGCCCAGCTAGTCTCCTAAATTTCCTAGGATTTTGTAAGGAATAAAGTTTTTAACAATTATATTAAGTTAACTAGATCTAGCTTTTATTCTCCCTCTCTCTCTCTCTCTCTCTCTCTCTCTCTTTCTAATGGAGCGTTGCAAGAAAGTTGAGTTGTGATCAATCGCAAGACTTACGCTTGATTTTGGGGATTTGCAGTTGATTGTAACTTTCTTGCAACGCCCCATATGTATACCAAAGGTATTGTGTCCATGCACCTCAGAAAGGTAAGTTGGCTCAGTTGGTAAAGCATTTACCCTATCAAGCCAAAGATTGTGGGTTCAAACCTAGCCCAGGCGGATGACAGAAGCCTGCATTGTGTGTTAAATGTGCCTCTCCCTGTGTTACTGTGGAAAACACTGTCCATCAGATGGGACGTTGAATGCATGCCCCGTGTAGAGGAGGGAGGGTCACCCCTTTTGCACATTAAGAACTTAATACTGCACTACTCCAGTGCTGTGGTCCACCTGCACAACCCCAATCAGTTATACCGGGAGGAGAGAGCCAAGGGTCATAGTGATTCAATATGCTTTCTTTCTCAGGCAAAGTTAATGCCAAATACTTACTAAATTATATATATATTTTTTTTTTAAAGATAATCCCATGCGAATTCTTAATCATCAAGAGATGTTCGATTAGTGTTAGATTAAAATTAAAAATATGGTTCTCTATCTGACCAAGGCCCAGTTTTTTTCCATCCTGCTTTTGATCTTTGATGAATACCTGATTCCTAACCTGACTTTCTCCATTCCATTTCAGCTGTGGCTATCTCTAGCATCTCTCTGTGTATTAGAGCATGAGCATGTAGAGAGATTATCATCTAGTCAATGGGCTCAAGGCAAAGACTCACCAGCAGCTAAACAGAAGGTATCATCTTATTCATATTCTAACATTCAAGAGTAGGACTCTGAAATAGAGTCTCTGTTGTGTCATTTTAATCTTTTTATTTCTATCTTATTTTAAGTATATTTAAGAAACATTTTATTTAAATTTTATTATTTTTAGGAATAACCTTGAAACGCCATTGGCCTCTGTTTTTCCCACCCCATTATGATTTCAATGAAAGATGTTTCATTTTAACGTTTATCATTGTATATATGCATATAAATTGTACTTGTATGTTTTTTTTAAATCAGATGTGGAAATAAAACTTGAAATTGAACTTGAACTATATATTTTAAAATATTCCAATGAGCTTTCATTAATTGTTGACTTTTCTGAAGAATGAAAATAATGTCAAAGAAATCATGCCAAGTAAAAAGCTTGAACTATCAAATCAAATTAAATCATCATTATATACAATATGTTGAATGTAAACATTAAATTGACAATCAATTATTCCTGTCCCCTTTCAGCAGCCAACATGTGACAACCATGACGATGGAGAAACATCTGCTATCATCCAATGTGAGCACTGTGGTAACCTATGTGCTGACTGTGATAGAGTGCTACATCTACCCAAGAGACATAGGAACCATCAGAGAAAGGTATGAACACTACTCTTGTTATCTTAGTGTATTACTTATATGTATAACCATAATGATAGAGAAACATCTGCTATCATCCAATGTGAACACTGTGGTAACCTATGTGCTGACTGTGATAGAGTGCTTCATCTACCCAAGAGACATAGGAACCATCAGAGAAAGGTATGAACACTACTCTTGTTATCTTAGTGTATTACTTATATGTATAACCATAATGATAGAGAAACATCTGCTATTATCCAATGTGAACACTGTGGTAACCTATGTGCTGACTGTGATAGAGTGCTACATCTACCCAAGAGACATAGGAACCATCAGAGAAAGGTATGAACACTGCTTTCATTATCTTGAATACCCTCCATAAAGGCTCGTTCAGATATGAGTGTAATACCCTTCACATTTCTAGATCTTATAACACAGAGCTTAGTCCTTTGTTGCACGTGGTTGCCATTTATTTAAACACAAGAAAACCGCGGCAGCTTTTTGCGGCAGATTACTGTGCTATATCTGAACAAGCTTTAATAGAATCCCAGCCAAGATTTTGGCTCTACAAAGAGTCAGGTATGACTGATTTCATAACAAGTGCTCCAATGATTGACCTTTGCGTAAAGGAGATAAAGTTATGTCTGAACAATAGTCTGTTTCCTAATATGATATGTTACAATTGTGAATAATGTTTCAAAGACAGACTGCTGTTTAATGTTTTCAATAGGTTTGATGAGTATACCTTTGCTGTCCTTGTTGACTGTCTTTGTACATCTTGACCTCAGGTTTTCAAAGAAGAGGAGGAGTCTATCCGTGTTGACCTCCATGAAGGATGTGGGCGGAGTAAACTCTTCTGGGTCATGACCCTCGCTGACTCCAAGACACTCAAAGCTATGGTGGAGTTCAAGGAAATCACTCCAGGTAAAACAAAAATATTCTAAAGACTCCCGACTTGGTATTTTCTTGTGAGAAATTTAGGAGTGTGTATGAATTATAATTTGTAATCCTTGTAGAATTCTGCTGCTATGACTAGTGTTACACACCTACTCTTTAAAACGAAAGATATAAAATCATTTAGAAATTGATAATTATGATGTCTTACCCTATGCAGATAACTGCAGAGATGCCAACCCTCCCGATTTCATCGGGAGGCTCCCGATAATTCACCCCCAACTCCCGACCTTACGATCACCATCCTTATCCTTTTTTCTTTTTTTTAATTATGATTTTTTTTTTTTGGCACTTATCAGTATATATCTGTGAATTGAATGAGAACTTTAGCATGTAGTAATTCCACTATGTTAAAAGACAAATTAAGAGTAGCGAAAGATTGTTTTAGCATATGGATCGCCGTAACCAATGTGTGGATATTGACACAGAATCCAAATGGCGGAAAATCAGCAAAAGAAGACCAAGAAATGGTCTCAGAATTATAAGACCGAATACAGTTTCAAGTACCTGTGTATTCAGAAGTCTGAAAGGAATTCATCATGCATTTTGTACAATTTATAAGTTATTTTTAAAAAAAAGTGGGAATTTTTTTACTAAATACACATGTAAAATGCTGCAAAACAAGGCTCAGATTGCACCAGAGAGCATCTAGAACACCAGAGCTTCCAGGGCCCTAAGGCGGGCCCTGGACCCTGGCTGCAAGGGTCGGGCGATATGCGCTCGAGATGTGCGTTACGCGCACATTATTTGGTGTCAGTTACAAATCCTCCCTATTTCTGTTTTCCAAAAGTTGGCATCTCTGTAACTGTGTCATATCTGTGGTAAGGAATGTATACCTGTTAACATGGTATATGAGTATCTTACTACATAGGGTGTTGCATCTACTGATTAAATTGTCTCTTTAGAGCCAGAAGGGTGTTAAAGAGAAGGTTGAGTTATGGGAAGAGGTGAATTTTTTTTGTGAGCGTTATCATTGTATTAAGCAAGTGTGGACGAACATCAGATAAGACATGCTCCCTGAAAAGCATGGCTCTTCAAATGCCTTCATATTCTAAATATTGCATGTAACATCGTAAAAATCGGGACGGATTTTTACGCCACGTGTTCGTGTAGTCCCATATACATCTTTCTGTGTATAATGCTTGTAACTTTACCAAGACTTGGCCAAATTTATTATCATTTTGATGATTCCAGAACCTTGCAATACACACAAATACTTACCGTACACTGTATATGCTAGATGATCAACCTTTTCTGATTGACTCCACACGTTTCTTTCACAATGCAATCGCATGACCAGAACTCAACTTTATCGTTAACTCATACATTGTATACTTTTACCCTCAGTTAACACCTTTCCGCCTCCAAACAGATGAAATGTTTGGGCCTCTATTCTTTCAACACACTTTGTCATCTCTCATTTCTCTGTTGTTTACAGGTAACACAGCTACAGGTGGTGGAGGATCAGTTGCCATGGGAACCTGTCGTTTTTGTGGTACTAAGACATCAACAGGAATCCTTGGACCTGCAGGAAGCGTGTGTAACGATCCTGATTGTCAGGTAAGACTTCATCATTCTAAAGACAGTTCTGTTCTTGTCAAGGATATTCCATGTGAGGAAGTGTATCCAATTTTAAAATTTCCTTTATTCATTAAAACTTACATGTTTGTGAATGCTACATATTTTACAATCTCATAAAATTTTACAAGTTACTTCTGTAAATTGGTTTTCCTTATATTATTCAAAGTTATTCTGGTAGATATACGTGTCCAGGTAGAAGATTATCTTACCCTAACATCAATGTAATAGACATTCTGTAAATTATGCTGATTTTACATCCGATCAATCAACCTGAATGAATGTCTTTTATTAGTTTCTTAATGTTACTTTGTCTTTATTTTATTGGCCTCATTCAATTGCATAACAATGTCTTAATGATATGAGTAGTAAGCTTTTATTTGAAGATACAAAGCCCACATTAATATTTATATGTATTTGTTTTTTTTACAGCGGTATGCTGATAACGCATGTACCAAGGTACAGCAATGTGGTCACATGTGTGGTGGTATCCATGACGAATCTGATTGTTTACCTTGTCTCTATGGTTGCAATCCATCTTCTACTCTCCGTCAGGATGCTGATGATATGTGTATGATATGCTTCACTGAGGCCCTAGCATGTGCTCCAGCTATACAGGTAAGAATATATATTCTGCGTTTATATACCGCTAGTGTGTCCTGAAGGCTTTTTCAAATAATAAATAATAATAGTGGGTTTTTATATAGTGCTCATGTCTGTCAACTTGACACTCCTGGCGCTCCACAACCATTACCCTGGCTTTAGCATGGCTGCCATTATGGCACTCTAGCATTTCAAGGAATTCAATCCTACCATGTACCCATTTAATTCACTTTGATTGATTGTGTGCTAAATGTGGATAAATGTCTTGCCAAAGGACATTAGTGCCGCGGCGGGACACGAACAGCAAACCATTGGATTCACCATGACACCTCTACAACGATGAAGAGGTAGACCGCTGCATTCTCTAAAACAATGTGTAAATAAGAATAAATTTAGTGTGTTTAGTAAATTTCCCATAAATCATGATTCATTTCCCAAGTGATAGAATTGAACAAGTAAAGAAGAATTTGTTTTAACATTTGTGCTATCTTTGACATTTTTGTGTTTGTAGCTGAACTGTGGTCATGTGTTCCATCACCATTGCTGTCAAGCCGTCTTAGAAGGGTCGTGGGTCGGTCCTCGTATCACCTTTGGTTTCTCTCTCTGCCCCATCTGCAAGGTAAGTTCATTTTATTGTCCAAATCATAGATTTTACTCCTTGACCCAATGAAATCATAGTAATGATGACTTCAGTGCAGAATGGAATAAAGGCATCGATATTTGGTTTATAATTATAGTAGTAGGGGAATCATTTCAGAAGCTACATGTATAACTTTTTCTCATGTATGATAGGGCGTATAAGGCATATGGTAAGCATTCAACTCTCACATTAATCAAAGCACCATACAGATATCACAAGAGTGTGAGGAACAAAAGAGATGTTGGAAGACAATCCCTTATTCAATAGGATAGTCATTCATCTATTAAGGCAAATATCTTCTAGGGCAACTACCATCAGGTCATCTACCACCCATACACTCACTAGGACCGTTGTCGGCTCACTTTATGGACATGTTGAAATATTTCTTTTTGGATGTTTACACTGTGTTGAGACATCTCTGTCTACACAACTTGTTTTCTTCACCGATCAAACACATCATTCAATTCATCATATTAGTTGTGACATAAAAAAAGGTCGGCCTCAAAAGTCATGTATCTCTCTTCCTGACATGAAAGAGGGTCGTGGCAAAAACACCTGTTTTTTAAAAACAGTTCTGTCCTTTGGAATAATGACTTTTTATGCCTCCGTTACGAAGTAGCCGGAGGCATTATGTTTTCGGGTTGTCCGTCCGTCCGTCTGTACGTACGTACGTACGTACGTCCCGTTCTCGTGATCGCGTTATCTGAAGAACCGATTGATGGAATCCTGCCAAACTTTGGTCATGTATGTATCTTGCAGAGCCGATGAACTGATTAGATTTTGGGGTTACGAGGTCAAAGGTCAAAGGTCACAGGGCTCATTATGTATGCAAAAACAGCTCGTGATCACGTTATCTGAAGAACCGATTGATGGATTCCTGCCAAACTTTGGTCATGTATGTATCTTGCAGAGTCAAAGAACTGATTAGATTTTGGGGTCATGAGGTTAAAGGTCAAAGGTCACAGTGCTCATTATGTATGCAAAAACAGCTCGTGATCGCGTTATCTCAAGAACCGAGTGATGGATTGCTGCTAAACTTAGGGCATGTATGTTACTTGCAGAGCAGATGAACTGATTAGATTTTGGGATCACGAGGTCAAAGGTCAAAGGCCACAACGCACATTATGTATGTAAAAACAGCTCGTGATTGCGTTATCTCAAGAACCGATTGATCGATTGCTGCTAAACTTAGGGCATGTATGTTACTTGCAGAGCAGATGAACTGATTAGATTTTGGGGTTACGAGGTCAAAGGTCAAAGGCCACAACGCACATTATGTATGCAAAAACAGCTCGTGATCGCGTTCTCAATTGATGGATTCCTGCCAAAATTAGGTCATGTATGTTACTTGCAGAGCCAATGAACTGAGTAGATTCTTGGTTCATAAGGTCAAAGGTCATGGGCTCATTATGTATGCAGAAATAGCTTGTGAACACATTCTCATTAGAACTGACAGATGGATTACTACATGTATTTAACTCAGGACATCTTGCAGAGGCAATGAACTGAGTAGATTTTAGGGTCATGAGGTAAAAAACTAAAGGGTCATATATGTATATGAGAAATTGCTTGTAATCACGATATTCTGAGAACCTGTTAATGGATTACAATTGAACTTGAATTCGAAAAATGTGTTCTGTTTTGGTTTGTAAAATTGCTCTATGACGGAGGCATCATTTTCGACTGCGCGTAGTCGAATTCCATCTAGTTCTTATTGTATTAGGAGAATGCGAAATTCAAAAGGTATACTGTCGTTTGTTTTCTAGGTAAAGGTGTGATTTGTCAGATATTTCACACTCTAACATTCAAGTTTCTTCTCCTTTTTTGTGTGTAAATCTTACGTGGCCTGTTGGGGAAAAAAAAAACTGATCCATCAACAGAGGAACAACATGGCGACAAACCTTCATTTCTTCTTTTGACAGAAATGTTGACAACAGGCTTATTATTCTCCTAGTAGTTGTTTATATGTTGATTGTTGTATGGATTGTAACAAACATTTTATGCTTTTTGTTTTCAGATGAGTATGAAGCACACCTCCCTGCAGGATGTATTGAAACCCATCGAGGTTCTTCATGAGGATGTGAGACGGAAGGCTTTGATGAGAGTAGAATATGAAGGGTTACTGAAGGGTGAAGCTATCACTACTCCAGGAGCTAGGTTCTACAATGATCCTGCAGGCTTTGCTATGAATAGATACGCTTACTATGTCTGCTTCAAGTGTAAGAAGGTGAGGAATTGTGTATCATCATTGTTGTTTGTAATGAATTATTTTCATGTATATCAGGCATAAATGTTCATTTCTATTCTACCCTATCTCTATTTCCTTATTATTATTATTACTATCTAAACAAATGCTGTCCCTTTGAAAAAATATTTAAAGAATAGGTGTGAATGTGTTAGTTTCTGAACTCCATCAAAATATTGTATGCATTCTGGTGATAGTGAAATGTTTGAAAATCCATATTTAGGTACTAGTGTAAGCCATAAGTAAGTGTGAACATCTCTATATTAAGGCCACCTGTGTATGTTATCTCCCTCAAGAAAGAAATGTGTTGAAGAACCTGTCTAGAGAGGCTACCTGTCTACACTGGTCACTTCCTTAGGTGACCTTAATAAGTGAAACATTCATGTTTTAGTTTGATAAGATTTCGAAGAACCCATCAAATGATTGAAATTTTACTATTAGTATCAAATATTTAAAGCACCTTTTCAGCAGTCTTATGTCTATAGAAAAATCTTTTATTTCCATTACTTTAAATTTCTCTATATTAATGTATTTTCTTTTGTCAGGCTTACTATGGAGGAGAGGCACGCTGTGACCAGGAAGCAGGGATCCAGGAAGACTATGATCCATCAGAGTTAGTCTGTGGAGCATGTTCTGACGTGTCTAGAGCGCAGGTTAGTCAATATTTATCTTGATGTATCTGAGCATGAATGTTGATCGTAATAATAATGATGTATCATAAGGTTTGTAAGGCACCAAATCCATGGTTAATCAAATGCTCAAGGTGCACTATACATGTAACTATATATTATCAAAATAAGATTTTGAAACCCTTCGTTGGTTTACACAAGACAAAATTGTTTTTAATTACTTTTATCAGCTACTCTTTATTAGCTAAGCTCACTTCGTGAGTACTCCTTTGAAATAAACCATCTGTCTGTTGACTTGTTCTTTTCTTAGATGTGTGCCAAGCATGGTACAGATTTCCTGGAGTACAAATGTCGTTACTGCTGCTCGGTGGCTGTCTTCTTCTGCTTTGGATCGACTCATTTCTGCCAGGCTTGTCATGATGACTTTCAGAGTATCACCACCATCCCTAAAGCTGAGCTTCCTCACTGTCCAGCTGGTAAGTCAATCTACTCCATCCCACAGTACCCCCCCCCCCCCCACCCCTAAAGCTGAGCTTCCTCACTGTCCAGCTGGTAAGTCAATCTACTCCATCCCACAGTACCCCCACCCCCTAAAGCTGAGCTTCCTCACTGTCCAGCTGGTAAGTCAATCTACTCCATCCCACAGTACCCCCCCCCCCCACCCCTAAAGCTGAGCTTCCTCACTGTCCAGCTGGTAAGTCAATCTACTCCATCCCACAGTACCCCCCACCCCCTAAAGCTGAGCTTCCTCACTGTCCAGCTGGTAAGTCAATCTACTCCATCCCACGGTACCCCCCCCCCCCCACCCCCTAAAGCTGAGCTTCCTCACTGTCCAGCTGGTAAGTCAATCTACTCCATCCCACGGTACCCCCCCCCCCCCCCCCCCCTAAAGCTGAGCTTCCTCACTGTCCAGCTGGTAAGTCAATCTACTCCATCCCACAGTACTTCCCCCCCCCCCCCACCCCTAAAGCTGAGCTTCCTCACTGTCCAGCTGGTAAGTCAATCTACTCCATCCCACAGTACTTCCCCCCCCCCCACCCCTAAAGCTGAGCTTCCTCACTGTCCAGCTGGTAAGTCAATCTACTCCATCCCACGGTACCCCCCCCCCCCACCCCCTAAAGCTGAGCTTCCTCACTGTCCAGCTGGTAAGTCAATCTACTCCATCCCACGGTACCCCCCCCCCCCCCACCCCCTAAAGCTGAGCTTCCTCACTGTCCAGCTGGTAAGTCAATCTACTCCATCCCACAGTACTTCCCCCCCCCCACCCCTAAAGCTGAGCTTCCTCACTGTCCAGCTGGTAAGTCAATCTACTCCATCCCACAGTATCCCTCTCCCCCAGTAGCCTTATCAATAGTTACATCTACATGTGCCTGCAAAGTTTAGATTTTGTTGTCATGCTTTCTCATCAAATTCCTCAGGTTTCTGAACTTTTTGTTTTCCTTTTTCTTTTGTTTGATAGATCTGTTTCTTCTTCAATATGTTTGTAATTTTTAAAGCCCATGGATCTGGTTAGCAAGCTTGTCCACAAAATTGTTGATGTCATTGTTACCCCCCCCCCCCCCAACTCCTTAGTATTTACATCTTAGGCAATATAACTAACTGAACATATCTATCTTGGTCCCACAATAAACTAGAGAGAAATGTTGCATTGAATGATTTTTGTGTGTGAGTGTGTGTCAACTGATCTTTTGTTGTTGAAAGACCAAGGAGAAATATATGAAGTACACATGGACTTTCAGCTACATGTATATACAGCTATAGAAAATTGACATTGTTTGCTAGAGAAATATGGAACACTTTAACTCTTGAGGTGTGAGCTTTAAGAACTATCCCCATTAATTCAGAGGTAGAGGAGTGTTTGACATACGTTGTGTTCTTTGCATGCAGGTGCACGAGCCAAGCAGCTAGAGGGAGAAGAATGCCCCCTTCATGTACAGCATCCACCTACAGGAGAAGAGTTTGCATTAGGATGTGGTGTGTGTAGGAATGCTCATACGTTCTAGTGATGTCACCGTGTCTGCTCAGAGTGCAGGACTTCACCAAGATGTCCCTAACATGGTGCTATGGTCTGTAGGAGAACAGACAGGGATGCTGAGTAGTAGGATGAACTTGTGTTCTCATTGTGGAGGAGGAGGAGGAAAAGGGCTGGATTGAGCGTCTTTCATATGGCTGTCACACCAACGATGCCAAATCAACAAAAGACCAAACAAGCAATTACATTACCAGGCATGACACAGAATCAGTCGGTCTGGAGTCGGTTCGGAGTCGGTTTGGCGATGTGACCGAGGTATTATCCCTTCATGGAGCCAAGGACCGGATATCATGAACATACATGACACACTTGTGTTGTTCCCATCTGTCAATTTGAGCGAGTTCTTGTCATTTTCTTTCAGAATTCCTTCAAGTTGAGGCAGTATGTTTCTGATGTACTGCTGCATACTGCCTCAGCTTTCAGGGCAGGAGTATATCTCTTTAAAGGGATTAATTCTGACGAAGAATCTACTTTTATTTGTCAAGGTAATTCTCCGACATTATCTTTGCATTCATCTACTGTAAAACCTGAATTGATTGCATTTAATGTTCGTGAGTTTTGTGAGTGCTTCAGACTCTCGAAAGTTTTCATGCCAAAATTAACATATTCACAAATGACACAGCGCTAGATGTTTGCAATTTTCGAAAGTTTCATGCTGTGAAGATGAATATTGTTTAAAATTCCTGACAATTTCATGTCTCTAATAAATCTGGTTTTCCAGTAATTCTTTTTGTGTGATTTTGAATGAAATTAAATCAGTGTGACTACAATGAGTAATGTTTTTAGTTTCTTCATTTGTAAGTAGTCTTTGGTAGATGGAGGGGCAGATAGAAAGCCCATGATGTTTTACACCAAAGCCTCAATAAAAATTCCATATTTAAAGTAAGTTAGAAAAACAGTTGTTTAAAGGTATGGAAAGATGTTAATGTTCATGTCTATCAAATATATTTCCTTGTCCATGTGATTCTGAATCATACACACATGCATGAATGTGAGGAATGAAAGTTAAAAGCTTTATGTAACCAGTTGTGTTTATATCTAATGTCAATTGATTGCTCCATAAAATCTGTAAGAATTTGAATCCTTCTGAGAATGGATGAAATTATGTTAGTTTGTATTATTGTTTCATTTGCATAAGAGATTATGTAATGTGTTTATGCCTGTATATACCCCCCACCCCCTCCTCTTTGCTAAATGTTCATTCCAATGTATATTAATATTTGAATCTGTTATTATTGATAATTGTCAGAATGAAAGCACAGAATCTGAGATGGTGTATTCTCGTGTAGGTATAACTAAGATGTTTTAAGGGGAATACCCTTAGGACCGTAAAACTATAGTCACATGACCCCGTAGTGAAATATAATAGTTTTGTCTAATTCTGAAATGTCTGTTGGATTTAGACAATATCCAATATTTTGATAAGTAAAATGCTATTTCACTGTGATATGTTGATTCTTCAATGCAATATGTATAAAATGTGCTTTGTTCACAAGATGGCATGAAGATTTGAGTTGGTTTTTTAAGTAAACAAGTGTACTTTGTGCAATCCAAGTTGTTTATATGTAATTCAGTTTTGAAATCTCCAGTAGTGCACATTCATTACAAAGAAATTGGTTTTGATTCACTTCGCACTTGCTGATCGAAATTGATGGGGCATTTTTTTCTTTTCTTTTTTGCATTAAAACAAATTATAAAATGACTTTGAGGAAGCATTTCTTGAAATATTTAATGACATAATTTATAAGTTAAAGTTAAATGGTACATGTAGATTTAAGTGTACCAAAGAAAAAAAAAGAACTCATTTTTAGTGGAGCACAAAGCATATGTTTGACTTTATGAAGTAACACAATATTGAGACTTTTGTACAAATATGAATAATGGCTATTTTCTTGTCAATGTTACAATTCACTTTTGCAGTTCTTTTGGCAATTTTGAAAAGATTAGTAAAGATTGATCGTAATAAATTTCACTTTAGACATACCGGTACATCTATGCTGTGAAAATGGTTAGTACTTCATTAATGTATCAACAAATCAATTCTTATCTAATAATTGATAATTTCCAAGATATCAAGATGCCATTTTGCTCAATATAGTGTTTTATTATAACAAGTGTACCAAATATGTTGTGTTTTAGTATAGTGCTGCACTATACTGACCTTGTATACTGCAGTGATGTAATGGAATATTAAGAATATTTTATTTCGAGCTGCATCAATTTTCATTTAAATTGCATTTGAGATTTCATTATTTCAACAGGATACTGTTTTTGTGTTGTGCGTATGATTGCAATATGTCCATGTAACATAAGGTTTAGCATATGTGAAGCTGCCTTGTCGAACGGATTCAATTTTGTTGTATGTATGTTTTGACTCAAATATTTCATACATTTTCATAATTACAGTCTGCATTTATATATTATTTTTATATCATATTTTGTACCATGGAATATATTCCCCACAATGGGATGAATATCTTTGCATGGTGAAGCATTCAAGCTATGCTATTAATACATGTAGGTCTTTGTGAGTCTAGAAAGTCATTAAATGACATCATAGTTCATACAACTAGGGTCATTGTAGAGTTCTCGTAGAATTGTGATCTTAGAGTATATAGAACTTTATCAGAAATAAAACAACATTGGTTCTTAAGATAGATGTAGTAGAGACGTTCTTAGGTTAAGCATTCAGAAAGGGCATTCAACCAGGGTATTAAACCTGTTCATTCATGACATGATAATCATGATATGAATGTATTCATGGGTACATGCTGTTTGCATTGTATCTCTATGCATTTAGTCTCGTGTCATATGCAGGGTTTTGCCCAGCCAGATGACTGACTATCATGAACATTTTTCTAGTGAACTAAGGTTAAAGCAGTCCTGTTTTCAGCTCCCATGTTTTAATAGTTTCATTGTGAAGTGTTGTTCTATGGTCGATGAGACGCGTGATATCACACGGTGTTTCTCATATTCTCTAAGTCTCTTACAATCCACCTTGTATAACAGTATCTAAAGCATATAGGGCTTTTAGAAGTACAGTCAAACCTGTCTTAGTGGAAACCTCTGTATAAAGGCCACCTGTCCACAGAGGCCATGCATTTTGTCTCCCTCAAGAAAGAAATGTGTGTCGTAGAACCTGTCTAAAGAGGCAACTTGCCTTCAGTGGCCATTTATTCTGTTTTCCTTGGATGGTCTTCATAGGCAGGGTTGACTGTATTGAATTAATTGCCTTTCTAAGCTCTCAGAATAGTAGTATGTCACCATTTGTTTTTGTTTTTGTTTTTCCTTGTGTGTGGAACATACACTGTATCCCTTAGGAGAAAATTGTATGTATTGTGTGCATTAGATAACTAGATTTGAATTGTGTATCTCATTCCTCGAATGATCCTGTAAAAGTTCTTGTTTAAACTATGAAGAAGCTGCATGTTTTTATGAAATGATGCTTCTCAATAAATGTTCAAAGAGACTATAAGTAGATTTCACTTGTAGTAATTACATTGTAGGTAAATTTCTGTTGATATAGATCATTAGTTTGCTTAAATGAAATATTATACAACTGAATGATGATGATGATAACTTCTTGTATAGAGCCGGAGTCAGGTGGGTAAGTTGAAGACTTAATTCTAACAAACTAATTGATATTGTGTGAATCATAGTCTACATGAAATTTAATAGTATATTTATCACTGAGACAAGAGTCATATATATGTCAAAAATTGAACTTTTGAACTTTGTAAGTTTTTGTAACACATGATTACAATGTATTTCCATTGGTATTGATGTTCCTGTTATGCGTGTGTTGTTTTGTGATGAATTGGAAGCGATGGTGCATAGTGAAATAGATTTAACTATAGAAAACTCAGGCATATTCTACGAGTTCTGAGGTAAATTGAGATAGAAAAAGAAATGTGCATTGAGCTTTGTTTCAAATATTATTCCAATGAAATGATAATATGCATGTAATTGTTTTCCTTAACAACATGTGCAAGTCATATTTGCACAATCTGCACAAAATAGCACAGGAGTGTTGAGTTTATATTGAATTTGTATGATTATTATGAAGATGAATGGTTCATATGACTGCTACGAGGCTTAACGCTGGCTGCATGTGTATGTACAACCAAGATGTCTTTACATTTATCTTCCTAATAATAGTATTTTAGTGATGTTTTTGTGAGCAGCAATAGTATGATCACAATGATGATATTTGTATGTGTACAGTAAATTGGTGATTGGTAAGAATATATTGAATGTTAACAATTTATGTCATTCAATGTCTCCATATCTAGCTCAAAGGTATTAAGAGAGTGAGAGAAAAACAGACTGAAAAATGGTATAATTCTACTGAAACATGTTGCATATTGATATAATTGAATAAACTCAAATTTCTATGACAACATATCTTTACTTCTCTTGTTTGCATTGTTATTGTGGATTCAAGAATGTAGTCATGATTTGCTTGGTTTCAAAATTACATTGAAATATATCCTATTTCAAAGGTGTTCAGGCCCGTACTTAATTCAATACCTTTAACGGTATATCACTTAGCGGGTGCAAGGAGTGTCATCATGGCGCGAAAGTCAGTAACCCCTCTTAAGAGGGAAAGTGCTGACATTAAAGGTACTATGTCCCTTTTGCAGCCAACATCAAATTCTGTAGAACTTTGCAGAAATTATGAATATGTCATGTATGTTCTATCTGTGAATGTTCTAATATTCAAATTATGCAAGGAAACCTCTCTACTTGCTAGACTTCACTGTCAGACACTATTGGGTGACTGACTGGCTTTTTTTTTCCTTTGATAATAACATACATAAAATGAGCTGTAAAGGGTACATGAGCATTTGTCTACATCAATAACCAACTTCTTGTAATGGCCAAAATTAAAATGATTGAATCTTTGCGCAGCATAAACTTACAATGGCCTGAAAATCAGACTATTACTTACTGGCTCTATAGCTCTTAAGTCGAACTGACAACTAATAGTCGTTATTTTCCCACTAAAAGACATTTTCAAGTCCCCCATTTTTTTAGGGAAGTTCTAAATTAGTAATATCTTTCAAATGCCGTTGGAAATTAACCTTTTCATTTTTTTTGGCCTGCAAAAGGGACATACACTGTAGTACCTTTAATAGATTTTGATAATAAATGTTCAGACTATGAAATGGATTTCTTCACTTCAATACAGAAACAGAACACTCATATTTTTCAGCCAAAAGTAAAGCTTTTTATTATATTTGATTGAGAGCAAGATATTCACATTTCTAAACTTGACAAAGCACAGCTTATTAAGCAGAATACATTGAGTACACAAAGAACAGGCAGCCAGTACCTTAGATAACACACGCACAATGGTTTCAACCACACAGGGGGAATGTTACAAGCTAGCTTTCAAATTTAAATGCAGCAAAGATCCAATAAATGTAGCTTTTTCATTTTTGGAAACCCTTAAAGATTCATGTAATCTTCTTTACTAATCATTTATTAACAGTACTGTAATCATATGCCGTTTAGATACTTGTTTGGGTTCATATACAAGATTCCCAGCATATATCTTGATGACTTGAAATAAGATGTTTACACTAAAGTCTTGAAGCCCACCGAAAACTATACAATATTCCTGCGACCCTTTTCCTCCTCCAAGGAAGCTTGAAATTTAAATTGTATTAATTATGTGACTATTTCAATCATTAAAAGGATATACATGTACAACATTTTCCTTTGCAGTGACAAAGTATGAACACAATACTCCACATGTCTGGGCCACGAATAAGAATAATATATCACTTCATATAAAGACCAGGACCTTGTTTCATAAAAACTTGTTATAAATAACTAATGCTAAAATTATAAGACAAATTAGCTCTCAGCCAATCAGATGCCATGATTTCAGTAGCTTACAACAGTTATTGTAACTTGTTGATAACAAGTTTGATGAAACAGCACAGGTGAGTCAATACAATCCAGTGGGACTTAACTGGAACTGGAACTCATTAACCTTTCCACCTGTGACCAGAAGATCCATGATAAAACCTTTCCGGTTTAGTCTAAGAACATGTCCACGAAGTCTACAACACTCTATCTTGTAAACCTTCAATAATACTAGATAGTCCCTCAACACACAGCATTGTGGCTTCATTTGTTGCTTGGTAGAACCATGCCACGATGTACGTGTGTTTTCTCACCAAAATAAATTAATGATTAAATTTACAACATGCACATGATGACTAATTAATCTAAACAGGCTGTTTGACCACCCCCATTTGGGGGCTTGTACGGGAGAAGTGCACGCGCCGGACTGGCCTGGTCCTTGCGGATCCGAGACCGGCCCGGAGACGGCAGTCTAAAAATAAGAAAACAAATTAACTTACTGCTAGTAAAACTTGGTGACACCTAAAGGGATAACAGGTGTGGCTACCCCAGCTCATGAAACAAAGGTCCTCTCAGTGTGAGAGCTAGCTGCAGACTGATTCCACAACTATATGACTAGCTGAACCAGCCCAGCCCAGATCATAAAAGAATTTAACACCTGGGTGCATGCCTAGCAATGCAGTAAGAAAAGAACTAGTGCTAAAGAACAGGCTATAAGGGATAACTAATTATCATAACAAAGACTGTCCTTGCTTAGGCTATCAAGACAGACCTTAAAACATGGAAAATGATCGAGATTGTGACAATTACCCCATATTTTCTCCAAATTCAGCGTTAAAATCTTGACTCATTCTTGTTAGAAATAGAATATTAAATAAACATGTTACGTTCATGTTACATTACACCTTTGATACATATAGGTATAATATATTTATATTTCTTGAGTCATTTGTGGGTGGTCAAACAGGTTTTTTTAGATTAATAATTCAACATGTGTATGTTTTAAATTAATCCTTAATACATTTTGGTGAGAAACACAAGTACATTGTGACAGTCTTATTGAATAGTTATAATAGAGAACAAATAATGTAACACAATTACACAAAATTAAATTACCTTTAGGACAATTTTCTGCACAAGTACTTTAAACATTACATTTGTTTTTAGATCTCAGGTACCTACATTCATATCAATCTAATCACATACAACATGATAGGACATAGAGTTTCATCTATCCAAGGGATACATTACCAAGAGAGAATATAACTACATACTGAATATCATTTATAAAGAAATTTAAATTGATACCTTAGTTTATATATCCTTGTGTAAAAAAATATTTCTACAAAGTATTTAAAACTTGAAGTGTTTTACTCAATGCACATCTTGCATCACCGATACAAATGAACTTTCATGATAACATTTCTACAAGTTAGTAGTCCAATGTGCAGTTGTACAATCTGGCTATTTAAAACAAAAAACAAATACTGTAGTGCATAATGGTGGGTCATAAGCACAAATGTATATCATCACATAATTATTTTTCAAAATAGTGAGTGATATCAAACAAAATTTAAAGCAATGAAAAGTACACAATTAGTATGATTATCAAAATAATCATAATTGACCTTTTCTACATGCAGAAGTGTCTTTTAATTGTTTGTTAATATGCGAAACATTTTTGGTTTACTTACATAATTTTTAAGCATTAATGCTAAGCATACTTTGCTTTATACATACAGGCATCACTGCTTTGCAGTTTCACAATTTGAACACAAATAATTGAAGTATTGTCCTACTCTATTTCCATGGTAAAATAGTAAGAATTATCATTGTGATGTACATTAATCATCTTTTACATTATAAAACAAATAATGGTGAGGAAAAATTATCTCTATGAAGTACTTTCAAATCATAAAAGTAACCAAACATAGTAATCGCCATTGCCTTTACTTAGAACAATGTACAACATCTATATTAATGCTTACAGCATTTCTATGCAGGAATTCTTTAAAAAGATTTGGTTTGATTCGCAAGGTGGATGATTACATTTGTTGTTTCTATTTAACAAACTATACATACAACCATTCAAGAGGGCTACTATCAACTGCAAACATGTAAGCATACATTATGTTGAAGGGCTGTCTAATTAAACATGATCACATCATGGATTTCTGCTCTGAGTCTTAAAATGTTACAAAATGTCATTATAATAAAAGATACAGAAACAAACAAAGAAACAAGCAGACATAAAAATAAACAAACAGATACCCTGTTTACCACATAATCAAAAGAAATGGTGAAGCTTCCAAGATACTTCAAGTGAAACATTGGGACATAAGGAAAAAATCATGATGTTTGGAATACAGTGTCAATATGCCTATGCTGCTCCAGTGTCTTCAATTACTCATCATTGAAACATATAGAAACATAACATTTATTGTCATATCTGTGTAATGTTTGATAACATTAGTGAGGGTTAGCTTTGCAGCAGTACAAAAATAGTAAGGTAAGGTGATAAAATGGTTAGTACAAACAGAGTAACAAAAATGTAATGGTATTTAATGGCTCCCTTGTCTGCCTTTGATATGGGTAGTCACTAGCGAATTTCATGCCTGTAGTTTTGACCAATCAAAAGCCTAGAATCTTCATATGCGGTATATAATAGCATATATACAAGTACATTCTACACTCAAGGTCAGGGAATATGCCTACAAACATTATATTCAAACTATTAGTGGTGTCATCAAATTTGCAGCCCCATTAATAACTGCTATCTTTGGAGGAGAGTCGCTGACATGAAGAGAGAGAAAGAGAGAGAGAGAGAGAGAACGAGAAAGTACATCTAGTGTTTGAGAGCATAGGATCTATAACATCAAAGATTTCATCAGCCAGCCAGCAGTTATTCTACATTGATCTAACCTACACACATTCCAATACAACATTCAGCGCATCATTAACACATTTTGTAGAATATACAATCATTTCAAGTTGATTACTTCTACTCATTATTTCAATCAACCAATTATTAAATTTGTTCTTACAGTTTAACTGACATGCATTGCTTCCCTTTCTTTGAAGGTTAATAATACTTTGTTCAAAATTATCATAATATCGTTAACCATTAACAATATCAAGGCTTCAATTCTCACACTTATCTTTCAAAATCTTCCAGACTTCCATACTCGTATCGTGCTCTCTATACATTTATACAATGAATGAATCTGGGTGAAATCTGGTGTATAGTGCTAGCTAGTGCCTGGAGATCGAGGCTATGCCTAGTGCTAAACACCACTTTATTCACCTAACTTTAAATCAACTAATATAACCTTCCAAACGATTCTTGATGATCTAAGAATTGAATGAGATTTGTACTCGATTTTCACACTCCATAGCAGTTTAGTGTCACCAGTTTGGTAGTGACATTATATTCTCAATTTTTTTAAAATCCAGATCGTACATCACTGGATAATTTTAGTCTATTTCTGTTGCAGTACATAATGTCATTCAAGAATAAAAACAATTTAATTGTACATCATCAAGACAGTTTCTAATTTTGCAACATGGTGTAAGATTTATAGTCACTAATTTTCTGTAGAAACTGGCAAATTTTGTTACATTTAGTCTTTTCGTTGGTTCATTTCATAAACATTTTTTTTTTATAAATAACTATGAAAGAGTGGCAAATGCATATAGTTGCCAATTTGAGGAGGAAATACTGATTCATTCTAACCTTTAGAAAACTCTTAACAGCATTTCAGGATCATATATAGAGTTAAGAGAAACAATTAAACTATGACAACCTAATGGGGGTACTTAATTATCATTTTGAACTTGATGAAACAAGTTTTCTCTTTGATTCATCTCAATTAAATGATTGAAAATATCTTTTATTGATGAATAATTCTAACTGTATTTTCATGTATTTGTCACTATCATCAAAACTTGAGCTCAAGTCAATTTGAAGAAATTTTTTTTAAGGGAGTATTTAACAGGAAGTAAAAAACATTACACATTAGCCTTACAATCTGGAATGATTAGCATAACATATCAAATGATATTAAATAAAACATCTAGAATCTTTGACTAAAAAAATGTATTTGCACCGCCATTGCTTAGTTTCTTTGGCAAGCAGCTTACTGTACTCTTCAAAAACAAATCAAATATTACAAATAGGAAATACACATGAAAAGCCAACACAATCTGCAATAGCCCGCTTCTTAAACATGTTATGTTTTCAATATACGAAAGTTCTTAACCCAAATACATGTACCTTGAAACCAGCAATCATCTTTTATCTGGAACAACTTCCGAAGATAGCTTGAATACATTGATGATGCTACATCAGGCAAGCATCAGGCTGACTTTACGATATTCATCATTACATATGTGAACTGAATGCCTAATAACTCACAAGAGTGAGTGCGATTATCAATATGTTGCGACATAGCAATAAAATCATGCAAAAATAATTGCAACGCTGTTGCCCTATGTAATACATAATAAAGCTTTTGCAAAATTAATCTGCCTATCAGCTGAATAAAAACAGAGATTACCTCTTTTGTGTTTCTAAGTTGTCTTACCTCATCTCAACAATACTCTTGATAAGTAAAGAGTATATTCCAACCAACCTCACTGCCCTTACTATCTTTTTCGCTTCATTATAGCTCTCTTAAAATTATCACAAACATATTGAGAAAGTTATATAATTTGTACGCCACACTGCGAATACGAATATCTAGCAAAACTTAAAAGACATTGATCGTAGTCCACACCTAAGCTTTCTGATCCTGTAAGCAAAAAACCTACATCACGATGTTATGATACAACAGAAAAAGTATTACTCAGATTTTATTGCTACCAAAGCTAGGTTTTAAGTCTATGACCCCAAAAAAGGAATCTAATAATACCAACAACAAAAATAATAACTTGGCTTGTCATTTTTTGGAGTGCTTTCAATACGGCCAGAGTCGATACATCACTCTTATGAAGGATGATTTAAAAACAATGAGTGTGTTACTACAGACCATGAAAATGATGGTATTGTCTACCCCGGTATACACCTGGAAAGTAAACGCATACCAGTCTGTTTCTACAGAAACACAGTAAGTGAACTTTAGCCGGGTCACTAGTTGTCTGGAAGTGGATACTGCACGTGGTAATGCATCGTGTCAAACACTAATGCTAACGTCTGAATACCTTTCTAAAGAACTGAGGGGGCGAGCATACCCGGAAAATGCTATCCGTTAGTGTTCGCATTTAAATCTGATTATGATGTGTTTCTATAGAAGCGTGTACCTGGAAAAGTCCAGAACTTAGTGGTATTTGAAAACCTGTAGAAACAAGCCAATCATTTCTAGTCAGATAGATAATCACCACATGCAGATGAAATACATTTATACCTTCCTATGTAGTCATACACAGCTTCCCTAGACAGCAAGCCTGGGTATGTTTAATTCAAAGTTGTCAACAATTCAAACATCGATTGATGTCATGCCTAAGTCTTCATTTGGCATTAGAAATGAAAATGTTAAGACTTTGTTTATGCATGTATATCTCTTGATTTCAAGGTGTATACATTGTTGGATCACCTTCTGAAGAATGTCTCTTGCTGAGATGATTTTCCCTATTTTCTGATCACTATACCCCCATAGGACAAACATGTATTTGTGTCCAGCATGTAATGTACAATATCTTCAAGTGTACACAGAATAGTGACATACATGTATCATTTGTTTTATCACAGAATTAAAGATAAACTTGAGTTCTGGTAATGCGATTGCATTGTGAAAGAAAAGATGTGGAATGGATCAGAAAGGTTGATCATATAGCACGTAAGTAATGGTGTGTAATGCAAGGTTCTTAAGTCATCAAAATCATCATAAATTTGGCAGAGTCTTGGTAAAGTAATAATCACTTACACAGAAAGGTGTATATGGGACAACACACATGGTGTCTGGGCTAGTACTACCCTGATTTCCTTATATTTCCATGCTCATTACTCAGCCAGTATACATTTTCCTCCAAAATTGTTTGGCACATGACATTTATTTGTAATCTTGAACATTCAGTGTGAGTTTCGTTAGATTCTGTGAGAATTCATTTTCTTTTTTTACCAGAACTCAAGTTTATCTTTAATGCCCTTTTGGCTCTGAACACATAATATGGAACACATTCAAGTTAATAATCAATAATCTTGAATTATGTCATTCTATACATGAATCAAACATATAATTCATGAATGATGGATCAGAACTAAATGGAAGCAAAAAGACATTTATTAGAGGTTTTACTTCGTCTTTCAAAAAATGATTTGGTGTAATAAAGAGATGTATAAAGATTAATACACAATAAAATTTGGTTTCTTAAACATGATTTTTGCTCAAGTTTAAAGAGAGCTTGGGTGAGCAAAGGATGGACTGTCTGCTATTGGTGATGTTTTATTTCTTGTAACAGAATGGTTCCTCAGATTTAAAAAGACATTTGTTGCTGCCTTGATTTTTCTGTCATCAGTTTTGATTTGGTTGACCTCACAATGAGGTTTGAATACTTCCAAACATGACATCATTAAGCCTCTTGATTTCTGCCACATCAAAGTGTGATTTCAGATATCTGCCATGTTTACCCCTCTAATCTCAGTCTGAGATGTAGCAGAAGGGCAATGAGATGTGAAGATACACCAGTCTTACTACCTTGCACAATTTGTCAGTGCTGCTTGCAATTCATCCATCCCATGTTTCCTACACAGAGAAAGAGGAATAAATGGGAACAAAAGTAATTACCAACCTAATCTAATTTATGGTTAATAAAAGAGAATATTACAACCAAGAAATTTTACTTGCTACATTATATACAAATTAAGTTCATAAGGAGCGAGAAGTGTGTTAACTTTATAAACAAGGGAAACGCTCTTGGTATGATGTAAAATTGAGGTTGGGACATTATTCATAGGCAGGGTGGCCCATTAGCAGGCCCCCCAAAATGAACTACTCTGAATATAATCAGCATTATGAAAAGAATATTAACTAAGAATCATCAGAAGAATTATTTACTATAATTTGTTCTCATATGAAGTTGTGAAAACATAATCCAAGTCTACTGACCTAAAATGGCCTTTGACCTTGACTGAATATTTCATGCAATAGATTACATTACATACTGCAGCAAAATATCTAGGTAAACTGCCCCATGATTAATAATTGCTTTTTCTGCTTAATACATTTATGAAGAATTCTTGATCAAAGGACACGTGGGAAAACTTTCACAAAGCCTTTTTTCAACGACAAATGACAAAAATCAGTGACAAATCTGCTGATAACCAATCAGAAGCAAGGATTTCACTAGCTTATAACAAAAACTGTCATTTGTCACTGCATGATGACATGTTTTGTGAAACCTCCCCCAGGTCCATGATGCAATCACGTTCTTACCTTGCTACAGTCTCTCCTCCAAGGTCAACAAACTTCTTATAGACAGTACCATCACTCTTAATGATAGCTGTGAAGAGCGTACTGTATGGTCCCTTCATCTCCTCATCAAGATGATCAACTAAACAGAGAACAAACAAAGATCATCTAATACAAGGAACCCAGAAGGGGATTAAAACTCATGTCACAAGACGTTACTTAATCAGACTAGGCCCTAAGGTTTTGTTCAGATATGATGTGGCAAAACTACAGCATTATTTTTTTTAAAGATGACATAGGTGAAATACGCATCACATTTTGTATCTCTTCCCACAAGGACGGATCCAGCCGGCGGCAGGGGAGGGGGCCAAATTTGTGAGAGAATATTTAGCGGCAAAACAGCCCGCCGGTGATAAAGCGGGGTTGGGGGGGGGGGGGTAGTGAGCACTAATTTATTTATTTTTCCCCCCGAAAATTGAAGATTGAAAATCGCGCCAGCCGAAAAAAATTCACTCTGTGGGAGGGGGGGGGGGGGGGGGGGGGGTTAGTGAGCACAATTTTTTAAATTTTTTATAGTCAACATCCCCTTCCCCCCCCCCCCCCTGTGTTTTTACCTGTTGTTTGTTTTGTCTCTAAATAACTTGGTTACCATGGCAAGAAAGGAATAGATGAAGTCAATCTTAACTCACCATGAGATGCTTTGAGTACTTCCACAGAGGATTCTAGCCAGCCACTGTCTATAAATAACTTGGTCAACCAGGGTAATAAAGGAATGGATGCAGCCAGAACTGTTGACAGAAAGAAAAAGGAACAGTCATTATTTATTCAGAGCAATTTATTTATTTATTTATTTATTTATTTCTAATCTTTTGACAGGGTAGCCCATTCACCAACAAGTAGTGGTCTTCCATGGGGCCCTGAATAAACATGAACATATTTACATCGTTTATAACGTTTATACAGAACAGTTAAAAAAAATAATACTCAAATACAATTTATTTGATTATAACAAGAAAAGATGTTTCCTGGTAATCCAAGTATCTGATGGTTCCTTGAATGGTTAAATAGTTGTCATGAACAAACTTATTCTCTTCAAAATCAATGTTGATTGTCAGATGGAATACATTTTGATTCTCTATAAATGATAATGAAATCAAATACCTCAGCTTAGATATAGACTATTTCTCATCTTTCCATTTATGCAACAAATACTTTGTGTGTATTTCTCTTAAATTGGAATTGATAAAATAAATATTGTTTACTACAGTAAATATTTCCTCAAAGAAAAAGAAAATCAAGACTCTTTTACGAATACATTATCACTTTGAATAGTTGATCCAAGTAATAAACATCATGAGTAACTGTTCAGAATGAATACAAAAAACATGACAATCTTGAAATATTGATGAACATTTTTCACAACAATATTCTGTACAGCAATGAAAGTGGAAAGGATGGCACAATCATTGGCTCCTTATGCTTACACTGCTTGCACATTATTTTATCACTCTAAAGTAAGACATAATGCACCAAACACAAAAAGATGTTTCCTGATTGGATAGATGTGCATTGTTTGAATTAGGACTGAATGTACTTACTCTGCATGGCAAGAAACCAAAGTTCAGTGACCTCATCCCAGTATTGTTGGAACTCAGTGGATATCTCACATACACCCTCAGAACCACATACTAGAATCTTCTTCATGAACTCAAGAGCTGATTGGACAAAGTTCTTCACAAGTGACAAAGCAGTGTCTGGTAAATCAAAATGGGTAAGGTTAAAGAATAAAGAAAATTTGATTTTCAATTCAAATTTTAAATTTATTCCACAAATGCAAATCATACAACACATATAAAAAATAGTTACATTTACATGAAAAAAACACATACATAAATTAAGTTGAGTAATGGAAATAAGTGGCATCCCTGATTATAACATCAGTCAATTTTCCTTTATATGTAAAGTACTAAGTGTGAACTAAAAAGAAGAAGTTTCCAAACTTCCTGAAATGACCTCAAATGAGATAGAGTTGTACAATGTAACCTGTAATTAAAGACCACTCAAAATAGACAAGTAAAGCAGTCTTTATGCACAGGTTCCTTAAAGATACTACACTATATGTCCCTTTTGCAGCCAACATCAAATTCTGTAGAACTTTGCAGGAATTATAAATATCTCATGTATGTCCTATCTGTGAAATTTAAACGTTAGCAGTGTCTTAATATTCAAGTTATGCAAGGAAACCCATTTACTTGCTGGACTTCACTGTCAGACACTATTGAGTGACTGATTGGCTTTATCTCTTCTTTGGTAATAGCATACATAAAATGAGCTGTAAAGGGTACATGGGCATTTGACTACATCAATAACCCACTTCTTGTAATGGCCAAAATTAAACTGATTCAATCTTTGCGCAGCATAAAACGTATGACCATTCGGTACAGTGGTCTGAAAATCAGACTATTACTTACTGGCTCTATAGCTCTTAGGTCGATTTGACAACTAATAGTTGTTATTTTCCCACTTAAAGACATTTTCAAGCCCCCTTTTTTTTTAGGAAAGTTCTAAATTAGTATTATCTTTCAAATGCCGTTGGAATTGAACCTTTTCATTTTTTGGGCCTGCAAATGGAACATGGTACCTGAAAATACCATTTCAATAACAAATACTTTACAAGAGAAACAGAAAGTGTTTTATAGAGAGGTGGTCTTTCTATACAGGGGGTCGCTAAAGCAGGTTTCACTGTACTTTGCTTTGTGTCTGAAAGGGTGATTAGAAGAGTATAAATACCTTGACAATCAGCGAGTATTCTCAGGATAGCAAGACCTAGTACTGTCTCATAGAAGGTTAGTACAACCAAGTCCTTTCTTGCAGCTGCACAAGAAAATAAAAAATATGAAATTCATGCACCAAAATGTTATTTTAGTGATTATAACCATATTAAAAAGTTATGATCACAGCATATACCAATAGTATGATGAACAAGTAGCTGACTCAAAAGACTACCTAGTCTCTACAAATATCATACAGGATGACTTCATATTGCCTTTAGTCTATGCAGAAATCACTTGCTGATACATTGCGCAGTACTTTGAAGTACTTTGAAGTTGTCAAGTTGTCAAGGATGCGAAAGCTAATGTGCTTAGATTAGCAAGTGTGCGCTTGTAAAATGATGCCTGGCTGGAATGCTCCCTAGGGAGTGGATAATATGCATACATTTTGTGCGGGTAAGCCTGAATCCAATGACCGGGGTAATAATATATATATCTGTAAAGCTCTTTGAGAGGGCCTTTGGTCCTGAAAAGCGCTATATAAGAACTAGTTATTATTATTATTATTATATCCATTGTGAAAGAACTGGTACCAAAGATAGAGAGGAGTGATCTAAGACAGAGATTGATTACCAGTGCAAGGTTGCGATCATACATAAGAGATAACATAGAGATTAGTGATATCTTACTTGCTTGTGGTTGTACATTAGAGATGAGACCAAGGAGTTCTGTGAAGACTGGATGAGTTTTGACGACATCTTGATCTTGAAGTGACATATTGAGGAAGATACTGCTCAAAGACACCAAAGCTTCCTGGAATGAAAACATGTTATCAAGAGATGAATACACCTGTTTGCTGATGTATTCAATCAATGCATGTCTCTCTCCCTAACCCCTGGTTACTAGCCATTTCATCCACCTGCTATTAATAATCACATCTCAAGAAATGAAATCAATGTTACATACATCAGTTGTTGCTATGGTGTGCAAGTCTCTGACAAGTGTTTCAGTTTCTGATATTTTTTAATCTATTCTTTTTGGTTTCTGTTATCGATGCCAGCTAATGAAAATTCAATTCAATTCAACTCAAACAAATATCCTAGACTGTATCCAACTTAACTATGTATTAATCCTTTTATTTGAATGAATTGATGTACCGCAGTTTATCATAGTGCAGTATCTATTATCTTGGTTATCGCTGTTTTTTTCTATATTGTATATTTCTGATATTATGTGTGTGTATCGATTGTTTAAAAAATATGCAATTATTTATGCAATTATTTATTATGCAAAATTATTATTATATCCGAACCGAAAACCTTTTAAAAATATTTTTTAAATTGAAATAAGTGTGCAACTGTAAAATGGCGACTGGCTGGAATGCTCCCCAGGGAGTGGAAAATGTGCACACATTGTGTGCGGGTAAGCCTGAATCCAATGACCGGGTAAAAATATATCTGTAAAGCGCTTAGACACATCGTCGGATCGATGTATTGAACACTATATAAACACAGAATATTATTATTATTCTTAATAAATGTGATTCTAACCTCTGACTCTTTCCTCTTGAGTTCATTGACCATTCTCCAGTGATAAGCAAAGTATTCCAGGAGAAGCTCTAAACCTTTATTCTCTCTTAGGATCTTCCTAGGTTCATCCTCAGCAGTCAGATGACACAGCGCTGGTAGTAAGAGCCTTAATAGATCCTTAGCAGGGGGTGCAGCTACCGGTAGACCAGACCCCAAGGAGGGGTACGGTGGTGAGATACTGGTAGAGGGGGTAGAGGATGAAGAGATGGAGGATGAAGGGGTAGAGGAAGTTGAAGGAGCGGTAGACGGAGATCCTAGCTCACCCATAGATGATGTAGATGATGATGTTGATGGAGATGTACACACTGTTAACTGGGCAACCTCTTTGTAAGACTTCTGCCTGTGAAAGGAAACAAAGGGTGAAATAACTACTGAGAAATTAAAGAAAAAACACAAAATGAGCATATCAAGAAGATTGTTACACAGCTCTTACAGGTTTTTTTGTGGACAGCCGACAATGTACTGTATACTGTGATTTAGTTATTTTTTGTGAGTGTGTGTGCAAATATGGGCCTTGAGCATTTGATTTCAAGTGGATTGGCACTTTACAAATCTCATATATTATCATCATTATAATTTTAAAATCCAAGCATTAACTGTATTTCATTTAAATATGGACTGTAATTTAAAGCAATGACCAATCTTCCTTCACTATCACAATTTGCTACTTTCCAATCAAAATAACTAAAATTAAAGATGTCATTCTGTACTTTACTGTATCTTGATCTTGCTTGCACAAAAATACACAGAGATTGAAATGTTAATATGAAAGATGGACTTACACAACTTTGAGGAGGAAAGGAAGAAGTTTGTAGACCTCTTGTCTTAAAGCAGTAGTCTCCTCTGCCAGCCACACAGTTACAACATGTACAGTAGCTCTCATCAGTACACTGGTGATCTGTACGTAACATCAAACAAAAGTCTAATGAACAGTCTAATCAAACTAGTGCTTGAATATAGTCCAAATGAACCATATTGAATTAAGATCTTATTCTCTAAATCATTTAAGTTAAAATTGTTAAGCAATCTCCAGTAAAAAGTTATAATAATCTCAATTTTGATATGAAATAACTGTTTTCCTTGTAAAATGTGGACAAATGCAAAATTTTACAAAATCAGTAAGTGTCTTAATCTCAAATCAATGTGTTGTCCTCAATCTGTCATTTATGTCTCTTGCATTCCTAAGTTAATGAAATGAACTTTCATTAGTAACTGCTACAAATAATAGACAAAATCTACTATTAAAGGCCCACTGCACTACTTGTAGCTACTTGCGCCCTCTATATAACAAACAATGCCTAATCGGTGACCATTTGTCCCCCATGATCCTCTTTTTCTTATGTTTACTGAGAGCTGAGTTGATGAGATAACCATCTGTCCAGTGACCTTGCAGGGCAGTCTAATTCCTCCTGTAAACTACGGCAGATAAGCTTTAATTGTTATCAATTTCAAGGGAATAAGTGATTGATTTTTTATCTTTATAAGACATGGCAAAGGTATATTGTCTTTAATGGATTTCATGTTTTGTGATTCAGGGATGACATAAGTAATATTAGGGCCCTGTAACACAAAGGTTTGCGATCAATTGTTAATTTAAAACGATGATTCTGATTGGTTAATAGTCAGTCTATGAGAAATATGTGCATGCAACAATGATCTTGATTGGCCATTGTCATTTTGCAATTAATTACCAACCTTTGTGTTACAGGACCTGGGGAGTGTTTCACAAAGACTAAGATCAACTTTAAATTGGACCTAACTATGGCAGGCTGTTCATGCCACTGGTTGCTCTCTCTATTGGTCTCTCAATTATAATCTTTAGATAATATTTTTTCCTCAAATAATGAACTATCAACAAATGTAAATTCTGTAGATTTGTGACCATGATTTATATGTCCCTTGAGAAACCAATGCCAGGAATGGAACTAGTGTAAGTAAGAGGAACTAGTGGCATGAACGGCCTGCCATAGTTAAGTCCAACTTAAAGTCGATCTTAGTCTTTGTGAAACACCCCCCTGGTATGGTAGTGTACTGACCTGTTCTTCTTGATCTTTGACTGAATTCATATAGAACATGACCGCACTGAACGCTCCCGTCATGGCTGAATGAAGCTGAATAACCTGCTGCCGGTCAAGCTCTAACGATGGTCCACACGTCAAATATTGAATACTGACCTCTAGCAAGGTGTAGCAGGATAATAACACAGATGTCTTAGAGAGGATCTAACACAATTAGAAGAAGAAAAAACATAATAATAAACATAGTTTAATGGTTATTATATTCTTATTATTAAGTATTTGGCATCACCTGTGCCTGGGAGGTGAAAAACAAACTTAATCACTGTAACCCTCAGGTTTTTCCTCCTGGTATAAATTAAATGGGGGTGTGCAGGTGGACCACTACACCGAGGTTCCCCCCTACTTGTTAAAACCACTAGCATCAGCACTAGCATCCTATGGCAAGACAATTCATTTACATTTGTCTCACTTGGTAGGATTTATTCCTTGAATGGACTGAGCGCTACGGTTGCTGGAGCTAATATTCAAAGTCCTTTGGAAGCACTTACAGATATCATATCATAATGTTTTAAGCGCTACAAAAATACAGAATGTTGTGATTATTACGTGAAAGTCGGGGTCTAAACTTTTGATTGGCATCTCCTTATGCTAGAAGCACAAGAATTTTGATTATACTTTTCTTGCTTTTAATGCATTGTAGTCATATTCCATAGCACATTACATACCGGTACATGAACCTCACACTGGAAAAAGGCAAATATGCAAAGTGGCATTTTTTTACTGGGCATGTTGGATGGTATGAAAGTATACAGATACTGACAGGAATATCTGTTATGTAAATCATACAGAAGAGCTATTTTACCTCAAATAAAGCAACAAAATTATCAGTTTTAGGGGTATGGTAAAACAGTGACTCACGTATTGTGGACTGGTGTTCTCTAGTGTCATCCTGGTCTCCACACATGCAAGGTGTACAAGTAGGAGGAAGAACTTTCGTTTGTCACCAGTCTGTCCGAGGGCCCAATCTACTCCAAAACATCTCAACATGGTAGCTACCAGTCTCAGGGTCGGGTCACGCTGGGCCTCACCTAAAAACAATTATAATCAGTATTCATCAATGATATAATTACCAATCGCCGCAATATAATCACATCTTCTCAGACAAACTGAGAGTCCATAATCCAGATGAGCGTAGTATCTAGATAATTTATCCTTTTACTTAATGGGCATGTACTGTGTGCATGCAGGAACATTACAAGATGTATTTATTAAAGAATACTTGTCGTGCTCACGTTCAAAATTCAAGACCAGTATTGGAAACGCCCCAATTTAAAAAAAAAATGAAATGGAAGCTCTCATTACCAATAATGTGAAAGAATATGTTTTGACTAATACATGATGATAAAAAATTTGCCGGGAAACCGCCTACTAATTGATATATTTTATATATTATTATATCTATTAGGACCTGATAGATATAACGCATGTGTCGCGCACGTGTGGGGGTAGCCCCATATACATCTTTTTGTGTACAGTGCTTGTAACTTTATCAAGACTGGGCCAAATTTCTTATCATCTTGATGATTCCAGAACCTTGCAGTACACACCAATACTTATATGCTAGATGATCAACTGTTAACTGGTCTTTATCTTTAATATAAAGTATATTAATATTTCAATGTAAGCTTCGTTCATTTTCAAGTTAATACAAATAAAGGGAATAAAGCAATAATAAATCCCCTCATTCCGGTATAATTTTCCTATCACATCTATTCTGACAAACTGTGAGTCCATATCTACCTAATTTATCCTTACACTTCATGGGCAAGTACATGTACTGTATGCATGCATGCAGGAACATTACAAATAAGTTTGTTGTATTTGAGAATATTTGTCATGTTCATGTTAAGATAAATTATGTTAAAAGTTAGATTTTTAGTTTTCATTCAATATAAATATTCTTCAAATCTAGAATGGTCACTTGAATTTAAGCATAACTCATGCATCCAGTTGCTTAGCAATACTTCTTTCACACTTGATATTAAAAGCATCAACCCTAAGATGATTTGTCTTTCTTCAATAGTTAATAGTAACACCATACCTAGTTTACTGCGCAGAGAATCATAGAGACCACGATGGATCTGGACTCCCCATTCAGGTACCTCTTCTGGCATCTAAACATCCAGAAAATAGAAATATATCAAATAAAGCTAGAATTCAAGACAAATTTTGAGTCTCTTACATTGAGCTGTCATCTAAGAGCTAGACTCTAAATGATTTGGCCAAATCAAAATACCTCACAACATTAAATGTTGGAACATGGATTTCGAAATATGAAACCTGTTGTCTGAAAGTCACAATTATAGTTGACATTGATTTTGACTTTGAGTTGAGTTTGGGCCATCTTCATAATGCTAAATTCATAAGGTTTGGCAATGCTTAGAAGCTTTGGGTCTCAGGTTTTATAAAGTGAGATTTACTGCCAATGATTACAAAGTCTGTCCTATCTGAAGTTAGGCATATTTAAATCATAAAGTTTGATGTGAAAGGGTTCCAATTTTCATCAAAATATAGCTGCAATAACAAACAAGATATCTGACATGTAACTGTGATAAAAACAAGTTCACCATGAATACAGTAAATATCAATAACATTATTTTACTATCAAAAATTATGGAAGGAAGAGGGAAATACTTACCCAACTACTAGTACTGATAATTGCTGATAATTTCTCACAAAGTTGGAATTTTCTCGCATCCTGAGAGAGAGACAAAGACAAAAATTGTATTACAATGTTTTCAACATCATCTAAGTTTCATATGAACATCAGATCTGCGTCTATTCTCTGAAACTTCTTCATATAAAATTAAAAATAAAGTCTATACCTTGGTACAATTTACACCTTGAGGTATGAAAGGATTAGGCCTATACATGTATATAGGTTGTCGATCAGGTCATACATGTATATTGTACAGACTTATTGTCAAATAAACAAATTAAGGCAATTATATTGAGTACATACTGTAGATACATTTATGTAGGCAGAATCAATGTCAAACATTGTTTTTGGACATTCCATCTCTATGAAATCTTGTCCATCTCATAGTTTTCTCAGTCTCTCCCAGGTGAATCATAAACAGCATATTCAATAGTTTTCAGTCTCATCAGCACCTTTGATTAAGCAACCAGATACTGGTACTCTACAAATGTCTGGATTGGATTAGATAGTGTAGCTTTATACATGTACCTGATTCTGTTGGAACTCTGTTGCCATGGTAGCAATCCAGCGATTCAATGCATGTGGGTTTGTCTGCCACATCTCTTGACCACTCCAGTGAAGCAGATGAAGAAGAACTTTGAGTGCTAGGTCATGACCTTACAGTTCAGAGGTCATAGATTATAAAAAGAAGCTCAATTATCACATGATTGGATGAGGTTATGGGGCTCAAGGGAAATATTTGTCACATAAATCTATAAATGCATATCATTACTATGATACGGTCTGCTATGAAATGCAAAGTATGATAAGCATACTTACTAACTAATGAAAAAGAAACGGTTGTCCTGCTTTAGTTGTTAACAATGGAGAGAAAAGTAAACAAGAAATAAGCAATGTAGAGGATGAGCATGTACATAATAATAACATGCTTTGAAAAAAGGGAAGTTATTTTCCTATTTTGCTTTGCAGAAAAGATAATTTTGAGTTACAAGTCATAAAGTACAAACAAAAAATGATACATCAAATTCCTTTTTAAAAACTTTTTTTAAAAATTTAATCATACATTCAAATTAATATGATATAATGTGTTGTATGTATGAAAGAAAAAGGATGAAACAAAAGTAATACAATGCCAATCATTTGTAGTAACACATACAATATAAATCTCATACAGAAGTGATAGGACACCAATCTTCTCCTAAAGATATGATAAGACTGGTGTAACTTACCTTGGCCTTCCTTGAGGCAGATATCACAAAGTACGTTGACCCTGTGATCTTTCATCAGTTCCTTCCTACCAATCTCTGTAGATGCTATACCAATCAATACTTGATATGCATCTTCTCTAGCGGTGGATTCCGTCTCACTAGCACTGCAAATAAACACATCAGTGTTTCTGAATTTATAATAACAGGTATCTTACTAATATGTAGCTCACATTCCTGAAGAATCGTCCACAAGACTAAACATTACAGTAGTACATACATGTACATGTACTTCAAATGCTTACTTTCAATGATATGCATTTATTTCATCATTTTCAATACACACTCTCTTCAATTGTTACACAGTTATAAGCCAATGGCAGTATTAATATAGTGAACAATTGGTGAGGACAATGTTCTTTTCAGATTCTTAAGATCCCTTTTTACTATTTTATCGCAAAATATATCTTCATCCAATATGAAGTGATGCCCTATTATCAATATCTACATGAATATGTGTAACTGTCAATTTCCATCTCAAACAGAAAGCACTGACTAGATATAAATCAAATGCTTACAGTTAATTGCTAGCAGCAAACACAGGTTACTAATGAATATTCCTCTTCCAAGCAAGTACATTGTACTTCTCATTAGTAATCACTTTTCTACTTTAGCTCATTACTTACCTGGTTGCCATGGTGATGCATTCCATGATTTGTGGTAGTTTATCAATCATCTGTTGACTAGCTGCTAGTATTGGGTCTGTACTAAAGCAGGCTAGGAGAGTCATGGCTAATGACTTGTACATGTGACTGTCACAACCATCTGGGACTGAACCTGAAAACAGAAACATACCAAATTTAAGGTTTAGGGTTTTCTTTGATTGTTAGTTAACCCCTGTACTGTGTATTTACAAACAAAAGAATTTAGTTGTCAGAATCGGTTTCATATCTCCTTTTGAATGGTGTGAAATGCTATCACATTTATATACACTAACTCATTATAATTTGAGAAATAATAGCATTGCAATTATGTTCATTCTTTGTGGGATGTCGTCTGCATGGGAAGGATTGGTTCACGTTGTGACGTCATTAAAACATCGTTATTTTTCTGGCGAATCTCTTGTATATCCTAGATGCTATGGAGGTGGTTTTATTTGACAATCAGCCGTAGACGAGAGTCTTCATGCATGGCTGATTGAAAACGAAACAGAGTTAAGTCTTTTGTCAAATCTGCTTTTTGCTACAGCAGGCACCCAGTGAAAACGAATTCGTTTGTTAAAATTATGAAAATGTAAGGGCTACTTTAAACAAACAGAACTTTGTTATTCCTGGATCATTTTTCCTGATTGAGGTGTCATATAGAAAGGGCAGAAACTCAATTTTCTAGAAATGTGAATTTTTCTTCAAAATTCAGATACCACCCGCCAAATGTCTTTTTGGTTTCCTTCCTTCAAATTGCTTTTAATCACTCATGCATGAAATATGCATCATCTGAGTAGCATCAACTGAAAGAGGAGACTCTAAGCTTTCCAAATATGTATCATTCATTAATTATGGTTATTATTAAGTTATGATAAAACATCAATACTTCTCGGTTTCGTTTTTTCTGGGACGCACTGTATTACAGAAAAAAAGTTCTAGAACAGTAATCAGGAAGACAAATGCAAATTAGTTTTTTTCATACAGAGATCCGAGGTCGACTTTAAGTTGGACTTAACTATGGCAGGCCGTTCATGCCACTGTTTGCTCTCACCATTTTACTGGCACTTGTCTCTCAAAGAGTGTACAAATCATGATCACAAATCTACAGGAATCATATTTTCCATCCAACTCCATCTAAAGATCATAATGGTGAGAGCAAACAGTGCCATATTTAAGTCGAACTTAAAGTTGAGCTTAGCCTTTGTGAAACACTCCCTAGACTCACTTGATGACAAGAGACGAGATAGGAATGTGAACCCCACAGCATCAAAGATTCTCTTTCTTATAACAGCATCTGTACTCTCTGCTTTGATCACCTTGGTAACCTAAACAATGAATACATGGCAAGAATGTAATCATACTATACATTCAGAAAAACACATCATTAAAACATTGTTAAACAAGGAGTACGATATTTAGAGTTTAGGCCGATGTACAATTTGGCACCATCTTCACTCCCTGGTGAATTTTCTAAATGTATAGTGTTTCCATATTAATTTGGATTGGGCATGCTGCTATAACCCTTATCTTTTGCTTTCAGCAATTTTCACAGGTACCCACTTTAGGCTGGAAGCAAAACCAGGTAAGACAAATGCAGGTAAATCGCTTGCCACGTAAATCCAAACATTGAAATCTTTTCTAAACTTTCTTTTCTACACATGTATGAATACCAATCTACACACTTCAGTTTTTTCATATTGCAAATTGAAAAATATATTTGTATACTTTAGCTCTTAGACCCTATCTACTGAAAGTAAATTTGATGTTCTAAATAATTATGGTTAACAGACTCAGTATGTGAATTCATTGCATCGAATATAAAAGTAATTATTAAATTCCAATAGAATAGAATTAAAACAGTTAATATGAATAGCATATCATGTAATATCATAAATGATTGATTTTCATACTTCTTTTAATTCCTTTTTGTTGATGGACGGAAAAGCCTTTCATGAAGGCTGATGACCTGACATATTCTCCCAGGTACCTTTCTGAAATATTTATTTTCACTGTTGATTGTTTTCAAATCTGAATGTAAGAACTACAATTAAGGGAAAAAATTTCACATCTACATGTATTTAGTAAAGGAATATTCTAGAGCCATGAATGATGGATTATGGGTTTTTGCAAGTGAATATCTCATACATGTACCTGTCATGTGAGAACTATATACATGTAAATATGGCTCTAGAAGGTGTCATGGTCGGGTGGATATGTCACCGGACTGTCCATCACAAGGTACGCGGTTTGAGTCCCGCCACGGCACTAATGTCCTTTGGCAAGACATTGATCTACATTTGCCACACTCAACCCAGGTGATGTAAATGGGTACCTGGCAGGAATTAATTCCTTGAAATGCTAGAGCGCCGTATGGCAGCCATACTAAAGCCAGGGTAATAATCAGGAGTGCCAGGAGTGTCACGTATGATAGACATGAGCGCTATACAAGAACCCACTATTATTATTAGAAATAAAAAGAAACATACCAGCATGAGAGCAGCAAACTTCTCTGTGTCAGACTTGGCCACTTTGAGCACCTCTAGACACTTGTCTAACTGAGCCAGGTTGGCAGCTGCTGCTTCTGACTGCTTGGAACCGGTTACATCTGGTCCCGGCTGCTCCATTCTACCTCAAACCTGTATCAAACATCACAAAAACATTATTGTAAACGATGTCTGCATATCAGCTGTGATGAAAATTTCACTCTCAATTTTTTTAAATATTATGAAAGAGACACATGTTTTATGAATACCTACAAAGTATACCAGGTACCCGTTTCACAAAGCCTTTTTTAATGACAATTATCCAAATCAGTGACAAATCTGCTGATAACCAATCAGAAGCAAGGATTTCACTAGCTTATAACAAAAATAACTGACGACAAGTTTTGTGAAATGGGTCCCAAAAGTGTGATGGAAGAATCGGATAGACAGCTTGTCTTCAATGTCAAATGAATCTAATTCACTTTACATCTAGACAGATGGCAACCTGACAAATCTCTGACAGTTATTCCTTCGCTTCATTGACTATAGCTGTCTTCAACCTTGTTCTTCATTATTATAATGGAACAAAATGTCTTGGCTACATGCTTTGAAGCAGTTAGAAGGCTCTTCAGTATTTACACTGATGGGTTTGTAACCTGCAATGATATATTCACTACATGTAGGTGTGAACTTGTGAAGAATAAAGTTTCTATTAAAAAGACCAAAGCAGCATTAATAATACACTTTGCATACTGTATATATATTCATATACATTCACACTTGACAGGTAATTCAAAATACGAATGCATACATGTATTTAACTGGTCTTATTTTCAATGGATAACACAGTTACTACATAAGAGGCAAAATCCCATATAAAAAATCATGTGCCAAGGTTCTATTTTGAGAAGAAAATAATACACATTTTTACCAAAACAATCAGAATTGGATAGGACCATGGAAAACACCATGCAAACAGAGTTTTGTCATGAGTTTGTACATCTTCACCAAAGCCATGCCACAGATAGCTGGGTTAATATTCTTAAACTGAAAGAAAGGTCTAATAATACTCTCTAATAAATTATCTGAGCAGTAAACATATGTGTACATGTAGGATTGGATTCAGAAATTCAGTCTCTGAACATGTAAAATATTATATGGACAACATATGAGAAAAAGAAGAGCGAATTTCATGAATCCAATTTGTGTTGATCTTTCTGTTGGAGCAATGAATGTGGTCTAGTAAATGTACATGTATATGAATAGGAAAATGCACCCTGAAATTATCAAATTAATAACTACTTCTTCACACCGAGGAATTATCTCCGTCACATCATCACTTGCATTAACATTATTAATTTAACATTCTGTAAATGGTGTTTTTTACAGAAGAATGTTATATTTGAAGAGAAAACAAAATCAGTATCAATTTCTTTAGAAATACACAGAGTGATTGCATATTGTTCTACTCAGACTTAATGATAACAGCAAATGCTGCAGCACTGTCAGTCAGCTGTACACAGCTCCTACTGGATGCTTACTGCTATCAACGTTAGGTGAGAGTACTCAGGATTATTCTGTTTGCATGCATTATACAGTTTGCCTCTTAGGCACTGCGGCTACCTTGTCACTTGGATTACCCTCAGTGACTTGAGAGTAGTTTACTCTTTAACATTTATATATTCACAGCAATCACATTAACATCAATCTCAACCTGATCTCTTGGATCTGTTTCAGGATAACTTGCAATGCGACCTGATAGAGAATGTATCCCAGAATCAGAAAGCTGGTGTCGTAGTGTCATAGTCGAGAGGTTTAAGTACTTGACTTGAAATTCAAAGGTCGTGGGTTCGATCCCCGACACGGCACTAATGTCCTTTGGCAGGGCACTACTCTACATTTGCCACTCAATACCCAAGAGAGAAATTGGGACCCGGTAGGATGACAAAGGCATTTGTGTTAGTAATTGCCCTCACAGTGACCATATGTATGGTAGGAATATTCTGCAGGGAGTGGAGATGGTGCACATTGCGTGTGAATGAATCCGATGACTGGGGTAATAATATCTGTAAAGTGCTTAGAGATGGGATTCGCTATATAAATCCATATTATTATTATTATTAAAAATTAAAAATCATGTGTGATTTTTACGCATTTAAAGGTACTATGTCCCATTTGCAGGCCAAAAAAAATGAAAAAGTTAAATTCCAACTGCATTTGAAAGATAATACTTATTTAGAACTTCCCTAGAAAAGGTGGGGCTTGAAAATGTCTTCAAGTGGGAAAATAATGACTATTAGTTGTCAAATCGACTTTAGGGCTATGGAGCCCAAAAGTAGTAGTCTTGATTTTCAGACAATTGTACCGAATGGTCATACGTTTTATGCTGCGAAAAGATTCAATCAGTTTAATCTTGGCCATCACAAGAAGTGGGTTATTGATGTAGACAAATGCTCATGTACCCTTTACAACTCTTTTCATGTATAATATTACCAAAGAAGAAAAAAAGCCAGTCAGTCACTCAATAGTGTCTGACGGTGAAGTCTAGCAAGTAAACAGGTTTCCTTGCATAATTTGAATATGAGGACACTGCTAACGTTTAAATTTCACAGATAGGACATACATGACATATTCATAATTCCTGCAAAGTTCTACAGAATTTGAGGTTGGCTGCAAAAGGGACATAATACCTTTAAATGCTACAGAATTAAGGCAGAGATCCACAATTATACAAACATAGACAATGAAACTAAAATGGATTATAATGAGTAAAATTGTTAAGATTAGAAGAAGAAAAAGATGGGCAACATGCCATGCTTAGACTATCACAATGAATGAAAACCACACACTGTAATTTGTACAAAATCAATACTTTTGGCTAAGTAGCTATTCCCTATTAAGCCTGCTATTTCTAATAGTATCAGTTGTTTTTTCTTGAATGATAAGACACATTCTTAATATGCTATAAAGAATATATCTACATGGTGTACACATAATTATGTACATGTACATGGTTTGTGTATTTGTTGTTCTTGATGACCTACATATAACAATGTGGGAGTAATACAAATCACAGACAAGTATTTGTATGACAAGCTTTTACTGGACTGATTTCAATAGAAATCTCTATAACTTGTTTCATACCATTCATTCAGGATAGAATACTACAGCATACATTTACATTATTGCTTGAAGTTTTGGTTTGAAATGCCCATACATTTTTCAGCAAGTAGTATGGATCTTATTCCTACATATTTTAATCTACATGTGCATACATTATGTACATGTACAGGAGATGCAAATACAAACATGTTTCAAGACTAATGCCTAAATGCCATGGTGACGTTTTGTTCCATTAAGCACATCAATGACATCACAATCAATAGATATCCCATTATCTTCTCCGTATAATAGATGAACACCCCCACATGTTCCACTTTAATGATGAACTTTTCATCCTCCCACAGGCACAGCATCCCTTATGAGTGGGTTCCATGGAGTCAATTAAACTGCTCCTGTCTGTATAGGCCTGTCTTCACTAGCTCGAGATTGCCAAATATCCAGCTATTTGTACTACCCCTATCGCAAACTATCCAGCTAATTTGCGTCTTCATCAGCCCGAAGTTGCAATTAGCGGGATATTTGGTCGGGATTGTCATCCCAAGATAACTTGGGATAGTTTGCAAAATATCCCACTATTTGGCAAAATATCCAGCTATTTGTCCTGTGCGTCTTCACCAGACCGAAGACTCGCACTATGCGCTCTTCACCAGACCGAAGACTCGCACTATGCACTAACGCTGAGCAAAATATCTCGAGCTAATTTCTCAAGGTCGAGTTTCAAGTTTCGAGGTTAAATCTTGAGATGATGAAGACGCGCCTTATGAGTGAGTTCCATGGAGTCAATTAACCACTCCTGACTGTATGTGATGGGGATCGAAGGATAAAACATCCTCTCAAGATAATGAACAACACATCAGGGGGGCGTTTCACAAAACGTGTCATCAGTGATAAATGACAATTTGTGTTATAAGCTACTGAAATCTTTGCTTCTGATTGGAAGATCAGAAGATTTGTCACTGATCTTTGTCATTGAAAAAAGGCTTTGTGAAACGCTCCCCAGGAGCATTTACACTGCAGACAAAAAACGTTGGTTTTTCTCACATTCCTAAGTTTCGTCAACAGCTGAAACTCCCCAAATTTGTGCAGTGTAAATGCTCCACTCAAAACACCTGTGAATTATTCCAGTTTTTGTCACTTGACTCTAATAGCTTCAGTGCTAACACATGCAGAGCAGCATCAAGTTAGACATACACACAACAGAAGAAAACAAAAAGGATTATCAAACAACGACCATCTTTTATGGGTTTTTCTTAGCAGTTGTAAATGGAAGTTTAGAAGAAGAAAAAAAAGGTTTTTCAAATTGGTTTTCCTGCAATGTAAATGGGCCTATGATCACAGCAGGGTAACCTTCATATCATTAGACATTAACAGGGATAATGAAGATATATAATGCTTGGTATTACTGGAAGCCTGAAGCTTTAGCCCATTAAAAAAAACATGTTTAGTGTCCTGCCTTTTTGAAAAATAGGAAGGAGGAGGCCTTTTTTTTTTCTTTCAAAATGGTTGCTTGGTAAACTTTCCCGGACAGTCGTGTTATTTTTGAAGATGGCAGCCGGCACTTTTTTTTTAAATCAGAAATTCTTCATTTTAGCCGTATGTTTTTCATGTTTTTTTTCTTTAAGAAAAAATAAAGGAGGCGGCCCTCAAAAAAGAAGCAGGCGGGGACGCTAAATATAATTTTTTTTTTTAAATGGCCCTTTTGCAGCCAACCTCAAATTCTGTAGAACTTTGCAGGAATTATGAATATGTCATGTATGTCCTATCTGTGAAATTTAAACGTTAGCAGTGTCCTCATATTCAAATTATGCAAGGAAACCCATTTACTTGCTAGACTTCACTGTCAGACACTATTGAGTGACTGACTAGCTTTTTTTCTTCTTTGGTAATAACATACATGAAAAGAGTTGTAAAGGGTACATGAGCATTTGTCTACATCAATAACCCACTTCTTGTGATGGCCAAGATTAAACTGATTGAATCTTTGCGCAGCATAAAACGTATGACCATTCGGTACAATTGTCTGAAAATCA